TGGACATTTTCAATGTGCGTCTGCTGCTTGAAGTCCATAGCCATATCCACCAAGTTGCAGGCTTTCCAGAGATCCTACCCAGCCACTAGCTAGAGTCACTGACGTTGTCGGGGACGTTCCATGTGTCTCTGTAGAGTATAATTATGAAATGACAATAAACGAGATGTCTTTATGAAAAATTCACGCAAGTGGAGAAACACTGCAGCAGAATGATACGCAGTTCTGACTCGGCCAATCGGACCAGAAATAGTTGGGAGATACATCGAGCTGCTGTTAGAGACATAGTAGGCCTAACCGCTGTCTCAGCTAAATGACCAGCATGCTTCACGCATATATACGCCATACAGAGAGAAAGTCCTGTAATTGCATGATTGTACAAATTTGATAGCGCCACACCCCTCAAAACTTGAACCGCCCTCGACAGACCATTCTAGAAACCCTCGTTTGCCTCCTGAATGACTCCAAGCATCAAGGTCGCGCTGACGACAAATAAATCAGCGGGATTGCCACAATCACGAGAGTCGAAACATACGCAAGCGATGCTCTAAAGTGATTGTAAGAATTCTTTCGATTAAACCCGAGTAATCCATAGGTTGTTTCGCCATCTCCTGAGAGCATTCAAAGGACTCTTTCACCTCGTCCTGAGAGGGTTTAAAAGATTGTTTTTCCTTCCTCCGGAAGCGTCCAGGCAGTAGCTTTGTTTTCCAATTAGACGAGTTTCCTTGATTTGTGTGGACGGCAGTGCCCACAGGTTCTTCATTTGTGTGGACGACAGTGCCCACAGGTTCTTGATATAGGTGAATGGCAGTTTCCACTGCGTCCCTGACAGTAATTGCATGCGGAGACGCCATATACCGCTCGAGAGCGACACGAAAAGAGGGACCAGATTCCTGTTGGCCCTTAGGATGGCGTCGCTGGTCGAAAACGTAGAAAGAGTGTTCGAAAATAATGACAGCAGCTAAAGGATTGAAAATGAGCAATTTAACTGCAATGGGGCCTAAAGATTCACCAGAACCAAGCTGGAAAATTTGCTCGAATGGTGATGCACTGGCAGAAGTCTGGTACATTTAAACATGTGTGTACAGCCTGTGACCAATTGAACGCACCACAGAAAGTATCCTAGACCGCATCTCTGCAAGTTGATCTCCCCAGAGCTGATAAAATCATGATGGAAAGTTGAAAATTGTCTCCTTCTGCTGAGGACCAATACACTCACACGCTGTCAATGAATAAAGTCTTCGGTCAGCATGGCTCAAGGCCAAAGGAGGATGAACAAACTCACCTCCTATGAATGGATCCGCAATGTCGTTGGTGAGCTTGAAGGGCTCGAGGGATGTGACACTCACAGTCTGTTGAGGAATGCGCAATGTGAGTGATAAGCAAAGCTCGAGCTCCACGGAGGATAAAAACACTGACTTCCTGTGAGTGAGCAATGTCACAAGTGAGCAAGGCTCGAGCGCGACGGCAGACGAACACACTCACATCCTGTCAACGCGGATCGGCAATTTCACGGGTCAGCAATGCTGGAGCTCGACAGAGGATCGATGCGCTCACAAACTGTGAACAGGTGGGCAATGTCTTCTGTCAGCATGGCTAGAACTTGACGGCGGACCGACCAACTCACATCCTGTGAACGGGTGGGCGATGTTTTCAGTAAGCATGGCTCGAGCTTGACAGCAGATATACCAACTCACAATCTGTCAACGAATCACCCAACGTACTTGGTCAGCAGGGCTCAAAGTCGACAGCGGATGAAGAAACTTACACCCTGACAATAGATCAACAATTGCATCAGTGAGCAGGACAGGAGGTCGACTGAGGATGATCACGCTTACAAGCTATCAACGAATCAGGCATTCTTTCGGTGAGTATAACTCAAGGCCGGTGAGGGATGAATATACTCACATTCTGCCGATGGATCAGCAATTCCTTCACTCAGCAAGACTGGAGCTCGAGGAAGGATCAACACTCACATCCTGTCAACGGATGGGCAACGACTTGGATCAGCATGGCTCGAGCTCGAAGGAGGGTCAAGACACTCACACGCTGCGAAGAGTGGGCAACGACTTGCATCAGCATGGCTCAAGCTCGAGGGAGGATCAAGACACTCACAGCCTGCGAAGACTGGGAAACAACTTGGATCAGCATGGCTCGAGCTCGAAGGAGGATCAAGACACTCACACCCTGCGAAGAGTGGGCATCTCGAGCTCGAAGGAGGATCAAGACACTCACATGCTGCGAAGAGTGGATAACGACTTGGATCAGCATGGCTCGAGCTCGAAGGGAGGATCAAGACACTCACAAACTGCGAAGAGTGGGCAACGACTTGGATCAGCATGGCTCGAGCGCGAACGAGGATCAACAGACGTACTACCTGTAAAAAAAACACCCAACATATAAATGAGAGCAACTTTCGAGCATTCCCGTAATCTTACCCAAATATGTGGAAACCAGTCACCCAATTCAGCTATTGCATCCTCAGATGATATTTTCCCATCTGGGGCAACAAGCTTTGCAAGTGCTCTGCACGATAGTCAATAATGCTCGCGGCAGGCAAATGATGGGTAGATACGTCTCAACTGCATATTTCATGCAGAATTCTAAGTTGGTCTGCTGGGTCGAGACGAACAATTGCTGAAGGACTTGATCGTCCAAAGTTCCAGCGGTCCGTTCGATGAGTGGCCCACAATCAGCATCATCCTTGTTCATGTCTAATGGATCAGCAGTCATCATGCATCAGACTCTGATGATCTACAGCTTACCTGGGAGGCAGACGTGGCATTTTGGAGGCCGTCGGATGGTCTTTGGGTCGTATAGAAGCTTCACCTGTGGCCCGTTCGCAAATGAGTTCTTGGCGTGCTTTGGCGCCAGTCGTTTGGCATCTTTCCTCGACATTCCGTTTTCTATCAGTCGTGTGAATTCAGTAGCGTAGAGTGCGTCAAATTTGGTGAATATTACGATGACTGGAACTGAGGATCCAAGTCGCGAATCAGTCGATGATTAACGGACAGGTCCAAAGCTTACTGGTTCCAGTGTCGCAGTGGGAGAAGAATTTGGTTTCGGCTTCGGTAAAACAGCGGCTTGCCTGATCCATAGGTATGCAATACCTATGTCAAAGCAGTGAGCCAGTGAATTTCGCCAACTCGACCAATTACCATATAGTGTGGATTCTATCCTTGATATCTGCTTCCTTCGAACGGTCTGCGATAAATTTGTTCATCTTATCATACTCGGATTCCCCGCCTGCTTCGAATCCGCGCGAATCATGGAAGATGAATCCCGGGTTGGTTTTGAACACCATTTCGTTGTCGATGTCGTGCTCTCCACGCTGAGAAAATGTCAGTTTATGTTGCCGACTAATGGTACACGTTACCTCTCTAGATGCTGTCAAAACAGCGGCATCGATCTGATGTTGATGAGACAACCGTCACTATCAGCCTTGTACTAGCATCATGATGCGCACCTTTTCCCCAGCGCTATTAAATATTTCCGGGTTCTCTTTGGTATTGCACACCCTCTGGAGGATGGTAGTTTTCCCTGCATTCGCTCTTCCTATTATGAGAATTCGAAAGCGATCGATCTTCTTTTTTATCTTTGAAGAATGCATGAGGAAAGGTAAATGGTGGTATTGGGACTGAGTGGTGAGAAATGTTCAGCGTTGCGAGTAGTGGACTTTTAACTGTTACCGGTGCGTGAGTTTTGTGAACGCTCTCAAGCTTGTGAAACCTAGATCTAGTGGGCAATGAGTCGTGCGTACCATGAGGCGTACACAACTCGCCTCCGAAGTCTCGGCAGTCTCGACGTGAATCTCATATATAGAAACAATGTTTGATTCAGGCTGTACTGTACACGCCTGTGCATTGCAAAATAACGACATCCAACGAACCATATGCATGAGGCATACATGCACATGAGGAACTAGTACAACTGTCAATGTCATTCTATTCAGTCTTCCTACAACTAAGTAGGTCAGACAAATTTACTCCAGGCGGTCTGTTAAAACTTAGATTGAAAACAGCATTCCATTCGAAATGCTGTGGATTGATGACATTAACCAATCGCAGAAATCACAAAGCCTCGTTTCGATTTCGCGAATAGATATACAAGGTCATGATACACCGGTTTTCTAGCATGGTCAGCGACTAGCTTTCCGGGACGAAACGTTCAGAATACGGGGTATCAGGGAAATGACAGAAGATCGCTTACCAGGGAAATTTAATGCCCCGGAGACGAGGAGCCCTGGACTACGAATGTAAACACACCGGCCCGGGGGGGACCAGGTTGTTTCTGCAGCCTAATTGCGTGGATGAGCAGGGTAGCTTGCCCATTACCATGTCATAATCCTTAGATGTCCCAAATATGCGAGATGAGATCGTCCAAGTAGAGTTGACAAGCCCTGAGATGGTTCTGCAGAGAAATCCAATCTGTTAATCCTCGCCACCAGAAATGATCTATCAGAGGATCTAAAGTTAGACAGGATTGAGGGTGTGGCCGTGGGTCTCTGACCCCTTATCATGATAGGCATCGCGGGAAGCGCTGCCTTGAGGTTAAACATCCAATCGGTTATTCATCTCGACTCGGCAGACCAACATACCTACCCCATGCCTCAAATCTAGATTCAGTGGGAAATGGGCATACTTTAGTTGCGCGTACCATGAGGCGTACACGACTCACCTCATTTCAGATGCAAAGTTCCATTTTGAGTGGTTGTTGCATCGACGAGTGCCCTGCTCCCTTTCCACTTCGGTTCGTAATGAAAGAACCTCGAACACCTTGTCGATTTAAGGAGAATAAACAATGTCCGAGTCCGTTCTCGCTTCACCGACGTCACGTCGGCGCCATGGCCCATCCTTGCCATCGTCTCTTCCGAGTCTATATTAATCGTCCTTCACATTTCCCTGCCCACTGGACATCATATCGCCAAAACTTGAAAATTGGCGCTGGCAATCAACCTTGCATTATGTCTTCAGCGCCCTCGCGTCCTCAATGAAAGGTTTTGTTTCCCCTCAACTTCTGTTGTAGTAATGTACAGGCGCGCGGTATCGATGAGAGTTGACGAATTCCAAGCCAAGACACAGAATCACCGTCACGGTGAGATGTAAGTACCAACATGGTGCCAGTGTGCCAATGCATGCGGTTGGCACGGATGAGGAGTAGATCAGTGGTGCCAGGAAATAAGAGGTCGCTTTGGGATGGACGACTGCAGGAGGTCATGGGAGCTTTGACGTGGGGGCAACGCCAGCGTGTATTTGCCAAATTGCGAACAGTGGGCCGGGAGACTGCAGGACGTTATTGCTGGGTGTAGTCGGTAGGCGAATGCCACGGATGGGTCAGGGCAAGGGACAGCGAAGGTGCGAGAAGCAGCAAGAGTCCTGGTGGGCGCTAGCAGAAACGGTGCTTGACCTATATGAAGCTGAAAATAACTTGCCGAAGGGTGCTGAAGGTCTTGACCTCTGCTGTAAGTGAGGTAATGCACGTATCTTGTTGTTCTCGAGACCCACAACTTTTCCATTTCAATGTTCAACGTCCAACGTCCGACAGATGACGATCCATGATGCATGAGCAATGGGCACTGGCCATCAACAGCCAGGTGAGGCATACTGTGTGTCCCTGCTATAAGATTACCTTAATACTGCAGTTTTTTTTGCATGGCACCCCTAGGCCTGTCGTACTATCATTTACGGGCAGTTGAAAGACACGACTAGACTCGACGATAACCAGTACTAGTCTGGACTACGTCTTGGCTTCGCCACTCGACTTGTCCGTGGTATTGGATTGGTAAGCCAGGCTGGTCACACGCCCGCAATCGTTGATTTGGCCTGTCGCCCAAAAAGCAGCCATGTACGCCCGGGCCACACTCTGAATCAGCATTGACTCGTATATGAAAACCTGCTTCCATCTCACTATCTTGTACGACGGGGGTGTTTCCTCGATCAGTGTATGATTCCATTCACTCCACGACGCTAGAAGGTCAAAGGCGACAATGCCATGACCGAGTCAGCAACGGACGAATTTTCCGAGCGCGGGGCGATGGATGTTGTTGGACGCCTCCGAGTCCGTCGCCTTCCCTGGATAGCATCTGAGCATCTGACAGCGTTGGGAACACACAGTTTGCCTGGCAGTTGGTCTGAGCTGCGGCGATATACCCATGGCAGATGCTATGTTACCATCTCAAGAAAGAACTTTCATCAAACATTCGAGCACGCGTACGTGTCATTTTTCTGCAAGTCAACCCATGGAACTTACCGGTAAGATACGCACTTATATTTGGGTCGATGTGACTAGATTATATTTTAAGATACCTGGTGATTCCACTTTCAATACCAGCTCCGAGGAAGATGCTGGTTAAAACCCAGGTCCCAGTTAATAACTGGCTGGACGGCACCCTCAACGTATAATAAAAACAAAGGCAAACACTCACAGCATCAGTGCTCCATCACTGACCGCAAGCTCGCTGCCCCCATAATCGATTCGCATACCAAGCCACCTCTAGTCGGCGGCCTACGCCAGTGAATCCAGCGGCAATGGCCGTGTCCTGTGGTATCGGTAATGAAATATATGAATCAATTGGCGTATGGCAGGGGAGCGGTTCATGTGGTTCTGGGTTGGCGCTTCTTAGAGTTGGGAGTAAAATGGTATCAGGCTTGGGCGCTCTTGGGCGTCACCGCTAGCACCTACTCATTCGGAAGAAATCAAGGTCCAGTACCTGCTTTTTTCATACATCAATTGATTAGTATCGCTGCCTCCTTATCTAGGCGCCAGCGCTCTGCCATTGTCACATGTGCCGCCTTATAAGCGCCCGGCTACTTACACAAAAATGTGCACTTGGAATTACACGAATATACATAGACGAACCAGAATATTAATGACAAGGAAGTCACTTCGCTTCTATCCGAGTCGTTTCTCAAGGATTCATGGCCATACCAAAGTCAAACAGCTGCGACTACAAAATCTATCCCCCAAAATACGGCTCTGCATCTATGACAGTCTCGAGGCAAAGCATCGCATGAAAGTACTTGTCAAAACTCTGTTTCCAGATTATGATAGACTTGTCTGGGGGTGGCTTGATTCGAGTGGAGTTTAATATCAAATTGAGACGTGGTATGGCTCAGCTATGGGATGGTGGCTGACCCCGGGGTCATCGCAGAGACCTGAAAATAGAGTGTCGCCTCGGGCCCTCGGTGCGTGGTCTTCGTAGCAAACATTGGCGCTGACGCTGTTGTCACCATCGATGAGCGCTTGGGCTCCCTCATGCTACATGTCCCGATTGGGTATTAAACTCCGCTCGGACATAGCCGGGCGGCTTGGCTGGACCGACGATAAACGTTTTTCATTGGCTAACTACGCTACCCCCGACCGACGTAACTTGACGTAATACAACTTGAACTGTAAAACGTTCGGTGTACTTCGGTCACGGTGTGCAACAACCTTCTCAAGAATAGACACACAGGACTCGAAGCTGAGCAGATTTCAATCAGAACGTTCAACAAAATTTGACTAATTTTGAACATACAAATGTTCGAAAGTGCCTGACCATACTGTATAGACCACCTTCGCGTAGTCTCACTGAACCTCTTTTAGGACATTGTCTATGTACGATCTGCCTTTAGGACCTGCCCGACTTCCGTTCTCATCGGTTTGACCCAGCCTGCAGATATCAAAAGCCTAAGCCGCCCAAAGCAAGGTAATTTAAACGCCAAGCTTTGGGTGCGAGTGCTGAAAAAAGCACAGGTTTAATTGTTTATCGTTCTCCTATCGACATGGTGACCTCTGATTGATCTGTGCCAGTCTGTCGGAACAGGTTTTCACCGGTATAAAGGCGGCAGAGAGTAGCAGTCATCCACCATTCAATCTCAAAAACATGACAATCCTCACAATCCCGAAGCTTGCAGATGAGCTCTTCTTGCGACCCATTGTAATATCAATGAACAGCTTGGCCCTGTCATCCCTTATGTCCTATGTCATGTCTGCCAATGGAAATATCGACTGGAGACCGGTATGGTCATTGATTTAATACCTCTGAGAGTATCGCTGACACAATTGTACTCGCAGATAACCATCTGCGTGACGTCGGATATCCTTGCGATGGGGGCTGACCATCTTAAGGATAAAGAGGAGGAATTCTCATCTGACCGTAATAACGCAAACGACCCACGCCTCGCCTCTTGGTTTGTATATGCACGAACCTTCCTTACCGCCAGCACTGTGCTCCTTGTACTGGCACTATCTCTATGTCCAGTGTCGACCCTCCTCACCACGGCAGCCTTCGTGGCCCCTGCCTTGCTATGGACCACTCCGATCAGCTTCCAGAAGTTTGGGCTGATTTCAGGGCGCCTCCTCGGGAGGTCTGTTGAAGACAGCCATCAGCCTTCCACGCCTGCGCCTACTCTGGTTATCAAACGCATCCCTGGAATGAAAGCCATATTTAATGGCATCATTCGAGGGTAAGTCTGCATGTTTGCCTTAGACCATTTACGCGTAAGCCAATACTTTACAGGTGTGGCATCTACACCGTCATCCTTTCTGTGTTGTCGGGATCGGGAAATCTGGCGGGCACGCTACCGTCTCCATGGAGTACTGTTCAACTGATAGTCTGGTCAACGGTCAACCGCACATGCCACGCAGTAAGTAGCCAGTGTACGAACGCATGATTTGACCCTAATTATGTCTATAGATCATGACTGATGTCCGTGATTTCGAAGACGATCTAAAGGACGGCGTCCCCACCATACCCGTCCTTCTCGGATCCGTCCGCAAGACGAAGGTCATATTAACGGCTTGTCACATGCTTGTTGTGTTGACCTTCATCGAAAACCCATACATTATGGGGAGCTGTCTATTTGCTGCAGCTCTGGTGTGGATGCTTGACAAACACTCGCCCAAAAAGGCGTATCTGTTTAGCTCTCACTCGCAGTCCTTGTTCATTATCTGGTATTTGTTCACGAGGCATATTTAGGCTCCTGTCAGAAGAATCTTGTGTTACTGTTATTGATAACTGCCTTGCAAACGTTTCTAGATGCAACTGACTAACGGAGGAGACATTCGTTGTCATTCATTATTGTTGTCTCACCATTGTTTCGTGTTAAGTTACCTAGTCTTTTATTTTCACAAGGACAATTGCCTAGCTAGAACATATCAAGCACATGATATATGATTGGATTCTGCATAAAATCCAATAGGGGGCCGCCGCACGCCTGGAATTCGTTGTCAGCACCATGTTACAGACTTACAGTCCGCATGTATGTATCCGCATCGATGGGCAGGTGCCTAAGGCACCTTCATCGTCGTGTGTCTTGTTCCTATCTCCCATTGGCTTAGGCCAGAGCCATCTAAGGTCAGGCAAATGCTATTCAATGCAGGTGTTCGGACTCGTCTCTGATCGGCGATCACATCCAGTACTTCTGTCGCTCCTCGGCTAGACGTATATGAATAATTATCGTAATGTAGCTTGTACTACTTAGTCTAGGCTAATTTTCTTTAACTTGTTCCAGCTAGTCCAAACTATATAATTCCCGGAGTTGACTAGCTCTAACTTTACGGGGGAGCGAGGGCATTCATCCGAGGAAAATTGTACTGCACTGCCGTTGTATTTGGGAAACTGGGGGTTCGTCAAGCGTGACCCCTCACTCGCGTCTTCGACTTAATCAGCCTCAAGGACTCGAAGCTCCAAAGCCTCAACGTGAACCATAATCAAAGATGAAGCTGACCACAAGTTGCCATCTGGTCAGTGGATGATGGAAATCTAACACGTATGCTTACCTGCAACTAGCCCTCCGTGATCCCAGAAAGTCAGCGAGATAATGCGAGCACATGTGCAGGCATATTGTGGACATACACTCGTCGCCCCCTCGTCAAACCTCGCGTAAAAGGCAGGACTTTCAATCCTAACGTTTGTCATGGTCAATGTATCGAGCACTTCCTGTCTAAACAGTGTCGCATTACCAGAGAATGATTCCGAGTGACTGGGCTCGGTACGCCTGCTCGCAAGGCGTGCTGACTCGTCCTTAACATTACAACAGCATTTTCAGGTTCTGAGGGCTGCGGCCCTGTGGTTTTTCGGGCGTCCTCGCAAACGCAAAGGTGGTGTATAGCCCAGAGTATCTTGCTGGACTTTGTTGGTACGAACTTCTACCGGACCACTATAGCACATATACCAATATTCCTCAAGTCTTCCGGCGTGGAGAACGAAGATGGCAACCCGTCCATTGGCCTGCAGCACATTCGCGCTAAAATGTGTGAAGACGGAGAGAGGCGTGACCTGAAATGAAGATCAGATCAGCTCTGGTATCGAAAGAAAAAACCACATGAGAACTTACAAACCGAGTTCAGGAAATCAAACGGCTATGCGGGATTCGCTATTAGCGGTGCGAGATAGTGGGCCAAAAAAGCTTATGAGCGCGTCGCATACAGAGATGAAGAGAAGAGAAATACGGAGACGCACTAATCGCTATTATTAGTCGGATAGATCATGTCACCACCTTAACTTTGACATGAAGGCGCCTATGCCATAACCTAATCAGCGATATAAATACGTGCGATTTGGTCTCCTGATTATCCTACTACCAAAAACGGCTACTTCAGCCAACGTAAAAATCGTGCTGCTGGGGTAATAGGTATTGATCGAGCAACACCAATATCGCACCCAGCGTGGAGCCCCTTCACACCCTGCGCAATGTAATCTTTCGCGGTGCCAAGAAAGGTCGCTTGGGGGCATTGAGTGCGAAAGCCCTTTTGTCTCCACTTCAGGAGACGATTCAGAAACGCCCGACGCCAGATCTTCGGCCACCACACTAAGGTCAACCCCGATGTCGTTGTCGACTCCATCGTTCCGGCTAATACAAACGTGGTACATAGTCCAAAGTATCTTGCTGGACGCTGTTGGGTGGTTCGAATTTCTAACGGACCGTTATGTGGCATATAGTATATACCAGTCTTCCTCAAGCATTCTGGCGTGGAGAGCCAAGATGGCGACCCCGTTCTTGAGACTGTAGCAAAACGAAGCCGGGGTAAAAGGGTGAACAGGAGGCTGCTCCTTCGTATAGTCGCGCTAAAATGTGGAGACCGAGAGAGACGTGAGCTGAAATGAAGGTCAACTCTCATATCAAAAGCAAGGCAAACGAAGAGGCAAAATGAGTGCAGGAAATTAGATGAATCGGTGAGCGCTGAACCATGAGAGTGCATAGATTCGGCATGCTATGGGCGTGTGTAAAGGTCTGGACTCGAATGAAGATATTTGTTTGATCCCGAGAGGTTAGGTTAGGCTAAGGCTAAGGATCGGGACCGGAGTCAACAGACCTTCCCAGCGCACTCTAGTGCGCGAGCCTCGATCGAGCCTGAAAGACTTGGGAATACAGTGTGAATCAAACCACAGTGCTAAGACGAAGATGGGATGATGGTGGTCAAAAGAAATGCGTGTGACAGAGCGAAGGCTGTGCGAGCTGTTAGCGTTACGAAACAATCGGTTCTTCTTATTCTTCAAGTTTAGTCTTGAACCAGAGTTGTTTTCTAGCAAGGTATGTGGGTGCGGAGGTAGCGGCGACAACTTTAATGAAGTTCCAGCTTGGATGTTTGAGAAGTTCGGACTAGTCGGCAACCCACCCACCGTGACCCACGTTTACCACTTTTTTGTCCTTCTCTTCTGATCTTTGCCACTCAAGTGACTCAACTGATATCCCGGACCCAATTTGGGATGTCAGTTGAGTAGGTGTTGTGGGCGAGGTTAGGTTTTGCCGGCACAACCGGCAGGATTGGCAGAATATGGCAGAATAACCGGTTTCGCCAACTCGGAGTGGCATAACACTAGCGGTGAAAATTTCCTATCTCCAAGGCATCAACGACAGTCCTACCGAAGAGCATCAATAACGCCTCGTCCGCATCCACAATCCTCGCCGTTGTGACCACAGCGCTTGTATTTCCAGAGGTAGCGGTCAGAGCTATTGGCAACTCTGTCGAGAGTCGAGACACTCAAAATCATCAATATGTTGATTAGGGGCGGCCACCAGCATGGACCTTCATCATGATCAGTAAACCGGTGAGCTCACCGGTATTCCCGTACCGAAATGCTCTTTCCTATACGTGACGTTAAAAACAATACAAAGTGATGTAAAGCGTTAATATATAAGGTCTGAACCGAGCATGAATTGGGGTGATTGCATTGCTTTAGATTGTTATGGGACGAAGAATCATCGATCATCGCTCAGTGCTGCAGACGACAGGCCCATCTGCGACTCTGTTTTCACATTTTTGAAGTTATAGGTTCTGCCAGCTATTTTCGTAGAGTTCTGCCCTCAGTACTGATCCGTGGCAGCAATTCGGTTCCGAAAGTACTAAATATAGTGCAAGTACAGCATCCGATTAACGTTAACTCTCCAGCGCTCATCTCGGTTTTTGTCTCGAAACGACCGCCTCCTCGCGGCCCTTTGAACACCAACCCAGTTACGTGCAAGTCTGGGATTTCATACGTCACCTTTCGCCGTCTCACTGTTATTATGATGGTCATTGAACCAGCTGTTTTAGGACCTCATCGGCGAGTGTCTGATCGGACCCGAGAACATATGCGCGACTCGAGAACAATCCGTGCCAGTACTTTCGAAGTTTAATTCGATGGCTCAATATAAAAAGCGGCAGAGATTCAGAGTAGCATTCAAATTGTCTACTGCTCAATTTCCATCAACATGGCAATCCTCACAATCCCGAAGCTTGCAGATGAGCTCTTCCTGCTACCCATCGTAATATCGCTGAACAGCTTGGCCGTGTCTTCCCTTATGTCCTATGTCATGTCTGACAATGGGAATATCGACTGGAGACCGGTATGGTCATTCATTCAATACCAGAGAACATCGCTGATCCAATTGTCTTTACAGATAACCATCTGCGCGACAGCGGACATCCTTGCGATGGGCGCTGACCATCTTAAGGATAGAGAGGAGGAATTTTCGTCTAACCCCAATAACGCAAACAACCCACGCCTCGCCTCTTGCTTTGTATACGCACGAACCTTCCTCACCGCCAGCGCTGTGCTCCTTGCACTAGCACTATCTCAATGTCCACTTTCGACCCTCCTCACCACGGCAGCCTTCTTAGCCCCTGCCTTGCTCTGGAACATTCCGATCAGCTTTAATATTTTTGGGCTGATTTCGAGGCGCCTCCTCGGGAGGTCTGTTAAAGACAGCCACCAGCCTTTTAAATCTGCACCTACTTTTGTTATCAAGCGCGTCCCTGGCATGAAAGTCATATTTAGTGGTATCATTCGAGGGTACGTCTGCATATTTGCCTTGAACACCCTATGCGTATACCAATGCTTTTCAGATGTGGCATCTACACTGTTGTCCTCACCATATTGTCGGGATCAGGGAATCTGGCTGGCACGCTACCGTCTCCGTGGAGTACTATTCAACTGATAGTCTGGTCAACGGTCAATCGCGCATGCCACGGAGTAAGTAGACAGTTCATGATCAAAGGATTTGACCTTGAATTATGCCTACAGACCATGAACGATGTCCGTGATTTTGAAGACGATCTGAAGACCGGCGTCCCCACCATACCCGTCCTTCTCGGATCCGTCCGCAAGACGAAGGTGTTATTGACGGCTTGTCATATGCTCGTTATGTTGGCCTTCATCGAAAATATATACATCATGGGGAGCAGCTTATTCGCCATAGCTTTGGTATGGATGCTTGACCAGCACTCGCCGAAAAAGGCGTCTTTGCTGGGCTCTCATTCGCAGACCTTTTTCATCATGTGGTACTTGTTGACGAAGGTTGCTTAGCTTCTCGCATGGGAGACGAGTATGATGATCATTGATGACATAGGAACGGTTCCGGGTTGAATGCGGATTGTGTTACTTATGGGTATACCGACTTTCATCTGTACTATGTGTTGTGTAAGCTACTGGAGACTAGACGGTTATCGAAGACATAGATATGGCATACTCCAAATTTACGAGATTCGATGATGTGACCGATGTGCATGATCTTGAGCCCCTAGTGCTATTCTTACAGCGAACATTGTGGCAAACGGAACCAATCATTCACCATCTCTACTACCCAAAACGGTTACTTAAGCCATCGTAAATCAGGAATATAATCGCGCTGCTGGGTATTGATCGAGCAACAGTAATACCGCACCCAGCGTAAAGCCCCTTCACACCCTGCGCCCTGTACATCGCTTTCGCGGTGCCAAGGAAGGTTGGCTTGGGGGCATTACTGCCACGAGGACGCAAGTCTTCCTCAGTCTGCATCGTACTCTTAATGCTATCGGCGGGGAACATCGAAAAGTTGAAAATTCCGCCTGCGCATGCACCAGATACCGCAGATTCCCATGGAATAATGTCTTTCCGCGTAAGCTCGGGGCCACGCCGCTTTATTAGCGTTGTTCCGACGAATTCTTTTGTGGCGAACCATGCAGCTCCGCCACCACATTCACGGATGAGGGTGCCAGTTTGGCCGAGCCAAAGGCCGCGGAGGCCTTCTGTGCGGACGACGGATACGAGAACGGCTATAGGACCGGGAAGAGAACGAGGAATAGGTCTGAGGCTTGAGTCTAGGGTTGCTGCTGTGGTGGATTCAGGTATCGAGACTGAAAGCGGCTTGGGAGCAATCATCTGTACTTGCATTTTACATTTTACAAGCTCCACGGGCGTGCTAGTCAAAAATAAGAGTCAATTACAACTCGTATACCAGGTGTGAGTGACTTGCAGTAAGAAACTAGTGATGGCGCCTGCGCCGGCACCAGCCAATGCAAGCTGAGGTAACGAAAGTTCGTGTGACAAGGGCTGAGAATTGATCCGCCGTATCACGTTTTGAAGTTCGCTGTATGACATGAACAGTGAAGCATTCTCCAACATGGCGGCTACTATTGGCGCTGGAAGGCCCTACGACCAATGTGAGTTCACACCAACAGGGAAGAAGTTCCACCGTGAAGATATAACATACGCGGTAAAGGCCTCTAACGCCTTCATTTTTCCATGTTTTCACGAGACAGTCTATTGGTCCATTGAATCTAGCAGTGGTATCGAGAACTTGAGATTGTAATCGCACTTTCGTCAAGTCGAATGGGTGCTCGAATACTTTGGAGACCATGCCTGCGATCTGTGATTGTTATTCTTGTGGCTCGGGGAAGTTAAATCAGATTTGGGAACGCACACTCCCGAACGTGATATCCTTTGCTGCTCGCACCGCAGACGAGGGCATTGAGGGTGTACTATCATCCCGGGGTGATGTGTCGGATGTTGCCTCCATGTCTAGTACGAATGGGGTGGTGAAAGCAGAGAAAGATGGGCTTCGAGATTATGCGGTGGTCAGCGCATGAGGGAAGAGCTGTGTATCCAGTGGGAAATTCCAGAATTCTGTATGCACACGTACACTGATCACTAGTAGGGTATACCACGAGTGGGAATAGTCCGAGTTGTCACGGGGTCCGGTTATGTAATTACTGCCCAGCAGCCGAATGTTTCTTTCTTCTCCGAGTCTCTGTTGCAAATAATGGAGGTAAGATTGAAAAAATGACACTACTACTAATGTCTAAAGGTTGCGACTAGAATTAGTTCTTCTGGCGTGGCTGACATCGAGAACTTGATTGAAGCCGCATCAGCACCCGCTCGAAACCCCTGTTTCGCGAAACGGGACCGTGACAACAGAGCAGCGGTGAGATACAGCTTATTTCTTTGCAGAAGACAGTGGATGCCTCCATCATGATGTAGACCACACGTTTTCAGAAGACAGTCTATCCTCACTGTAATAGCCGACACATTTAAATGACGAATCTTAACCCCAACTGTGGATGGCCCAGAACCTCCATAGTCCCAGCTCATAAAAAGTCATAACTTGAGGCTCAAGCCTCTAACCCCGCACTTTCTGACCGGTCGACCTACTTATACATGGATTGGACGACTGGCCAATTCCCGTACTTTCTGGATTGACCGATCGACTCTTCAAATTACAACATAAATACCACGTCGAAGCTCCGGAGCAACACCACAACGAAATAAATACATACTTGGACGAAAACTTCACATGCTCACTGCACATTATCCGTGGTTCAACGTTCAACATTTGATCACTTGGATCATTTCCCTGCTACACACCGACGCTGGTTGACACGTCTCCGCGCTCCTGGAAAACGATCGTAGTCATGCGAGTTCCCTCGTCAGAGTTTGCTACCAGCTTAGCGTTATAAGCTCGAATGCTAAGGACGAGGCGCGGTCCAAGGACAAACATCTGCACGAACTGGGCAAATTGGAACACGCCGTAATAAATGCCAGATCCCACGGTAGTTGGGTTCTGTGGAAATGATGAGTGGTCAGGTCTAAGATGCAGATGTCAGTCACAAATCGGCGCACCGAGAGGTTTGGAGACAGTAAGCCGATGTCGAATAAAGACATAGCAGCAAAGCTAGCAGATGCAAAGGTTCAGTCGAACAAGATAATAACATCCAAATTACAGGGCTCACCCTACGAAATACGGTACGTGACTTCTTATCAACGCCGTGAAACAATCTTCGATGATCGATCCTGTCGATGATTGTCGCAGTTCTCTGAAGTGTTTTATGACAATCCAGAGGGAAAGGCTCAATGCGAGGATCTCCCATACGAAGGTGGGTATGAACATCAAGTAATTCAGACTCTGTAGGCTGCCGGGTGAGTCGTTGATGTTGAAACACATATTGTTGCCAGAAAGAATGATCTCCACTGGTATTTATGCATGAGTCTCATGTGCTTAAAGTTTTCGTATGTAATTAAAGCTTACCCGCTGAAGCATTGAGATTTGCTATTACCGTCATAACTACGGAAGCGGTCGTGCAAGCCAGAAAGATTACAATTAGAAAGACGAGCATTTGCTTGGATCCATGATACATGGCATGTATCCGAGTCATCATGATGACTTCCATGGTATTTCAGTCAGTCAATACAATATCAGTCAAGTACCGTAGCTCACCCCCCAGCAAGATATTTATGACGACAGGCATCCATATTGTCATGAAGTAAAGGATATTGCCTGAAAACCCCGTTTACTGATGTACATTAGTAAACTCGATGTTTCAAATGAACTTACAGCTGTTGTAATCGTTATGTTGAAGAAACAAGCTGGCGGAGAATACCACTCACCCCTATGGATGAGTACAGTCAGTAGTTGGCTTGGAATGGTAAGCATCAATGCAGAATCCTCACTTTATCTGTCATCGAGACTGGGAGATTTGCTGCGCGGCGCCAGTTAGAAGAAACGAACATTTTTGGGTCACGTACACAATATGTAGACGCTGGTTGAGAAATGACTTGTGAGCATCATGCAGACGTCATCTAATCAGCGTTGCAAACATACATAGAATACAATATTCCAGTGTAGCGAACCTAGCGTATTATGAAGTCAGCACAACTTGTCAACTGTGCTCATAACATGAACGTACACAAATATAAAGAACAGTCATGAGAGACCAGCGTTGCATCTGCCCCGAATCAACCTTCATTATCCTGTTGTGTTTCTGATATAGAGGTTTGCGCACCCAGACCAGTTCGAACTGTTATAGAATTCTTAGTGAGATGGTTGCATCGGTAATGACATCTACTTGCCTCTTGTGCGAATGTTAGTACTTGAATGTACATCAATATCAATGATCCCCTCGGAATGCATATCTCGCTCACCCCAATCGTATACTACCGCGCAAGAGGATGCAACTGTGAAACTACAGTGAGAGGTCATAATATCATGCGACTTGCTCCCCACAAACCTATAGAATAATTGAATATATAACACCAATAGATGTAAGGCCACCAAGAGGGATCATTCGAGACGTAGGAGGTCATATTGGGGCCGGCGAACTTGGTAAACGATGATGTTTGTGTAGATATACCACCATCCATAGGATCATGTGGGAAGTCCGTTCCTTGAATTATAATTTCTCATTGAGGGCAGCGTGCAACTACATCACTCACCGTGTAATCGTCGACACCACATCTAAGCCGTGAATGACTGAGAATACTGCGAACAGATGAATAGATGGACACGCGTGACCCGCCATGCAAAGGTGTTCTATATGTAGCTGTTGATCATCATGATGTCATATGATTAGCTTCGATCAAACGGAGCCCGAAATCGCTGCCCAGCGCTGCAGCCTTGATGGGATAGTTGATATCTGGTGACCTACGGTGTGAGTTGTTCTTTTATTTTTAGACGATCAAGATGACTTTCCTTTCCTCGATCGAATCATACGCCATCGTATAGTTGGAATCCAATCCCTGAATCTTGGAGACAGTACGTATACTTAAAACTAGCACTGAAGAGCAAGAGATAAATGTGTAGCGTTACAGTCAAGTCGTTAGTACTGCCCGTCCAGCGAATTCCTAACACCAAGGACCCACCCGCACCACACGACCATAGCGCAGCGACGCACCAGTAAGGTCTTTGATGGTAAGGCAATTCTCCACGACTGCGTCAAGAAAGATGCTTTAAAACACAATGAGCCTAGCACCATGCACACCGGATAGAGCCAGTAATCTTGAAGCCGCAGGGTAGAACTCGTGCCTCCCCAGCTCGACAAAGATTTTGTCGAGCTTGGATACATTCCAACCAGAACGACCATTATCTAAATGAGCGGGTACACTTCTAGCGTGACTTTGAAATACCGCATATGCTGCTGGTGTTGCATGTAACAAGGCGATGAAGAGAACCACAGCTAATGTCATGCTTTCATGATGATTGTATGTTGTAAAAAACTGACTGAAGGCGGTCGTGTCATACAAACATACAATCATGACGAGTTCCACCAAAAGTCCTATGGTCGAGATCCTGTCATTTCGCATCTTGTGGTAGTATGCGAAAAAAACGATGTCCAGCACCGGTCATAAGTATTCAATGCGCGGAGCTCGGGAGATGTGTACTGCATATGTTGAGCTTTCAGCACTCAGCATCAGAATAGATTGAGTACTCACAACAGTACTAGTGATGGGGTGAAGAACCGCGACGTCGGATTCGTCATAAAGGACTAATGAAAGTTGAAAAGAAAAGAACTACCCAACTCACTGTTCAGCCGGAAACATTTCTACCCTTGCATACCCGAGGATGGGATCTCCGTTACCCAATAATGATGTCAACTCTTTCCTACCCCATCCTCTTTGTCTGGCCGTCTCTTCGACCCTACGCACAATCTCCCTGCTCCACAGTGTATTCTCCGCGTCTGATTCTTCGTCCTCGACTTCCAAGACATCGACTCCCATCCCTCCCAACAGCTCACCCAAAGGATATGCACCTGCGAACTCCCAATCCAGGACAGCTTGCACCCGCGTACCTTGCATGATGATATTTCGACCGTGAAAATCTCCATGCACGAGCACAAATGGCTCGTCTTCGGCAACGAAACTAGTCTCAAGTTCACGTCTCTTATCTCGGAGGTGCTGTACGAAATCTTCAAGAGACGTGTGTTCGAAAAGGTCTGAGTCGATATCGGACGCGGGAGCATGGGTATAGTAGTATATCTCTTTGTCATAGCAAGCGAGAATATATTCCTTTGTGGTTTTGTGCGGACCGATGGGGTAGCATCTATTGGAATGAAATTTGTCCTGTCCGAAAGTAAATTAATCATCAGAGAAATCAATGCAAAGGGCGACGAAGACTCACCCGTCCCTTGAATATCTTGCTTCCCTCCACGGTCGGTCCAAGGGTGCTTGTGCCACTAACAAACCCGCCTATAGCACTGAAACGCGTCTCCCCCATGTCAACAATTATCTCGGCGATCGTGAGCGCAACGGAATGTTTCTCCGTCTCGGTATAGCGATTCCATATAGTGCTCAAAGGTTCGCCATCAATGTATTCTTGAGCGACAAATGGGTTCGGTCCTTCGGCGCTGGATGCGTATATCTTAGGGACTAGAATATTGGGGCAACGTGCGGATATCATGGATATGGAAGCGACCTCATTTAATATCTGATGAGGCAGCAGAGAATCTGCTTTCGGAAGGCGCAAAGCGAAAGACTTGGATCTCGTAGAGTCGTCCCAGCCAGAAAGCTATCATGGGGAAATTTTCGTTCGACAATAACAGGCAAGAAGGCTGAAGAAGGACTTTCCCAAGATACCAGATATACCTCATTATAGCCCCCTTCGCCGAGTTTCTTGTCCACTATAACCTCTGGTGTAGGTCTGTCATCTTCAACTCTAATGATGGCACGGCTTGCATCTTTGAGGGTATGTTGTAGTACTAGGTTGGTAGTAAACGATGTGGCCATTGCAGCGCCCTTAGTGCTTCAGAAAAAACTGTGGTGGTTGCAGAATTTACGCTGGTGATGACTAGGTTGGTGCGGCAGGTGGATACACCAAGTCGAGTCCGATTATCGATGAATATCGATGAATGCTGGGAGGGAATAGTTCATTGGAATGTTGCAAAAACCAAAGTTCGTATCCAGCTCCCGAAGAGGAACTTCCAATATGCAAGAATGACACGCGCTGCGGACTTGCTGACGCGTTCATCGCAATTATGTCTACTAGGCGCAATCACTATAGTTCCTTGAGCTCTCAGGCAATAGATAGGGATATACAATCAGAAATTAGAAGTCGAGATATACAGTCGTGAGGTACGAGCATGTAATTCTTTTCTGACTGGACACAAAGCCAGCGCTTCCTGACGAAGTTATGCTTGCGTTGTGGAAGTCTCGGTCATTGCCTTGGTGACTGAAGGTGGGAAATACTTGATTGCTTTGTCATGATGGACACATTTTGAGAATGGCGTCTGAAACAAGGTGTCGGAATCACGAACAGTTCTTTCATCTTTTGCTGTGTTCAAGTGTTCCGCCCCTACAAACCATGTACGCTGCCCCACATCTTTATGTAAATCAGTTTGCCTGATTAAGCACAGGCGTTGTTTCAATCCAATCCACGTCCCTACGAATAACGCGAGTAGAGCTCGACTCCTGCATTCGCGTCAACTGCATGGTGCATTTATGATGGCATGTTTCGCAGTTTTCATTTGATTAAGCGTTGAAGGTGTGCGTTAGCAGCCGTATGGCAAGTGTTATTCAAGGCACGCTACATCACTTCGAACGTGACATCATACTATCCATTCACAGGAATGGATATCATCCCTTGATCTGATTTCGGCCATATAAGTGCTGGATGGTAGTATATCTAACACAAATATCATAATATTGTATGTCCACCAAGTTCCCCGCTCTCTCACATCCATCCTCTAACAGCATGACACTAGTCTCAGACGACCCTAGTTATTGGCCACTCATCAACGCTTGGCGTATTGGCAGCTATTTTATAGGTTCGTGAACAGCAGTCGTATGTTGACGCTGATGTCTCGATCTGACCTTGATTGTGGTTTTCCAGTTGCCGCTGGTGTTGGAATGGTGTATGATTGGGGTGAGCATGATAACATTAGAGAATTGCTGATTTCCTACAAGTATTTTCAGCCCTTACGTTCGGACAAGAGGTATGTTGATGCTATGACCGGAGCAGCCATTTCGCTAAGATTTTTTGTAGGTTGAACTGGTCTGGGTGAGCGCGGTTCCACGTCAGAAGAACAATATTGATTTGCGACAGACACAACATTGGTCCCTGATGGCTGTTCTCTATCTGAGTGTACGTAGCTTGCCTGTTGTGAATTTCTGCTGACTTGACAATATCCTAGTTGCGCTATCTTGGAATTTTTTATACTATGTATGTTCAGAAGGCTTGACAATTGGTGTCGTCCTAATCTGCTATCTCTCACAATCAGCACGAACCTACTGAGTATGTCTTCTCGCATTCACCGTGTTTGTTTCTTCTGACCAGTGGCATATAGTCAGTGTTCCGACGATTTTGTTGACAGATGCAGTGAGTCTTCTGCACCAATGCCTGCTATTCCTATTCAATTAACCGCGACACTCTGTAGGGGTGAGTGTCATTCTTGACCAGCTTCTTCGTTTACTATCATGACTGCTACAGATGTGAGTCTGTTTGTAGTGTGTGATCCACCCAAGGCCCATCACTAACCGGGTTTCTCAGGCCAGATTCTGTTCCTCGTGTGCAATTGGACGAGTGTTGTGGCATTTCCAATGCTGTGTGGTGAGTTGTGCAGTTACAAGACCTGTGATATTGACTTGACTGAAACATGTTGCAGTCATCATGATCACTCGGTTACATGCCATGTATCAACGATCCACAAGGATCCTTATATTTCTCATCGTCGTGTGCTTGGCTGTCAACATCTTCAGGGGAGTGGTCATGGTAACATCAACGAGGCAAACTTCAGGAGGTACACTTGATTGTGAATGAAAACCGTGCATGGCGCTCATTGATGAATACAAGAGGAATTCATTCTCTCTGGCACCTATGTGTGCGCGATTGGCTATGGGGACAATTTTTCACTTCTGTTTTCCATTACTTGGATATTCGACACTGTCTGGGAGGTCCTCGCACTGTGTTTCGCAGTCTGGATTGCTGTAAAACACTTCCGTGGACTGCGGCAACATTCGGCAGGAGTGATTATCGGCGACTGTTTCACGGTGTTGATAAAATCCCACGTGTTTTACTTTGCGAGGTGAGCTCATGTTGTGAATATGGTTCCCTTTTCCGCTGAATGGTTGAATGCGCTAGCTTGGTTGCTGCGTCTTGTTTCAACCTTGTATATTATTTGTTTCCAACGCTTTCAGCGGTATGGCAATATTTCACTGACCTCTGCATGCGACCGCGGTTCATCATTTCTATAGGACCAATTTTCTCTCGAAGCTCAGATTTTTATTGGCGTTACTCAGATTTTGACACTCGCACGGTCCTTTGTGCTAGGACCACGCCTCATCCTAAGCGTTCGAGAATATCACGCTCAACTCGTGGCTGACTCTGATGCAGCAACCGGCATGACCTCAATCGCTTTCCAGGAGCGCGTGCATATATCAACTGGCAGTGGCGTATAGCACGGGAGATGCTCGATGGAGTTAGTAGTAATCTGGTACTATGCATGGAGCAGGAGAATTTGGCTTTTTTCTTTTTGATTTTCAAGTTTCGTCGTGGTACTTATTTATTTGGTGTTGCAGAGCGGATTTCAAGGAGATCTAAACATAGCTCTTTGCAAATATTTCGTCGTAATATGCATTCAAGTTATTTGTTCCACAGACCAAAATTGACAGTCCGGACTCGAGAGAGGCGAGTCACGCCATTTGGCTTGTTCATTTATTTGCGTTCTCATCCAGATCACGCCCCTACCCTACAAAAAGCTAACAACGTCATAATAGATCAAGACATTGACTCCAAAATCGTATCCATTCATGCGATGATAGCGTAGGCGAGCACCTCGCAGTCTATACACCTCCCCCGCCGCCCATTCAAAACATCGATGCGTCGACTGCGGGCTGCATGATGAAATTAGTACGCTTTCAGACTCAAGTCCCCTTCTGCGCCTCCCTGTGAAGCGTGTTGGGTTGGTGGAGGTCTTGGTCATTGCCTCGGTTCTGGAAGCGGGCGGAAGAGCACGTTGGGAGTGTAATTGTTAAACGAAAACATATGAAAATGCCGATGTGGAACGCACTCGCATCAAGTCGGAGAGGTGGTTGACAGACTTTCAACGCACAGTAGACTTCAGAGGGCGGTTGGCAAGAAACTGTCAAAGGAACGTGGGTGAGTTAGTCGTGTAAGTTGAACGTTGAGCTCTTGTGTCATTGCAAATGGATGAATCGATGATGGACGGTGCAAAGATCGTGATGAATTATGTAGTAACATCGAGGAACATTTAGAAAGAGCGTAATACATTTATAGAAAGAGTGTGTTAGCCTTTAAACAATATCGTAAAGTGCTTTCAAGTAGGTGAAAAATGAATATAACGAGGGTAGGAGCGCCCAGACACGAGCGAGTGAAAAAAAGAGATGATACCGATTCTCAAGTTCATGCAAAACTAATAAGGCCTGTATACATAACCCAGCAGCTCCGAAGGACGTCTTTCCATCAATTCAGGGCACATGCAGCCCTCAGTCCAACCATCGGCCGTCCTCGCAGGCTCCGTGAACATGGTGTAGTCCTCCGAAGTATCCCCCGGGTCATAGAAGACGCTGTACGATGGGTTTTGGATGTTTGCGTGGTATTGGTATTGGTAGGATGGAGATGGAGCAGAGGGCTGGGATGACGACGACGCGGAGGGGGTAACAGCAGGATGCCGAACGCCGAAGCGCGGACCAGCGACATATCCGTGCTTTGATTGGCGATGGCGCGTCAGGGCAGATGGGTCATGCGTCCTGAAGGGACAGTCGGGACAAACATAGCGCTGCTCGCCAGTGCTAAAATTGGTATGGTTAATCAAGTAGAATCGTTGACGGTTATCAATTAGCACGTACTGCTTAGCGTAATGGATGTTCAAGCTCGTTGTTGTCAATGTCGCGAAATCACACCCGGGAAAGGGGCAGTAGTGAGCGCTGAACGTCTCACGTAAGTGATCGATATTGCATGTTATGATAAACACGTACTTGGCGGAATGTTTAGCCTCATGCTTCTTGAGGTCCACGTACTTGATAAAAGTCTCGTCGCAGTTAGACTGGGAGCAAACATAGTTCTACACATTCCAATACTCAGTCTTAGTACATGAAGTATGCTCGCGATGAGGCTCACCTTGATATGAGACATGTTGAAAGACACCTGAACAACCTTTATTTTAGGTCCGACTGGAGACGTTAATGCGTTCTGGTATGCCATAGGTACGGGTGGGTCCACGAGGTTCAATTTGATTATAGAGGAATATGAGCGGGGGACAGTAATTGAGTCTGAGGTGAATGCCTGATTCCCTCTGGGGTGATGATGGGCTAGGTAGGCATTTGGGCTGGTATATATACGATTACCGGGGGTGGAAATGCCACTGTGCTTTGGTGTGGACGGACGCTTGTGAAGTTCATAGATGGGCGCTTTGTGGTGGCTACTGACTAGTGGACGTAGGCAAGCGTGGGTGCATTGACAGAGCTTCCACATCCGTTAGAAGGTTCATTGTCTGTTATACGCAATGCTATGAAGGAAATTTTCATAGCAAGGACTGGTCAATGGCAGGCGTGACGTACATGGATGAATATGCCTGCGCGAGCATAGTAGCCCGATTTTTGTGGAGAGGCATTGGGCTCAGCCCAGGGGGATCCAGGATCGAGGTTTTCCCCGGAGACTCGATGAAGGTCAACTCGATGCACAGAATAAAGACTAACACTGAGAGTCGAGGTGTAGAATTGGTTCGACAGGGTGTTCGAAGTCTTTGTCGTCATGACCCACCTAGGTTGTCACTCGACCAATGCCTTATGTCACTGGTCCAAGAGTAGCGCTTTGAGGGTTCCATCCTTGTGGGCATGACCAGGTGAGACACAACGCTGTTGTGGGTATAAGCTATCAGTTTCGGCAGTGAGATGGTCAAAGGATGAAATCGGATACGCAATTAATCAAGTATGATCATAGGGTCCGTGCATTGGTGTAGGCTAGTGCTAGACAGCACGTCAACTGTGAAAGACGTAACGTGTATTCTTCACGATTGCCAGTGTGCAATTGCCAGGTTTATGCATCCTTGAATGAAAGTAAGCACGAGTGAATCTCAGGGGAAAGTGGTAGGTTTCGTGGTCGAGTTGACGACATTCTTCCAACGTCGTGCACAATTTACACGGATCCCAACGAATATGATAATCCATACTTGTGCGATCAAAGCCACTTGCTCGAAGAAGTTGTCTTTGATAGGCTCGTCCCATGAACGCTGAGGAACCTCCCAGCCGTTGCTCTCATGCAAATTGAAGTTGCACTGTTGCAGAGACCATGTAGTTACTCGATGTAATCCATAATATTATGCGAAGCCGCGATGGTGGGCAATGGAGCAAAGATCATGGGTGCATTCGTGACGACCATATGCTTGCTCAGTGTTTGAAGTCAACACAAAAACAACCATATTCGTGTGCGTGACCAATTGATGAGAGAGGAGTCCAAGTGCTAAAATTTGGCGGTGATTGAACATATGTCAATGTGCCTGATTAATCACATGCGAGAATGACGCGCGCTTCATGATGTCGATGAAGTTCGGCTGTGCTCGCTGTCGGTTACAGCGAGCATGGCTATATTCTCGAAGCTGCTCTACCCTCAACTGAACGAACTGCTTCGTCAACGGTCATCGCGGCGACCGTTGCTTGTTCTGCTAGCATCGGTGCTCATTCTTCGGTCTAGTCTGTTTAAACCAATCACGGCGGACAGGTCAAAGTCGAGTACATCGAATGCTCTCGGTTTACCAACGCACAGTCAAACAGAACTGGCTAAAGACGCAGTTTACTTTCCTCTTGTGAACCCGAGTCCAGGACTTGGTCTTCCATTTCTGCATCAACTCCGTTCGCTCCTGCGAATAGTCCTCCCTTCGCTTTACACTCGTGAAGCGCTCCTCCTCACTGCTCACTCCACTTTCCTCGTCCTTCGCACAGTGCTGAGCATAGCTGTTGCCCGCCTAGATGGTCGCATAGTAAGGGACTTGGTCAGTGCAGATGGCAAGGGGTTCTTGACTGGCCTCGGTCTATGGTTCGCACTCGCTGTACCAAGTATATATACAAACTCCATGGTACGCCCCTGCTATGACTTTCCTTTCTTCCCTATTTATAATATCCTCAGATCCGCCACCTCCAATCTACGCTTTCCCTGAGATTCAGAACCCGGTTGACTCGATACATCCACGATCTCTACCTCTCCTCCGCTCCCCATCTCCGCTACTACCGCGTACCCCTCCATGGAGTCGACCAGTACATCACAGCAGACGTCGACGCTTGGGCAGAGAGCGTCGCAGGTATCTAGTATGTTCTTCCTCTTTCGCATGAGCAGAGCTGACTCCTTCCAGCGGCAATCTTATGAAACCCTCACTTGACCTCCTTCTCTTCACTTCACAACTTGCAAGGTCTCTCGGCTTCAGAGGCACAGTACTGCTATTCATCAATTATTATGTCACTGCCAAGGTCTGTCCTCGTGACTATATGTACCCTATGCCCTTCTAACAACCTGCCCTTCAAGATCCTCCGCGCCGTAACACCTGCCTTTGGTCGTCTCGCAGCTGTAGAAGCCCGTTTGGAAGGTGAATATAGAGCTGGTGTTGGACGCGTAGGGAGAGAGAGCGAGGAGATCGCGTGAGTGCCCTTCTTTCCATGGCTGTCATTTCTCTCATCCTGACAGATTCTACGACGGAGGCGCACGCGAGCGAGATATCCTCACGAGAGTGTACTTGAGACTGATCAAACATGTGAATTCTATATACAAGGTAGGTCTGAGTTTGCTTCTGCACTTGCTTTTCTGCCTTGGTACACCCACATCGTTCCGTCATCTTCTTGGTTATAATAAACACTCTTCCATTTCCTATCGACACAACTCTTACCCATGGCGCTTTCTTCACAAACCATCCACTTCCCATCCCATTTCAAAACCACGCCCTCTCAAAACCCATTTCCCAACCCTCTCCTCCCAAAACCTCAACTAATTCCTTCAATCTCTAGATACGCATCGCATACGAATGGACAGAAGACTTTGTTATCAAATATCTCTGGTCCGCCGCTGGGTACGGGCTGATAGCTGTTCCGTTGCTTATAACGAGGAAGCGCTCTCGTGTTACCGATGGCACTCGTGTTGCAGACGGAGAGGATGCGGGAAAGGGGGAGCGAAAGAAGAGGAGCGACGCGGATGGCATCGTCGCTGCTAGGACGGAGAGTACGTGTTTTTTCATCGTGTTTTTGGTCTGGTTCGGTGTGGTATAGATTAGATCCTTGTTTGGTTTTGAATCCCCTCAAAAGAAAAGAGAACTAATAGCTCACACAGCCTACATCTCCAACCGCCGCCTTCTCCTCTCCCTCGCAGACGCAGGTGGGAGACTCATGTACGCGTATAAAGATCTGCAAGAGGTTGCTGGGTTGACTGGGCGGTGAGTGCTTTGTGTGTTGTCACTCGCACTGTCTCATCCTGGTATTCTGCACTCGACGACTGTATTTCGACTCGACGAACCCACCTACCCCGCGAAAGACTCTACACCCTCCTTTCAACCCTACACAACCTCCCCGCGCTTCCCCCAGCGCTTCAAGGGGATGGTGATACATTCGCGCTGAAGGACGTGGACATATGCGTTCCAGGGTATCCCTTCGTCTCTGCCCAACCACAACTCGACTCTCCCTCACCCAAACCTTCTCATTCCACTACCAACTCTGATCTCAAAGGCACACAATCCATCCCAAACCCAAACTCAGGCTCGGACCCCAGCATCCTCACTTCCTCAGACCCAAATCTAAAGTCAGAAACCCTCTCGGGCACAAACACCACCACCCTCGTCCGCGCACTCACGCTCACCCTCCGACCAGGCATGCACCTCATGATAACAGGATCTAACGGGGTTGGGAAAACGGCTGTTGCGCGTGTTTTGGCGGGGCTTTGGGCGCCTGGGAGCTGTTCGACCCTCACGCATCCCACTGACAGCGCACTTACGCATCCCACTGACGGCACACTCACGCGTCCCACAGACGACGCAAACGGCCGTCCAGGAGTATTCGTCATCCCACAACGTCCATATCACCCCACAGGATCCCTTTTATCGCAAGTCATATACCCACAACCGGTATCCGAGTTCAGTGCGTCGTTCAAGGCTTTAGAGGAATTAGAAGGGTTGCTATGTGCGGCTCATCTTGGGTATTTGGTGGATAGGGAGGGTGGGTGGGATGCAGTCAAGGAGTGGAGGGATGTGTTGAGTGGGGGGGAGAAGCAGAGGGTGAGTTTTGTGCTGGACCTTGTTGTATTCGAGGCGGGTACTGATTTCGTCGTAACAGCTAGCGATGGCCCGTCTTTTCTATCATCGTCCCAAATTCGCGATTCTAGACGGTGAGTCTCGTTTGCCTGCCTCCAGACCTACTCCCGGGCATCTGACTTGATATCAAACGCGACAGAATGCACATCCGCTGTGAGCTCTGACGTCGAAGGCCAGATGTATGAGCATGCAAAGGCATTGGGGATTACATTGATTACTATCTCCTTGCGGTGCGTGTTTTTGAGTGGTTTTATCTTGTGTCGATGCTTATGACGATGACGCACGCAGACCATCTCTGACAAAGTATCACACGTATATATTGACTCTTACGGGCGATGGAACGGGGAGTTGGACGTTTAGCCGGATTGCTATGCCTCGGGCTCAGGAGGGAGATGGGAATGAATCGGTGGAAGGGTGTGGTGAGAACGGATCAGCGGAGGGGCACAGCACGAGCCAACCAGTGGCAGAGGATGGCGAAAGCGAACCAACAGCAGCACTCACAGAGGACTCAGGAGCCAGATACCTCGCGCACGTCCTCGAAGAGATACGTGTGCTAGAAGCACGGATTGAGGAGTCGTGTGGGTGGGAGAAGAGGGTGAGGGAGCTTGGGGAGGCGTTGAAAGCCCAGTGATGTCGTGAAGGGTGAGGCGCTTGTTTGTTCTTGGGTTGGGGTTTTGTTTTGTGAGGGGACGCGAGATATTGCATATGGTCTCGAGGACGGGTGAGGCGACGGTCTTCTGGCGTGGCATAATAGCTAGGCTGACATGTAGACTGGGTGTGGACATAAGGTCCGTGGTGATCTAGTAGAAAGGTGTGGCGCTGCTTAGCTTGTCTGTCATCATCATAGACTGTAGTGCAAGTTAACAGTTATTATATGATGCCTCTGCTGACCCCTTTGCATCCCCTCTCGGCGATCTCGTGCTATCACTCTCAAAAGAGTATTTTTAACTTCATTCAATGCTCGAGTATGTTCTTCACAAGTTCTTCATGTACTGCCACCGCACTGTTAGGGAAATGTTCCGGGAGCATTGAGAGTACTTTTATTGCAGGACCTTCAAGTTCTTTGACCCTGGCTTCTCTATGCGGGCTCCTAGGATCCTGGTTTACAATTAGAACGTCTTTCTTCTATTTGGAAGGGGAGACTACTAATAGCTTCTACTTCATACGCTTGAGTCTTTCGGTCTCGGCGCATAGGACACCCCCAAAGATGATATTTACACGCGTAGCCGTCGGCATGTACGCACTCTCATTTTCCGATCTCAAGGAAGGACGGTCCGGTTAGTTCGGTATATGACATCCATATCTCGACCCATTGAGCTCATCCCCCTTCATGCACGCGATTTTCTGCATTGCACATAATCTCACAAGGAACAGATGTCGTCCTTCTCGAATTGACTGTGAGAGACTAACACAATCACGCTGACAATATTGTATGTACAGGGCTGCAGGCTGTATTTTTGTGTGACCTGTTGCGTGCGTGCGAGTTTGACAGCCTGAGACGAGCAAAGTTTGAATTTTGAAGCGCGAAATCATAGTTACAATTGAATTGGCACAAACCTTGTTTGCATTTGAAACTTCATTGTAACAAGCTATCAAATTTGCCAACCATGGTTAACCGGCACCTCGAGTTTCAACGACACGCGCAGCTGCAAGAGAGCAATGAGGTGTGTTTGTTTTGTGGAGGACGTTCATTCTCAAACTATCGTTGATCTGAAGCGCAGTGAAATTTCCCCAGGAGCAACTCATTCTGCCATGACAGAATCTGAATGAGCTCGTGCACACGCATCGAGTTTGGCCACCAAACCCGATACATGGACTCTGTTCGGAAATCAAGATCCAGGTAGAATCTATAGTTCGTGCTACCTTTGCATCACTATGGTAATCCACAGGTCCAGTACACGACTGGGCCAGAGCACAACAGGCAAGGACAAGGCAGGGCAAAGCACATTATACGACCTCGAAGGAACAACGAATCTGCAGTAGACCTCCGTATCAAAGCGTGTGGTCCCACACACAATGCGCTTCCACTACTGTCTTTGACGCCGCAAATCATGGGGGAGTATTAAAGGCAGGGCTCCTTCAAACCAGCTTCACATCTTACCCACTCATCATGGCATCTCAACCTATCACCCGATCTCCATTTGGCTTCTTTCCAGCTGAGCTTGTCCTCCTCATCATCAGAGAGGCTGCACAGCCAACTTTTTCCCAAGCTGAAAAATATGCTGATCATAATCCCTATTCGACCACTCTTTCGCTATGTCTCGTCTCCAAAAATTTCAGGGAGATTGTGCTTCCTTATTTACTGCACACCGTATCGCTCCCAAAATCTCAGAACGTGAGAAAGTTCGTGGAAGCTCTGCATATGCAGGAAGCATATGCTCAAGAAAGCAGCCCCTTCCAATTCGAGTACGCATCTTTCGTACAGAAAATTTGGATTGGAGAGGACGGGGATCTTGCAGAACCTAACTTGCTCAGAACCCTGGGCTATGAACCGGCGTCTGAGCGCGAGCGTGCCATGGGTCTGCTGGCTCCGGTGCTACTCACTGCGCCCTCCATTGCCCTTGCCTGGACAAGTCTGGACCTTCTTTCAGACTGCCTGGCAATTGCATGGGAGTCCCGTACAGACACAGACGTCAACAACGAACACTCCCCGCCTCCCTGGAAAACCCAAACTCTGACGCTATCTGGTACCTTACCAGATAGCGTCAGACCATGGGAGTTCCTGATGGGTACTTCCCATGGATCTGCTTTCGTTGCTTCGATCCTTCACCTCGCCTCCAACAACACGTCCAACAACACCCCATGGGGACCCCTCCCGACCCCCCAGGGATGGCCTGAGCTTATTGACCCTGTTTGGCTTGCCCATGATCTGATCTATGCTCAAATGTACGACCTGCCTAAGTGGATGGAGCGCACTCCATGGGGTTCTTTCCAGAAACTTCAAACAGTGTCATTGGCCTATGCGCATGTCAGACGCCCTTTCGATTCATCCGCATTGATCACAACGGGATTGCCCTTGCATGTGGAGGTGCTGATGTTGTCTGCATCCTTGCTGCGCCACCCTGTTCCGTACGTGGCGAGTGGGTTTATCAAGAGGGGTCCCGGAGAGGAGTGTATTGTGTCGGACGATGTTCGTTTCAGGGTGTCCCGTTCTCGTTTACACTTTAGGTATGCTCATGAAGATTGGCAGAAGGTTTGGGCATGCGGATTTGGGCGTTATGATTCTAAAGACGACTAGGGGTGTTATGATATGGCTGATATTGTATATATGATTCTAACAAGGACTCCCTGCGGTCGGCAGTTGCAGCATTGCGTTTATAATGAATAACTCGGAAAATACAATGTTTGCAGAATCTCGTTCTTCGTTCGTCCCCGTAAATAAGCATATTGTGTCTCTCCGTGTCCTTACTCTCGATAACGCTGTATATAATTGACAGTGAGCAAAGGGGTCAGTGCGGAGGTCGAGAATAGTCGTTCGTGCACAACAGATAGATACCATCTTCGGCAGAAGCTGTATTCGCACCAAACATGAATACATTGACACGGACTAGATCACCACTGTCTGAAGTGGCGATGAATTCGAATCTGTCGTATCGCCAGAAATTCTTTTCTGCAGAGCGCCATAGTGCAGTGCGCGCAAGGAAATAGGAGAACGCAGAGCAATGATATCAAATGACGCGAATTATTCAAATGCATCGGTACAGACCAACGGCAAAAACGCGCGTCAGCATAGCATGACGGGGTGGACGCAATAGCCACCGAACCGCCGGTTATTCAAGCTTAAAGACGAACACTACGATGCATGATAATTAGCTATTAATTAGTATAATGAACATACTGAGACTCTGCATAGGACACCCCCAAAGATGATATTTACACGCGTAGCCGTCGGCGCGGGTGCAGCGTCGTCCACTCCTGCAGTCAAGAAAATGACTATAAGAACAGTTTTCCACTCCCAACAGAAATCTCCGCAACTTCGCGTCCATAAATAGAATCCAACACCAGCTTAGCAATGGTGAGAGGAAATCGCGGACTGTACGTTGACCCTGGTGGTGAGGACATCGCGGCCGGGGTCGTCATCCTGGGCGGGGATGGAGAAAGTGCTAGCGTCGGTAGATTTATGCAGGTTGAGCACCAGCCGAGAGATGAGAGTAACGGAGATGCTGGCGGTCATATGTAAAATAGATTCATGTTGATTGCATGACCCACTCACCAGCTACTAAGTGTAGCCAGAGTGCCTCTGGTAGCAACCTTGCTAATCGTCAGGAAACAGTCAACTTAAATATAAGATGCGGCTGTATGCTCACTGGCCCAGACTGATTCAATCTGTGAGCGCTTTGAACCTCCATCAATACTCATTCGTGGACTTACGTAGTATGCCAGGATGTTCGGTATGTTCACCAGCGCCATCGCTCTGAAGGCAACTAGATCAGGGTCATTCGAATCACGATCTCGCTAACAACCTCACCCGAAGTACATTACACCTACGTTCAGTTGATTCAGTGTTTATAATACAGATTGCAACGAAAGATGTACCATCATAAAATATGATATCAATCATGTTTCTCCTGGTGAATAGAGACAACTGCAGCAAGCCTCTAGTTTTGCAAACCCTGTACACCGTGAGGATGAAGATCAGTAATTCGAAGACAAATTCGGCCATCCATGCCAAACCAATACCTGCAATTGCACAAGGTCATGACATCAAGCTGCGTGGAAATGAAGCATAGACTTCACTCACGGGTGGCTCTGCAACAAATTTTGAATAAGCACTCAGGTCAGCAAAGAGGATGGCGTACGACTCTGCTGTAGATGATTCATAGCAGCCAACTCCTGGAACGGTGGCCACATCACCTGAAAAATGTCCAAAAGTGCTCGCCTAGAAACGATAAGTACACCTCAGAGTATAGAATTTATACAAAGACGTACAGAAACTCCTATCACAAGAGAAACGAGCACGATTACCATGAAAGTAAGAAGGCGCTTGCTACAGCCGTAAAGAGCATAAGTGCGAATGGTCATTATGACTGAAATTTTCAGCATATGAATGTTCTGTTAATAAATTTCTACTCACGGCAAACGATTGCCGCTTGGAAAATAAAGGTCAGCTGTCTGTATTTTGCATATTTCAAACATCTAAGTTTTTGTTGAGCAAAACAACAGACTCGGATATTCAAGAACCATAATGAAACAAACCTCTACAGAAATAAGTTGTGAGCACGTCAGTTGAGTACATGCATAACGAAATCATAGAACCTCCTCTGACACAACAGGCAGGAAATGCAAAAGTAACCCGGAGATATTGCTGAGCAGAGCGAAATAGCGATTGAGCAGAAAAATCATTGCCGACAGTGCTTTTGGACGACGCCAAATAAAAGCGATTTCTTCTGGTAGGGTCGTCATATGGTCGTATATCAAGATGCCTGCAAGACCATGTTATCGTCCTGAGACCACAAACAAAACTAGGTTCTAGTACTGTTTCCCATCAGAATGGCGTACATGCGGAACAACCTGTAAATATTCGATCGCCGTCAGGATACATGGCCAATCTATGTACATATCACTCACATATGCTGCGCTTCCGAGTTAATAGTATCCATTGAAATGAGCCGATAGTGACAATAGGAGAAAGGCGTTCGACAAGAATGTGCGGCGATCCATTTTATACTAGCCGCGACTTTCCGCAATAATCAATCAGGTGCAAGTCGACAACTCCATATCATCCTAGACATAATATAATGCTGTGCATCGACGATGCAAATAGAACGTTACTAGCCTTGCATAGATGGATGCCTTGATCCCCGCTGCGTAAAGATGTATGCAGTTCCTTGCTGAAACACAGCAGTATTGCAACCATGGTGATCGAAGCTTGTCACGTTGGGTCAAGATCTAGGCAGGAATAGCCACCCGCAACACTAGTACTAGTTGAACGTTAGCAGCTTGATGAGATCACACACTTGTCAAACGCCAATTGAGGACATTGTGAACGTAACTTTGCATGTTGAATACATTTTGTAACAATCATCAAATCTCCGGTGCGACTGAATTGCATATCGATGCATGCTGACAAGATCATACTGGTTTTCTAAAAACATATGACTGTACAAGTCCAGTGTCAAACTTGCTCGCGGCTGAATGAAGAGCCGAATGAACATATCGGTAGAAACTCTCCTGCTGTGGGAGTCTCTTTGTATGGGAAGTTCGTTTTGTGAGGTGGGTGTTTAGGATTAGCAGCCAGCTAGGCTGGCGTATGGATTGCGTGTGGAGAGATTTAAATCTGAGAGGCTGCCCAGTTCAACCAATGCACATGCAGCAATTACTTACTTGTTGCCCGACAAGACCAAATTGAACTGCGATGTCCCGACGACAATACTTGTCTGTGTCAAGACAACCAGCTACAGCGAAAGGAAACACACCGTTCTGTTGAAGCGACTCGGGAAAAGCTGGGGGTTGGCGGGACTCAAAGTCCGGCCCGCCTCGGCGTGCCAGAAAGTCACGTGTCAGCATACTGACAACTCGGGCATCGGCTCGGTTAACCCTTCGCTTCGAAATTAACAGGAATCAGTCCATTCCTTAAAGCTTTGGCATTTATCTGGTGCGTGTGTATACTCACTCATCCAGCTCCAGATGTCAACCTCAATTCAACTCCCATCAGACGCAGTCCCCTTCAACATCTTTGCTCTTACATCAATGCCTCCAAACGATAAATACCGTGGCGCCGTTGTAGAGGTACGTATCCATCATTATCATATTAAACTAACATAAACCAACGCATCATCGATCACTAGGACCTACAACTCCCCCCTGCATTCTGTTTACCCTCCACCGAATCCGTATCTCGCGCAATGGAGTCAGCATATGATCGTGACTTCTCTCATATACCGTAAGTGCGTTTCTTCCGTGCGCGTCATTGACTAACTTTCTAATTCAGCGTCCTAAACCGCGATCGCCGTCCTCTTGGGTACGTGGATGTCGCTGCTCTGAAAGCAAAGTGGGAAGCGGGCACAGCATCGCCAGTACGTATCGTCATTAGATCGATAACCCCTTACATGCTTAACGCGACGGCTCAGAACGACTCCATCAGTAAATACATGACCAAGTTCAATCGTAAAGCGTCTGAGCCTTACACCCTCATAACGCCCTTGACGCCCCTTGCTGAACTGGCAGAGTTCTTGCGGGACAATATCTTTGCGCTAGGTGCGTCTTGAGGCTGTGAATGTTGCAGTTTTGCAGTTCTGACAGCCTCGATTGTTGTAGTTTCGGACCAGGGCAAGAATTTCGTGCTTGCTGTGGCGACATCGCAGGATTTGGACGTAAGCCTGCATTTTCTTCGTGCATAGGATCATGGACTCATTTTTTTATTCAGAATTTCGTGACGCGTAGGGGTCGTTGATCTCATGCCTGATAGATCATATTATCCCCTTAATTAATTATTCTCGGGCGTGCGGTTTTACATCTATCAAGTGGAATATGTTTCAATATTAAGCAATGGGCACCTGATCGTGCGTTGGCGCAATGTATGTCAGGTTGTGGAGTTGGAGAGAGTATTAGTTTCGTCACAGGAACGACGCAAGTCCTCACAGAGGTACGGTAACACCCTACTTAGTGCGACGTTATCTCTTAGCTTGCTACGTATGGGCTATGGTACCAGGCCTCTAAGCACCGAGATGTGGTAGCCAATAGCCTGATGCTGATGATGATTATTTTCAAGGATAACATACATATCGGATATGGTGTAATGGTTAACATTACCGCCTCTCACCATCAATATTAATTCGCGGTAGCTCGGGGTTCGATTCCCCGTATCCGAAAGTTTTTTATATTTTGGCTGTAAATATTGGTTTCCCTCACACGCCACGCTCTCTTTCCAAGTTTCAACTCGAGACCACTTGCTCTCAAGTACATAGCCTAGCTACACCCCGCAAGTGGTCGTGGGTCTCTTCCTTAAATACCAAGCTACCGCGACAGGGAGTTGTGGTTCATGAAGTTCTCGGCAGTCTGATTTGGACAACGACTTTGTCGAGGACGTTCCATGTGTCTGTAGAGTATAATTATGAAATGACAATAAACGAGATGTCTTTACGAAAAATTCACGCAAGTTGAGAAACACTGCAGCAGAATGTTACGCAGTTCTGACCCGACCAATCGGACCAGAAATAGTTGGGAGATACATCAAGCTGCTGTTAGAGACATAGTAGGCCTAACCGCTGTCTCAGCTAAATGACCAGCATGCTTCATGCATATATACGCCATACCAGAGAGAAAGTCCCGTAGTTGCATGATTGTACAAATTTGATAGTGCCACATCCCTCAAAACTTGAACCGCCCTCGACAGACCATTCTTGAAACCCTCATTTGCCTCCAGAATATGACTCCAAGCATCACCTACGTTGTGATTCATTGACTGGCATCAAGGTCGTGCTGAAGACAAATAAATCAGCGGGATTGCCACAATCATGAGAGTTGAAACATACGCAGGCGATGTTCTAAAGTGATTTTAAGAATTGTTTCGAGTAAACCCGAGTAATCCTTAGGTTGTCTGTCCTTCCTCCGGAAACGTCCAAACAGTAGCTTTGCTTTCCAATTAGACGAGTTTCCTTGATTTGTGTGGACGACAGTGCCCACAGGTTCTTGGTATGGGTGAACGGCAGTGTTCACTGCGTCCCTGACAGCAATTGCATGCGGAGACACCATATATCGCTCGAGAGCGACATGATAAGAGGGAACAGATTCCTGCTGGTCCTGAAGATGGCGTCGCTGGTCGAAAACGTAGAAAGAGTGTTCAAAAACAATGACAGCAGCTAAATGATTGAAAATGAGCAAGTTCACTGCAATGCGGCCTGAAGATTCACCAGAAACAAGCTGGAAAATTTGCTCGAATGGTGATGCACTGGCAGAAGTCTGGTACATTTAAACATGTGTGTACAGCCTGTAACCAATTGAACGCACCACAGATAGCATCCTAGACCGCATCTCTCTAAGTCGATCGTGGTAGAGCTGAAGTGATGATGGAAAGTTGAAAACCGTCACCCTCTGCTGAGGACCAATACACTCACATTCTGTCAATGAATAAAGTCTCCGGTCAGCATGGCTCAAGGCCAAAGGAGGATGATCAAACTCACCTCCTATGAATGGATCAGCGATGTCGTTGGTGAGAAAGGCTCGAGGCATGAGACACTCACAGTCTGTTGAGGAATGCCCAATGTGAGTGATAAGCAAAGCTCGAGCTCTACGAAGGATGAAAACACTGACTTCCTGTGAGTGAGCAATGTCACAAGTGAGCAAGGCTCGAGCTCGACGGCAGAAGAACACACTCACATTCTGTCAACGTGGATCGGCAATTTCACCGGTCAGCAATGCTGGAGCTCGACAGAGGATCGATGCGCTCACAAGCTGTGAACGGGTGGGTGATCTCTTCCATCAGCATGGCTAGAGCTTGACGGCGGACCGACCAACTAACATTCTGTGAACGGGTGGGCGATGTTTTCAGTAAGCAGGGCTCGAGCTTGGCAGCGGATAGACCAACTCACAATCTGTCAACGAATCACCCAATGTATTTGGTCAGCAGGGCTCAAAGTCGACAGCGGGTGAAGAAACTCACACCCTGACAATGGATCAACGGTTGCATCAGTGAGCAGGACAGGAGGTCGACTGAGGATCATCACGCTTACAAGCTATCAACGAATCAGGCATTCTATCGGTGAGTATAACTCGAGGCCGGTGAGGGATGAATATACTCACATTCTGCCGATGGATCAGCAAGTCCTTCACTCAGCAAGACTCGAGCTCGAGGAAGGATCAACACTCACATGCTGTCAACGGATGGGCAACGACTTGGATCAGCGTGGCTCGAGCTCGAAGGAGGATCAAGACACTCACACGCTGCGAAGAGCGGGCAACAACTTGGATCAGCATGGCTCGAGCTCGAAGGAGGATCAAGACACTCACAGCCTTCGAAGAGCGGGCAACGATTTGGATGAGCATGGCTCGAGCTCGAAGGAGGATCAAGACACTCACAGCCTGCGAACAGTGGGCAACGACTTGAATCAGCCTGGCTCGAGCTCGAAGGAGGATCAAGACACTCACAACCTGCGAAGAGTGGGCAACGACTTGGATCAGCCTGGCTCGATCTCGAAGGAGGATCAAGACACTCACAACCTGCGAAGAGTGGGCAACGACTTGGATCAGCATGGCTCGAGCTCGAAAGAGGATCAAGACACTCACGTCCTGCGAAGAGTGAGCAACGACTTGTATCAACATGGCTCGAGCTCAAAGGAGGATCAAGACACTCACAGGCTGCGAAGAGTGGGCAACGACTTGGATCAGCCTGGCTCGAGCTCGAAGGAGGATCAAGACACTCACAGGCTGCGAAGAGTGGGCAACGACTTGGATCAGCCTGGCTCGAGCTCGAAGGAGGATCAAGACACTCACAGGCTGCGAAGAGTGGGCAACGACTTGGATGAGCATGGCTCGAGCTCGAAGGAGGATCAAGACACTCACATACTGCGAAGAGTGGGCAACGACTTGGATCAGCATGGATCGAGCTCAAAGGAGGATCAAGACACTCACACGCTGCGAAAAGCGGGCAACAACTTGGATGAGCATGGATCGAGCTCGAAGGAGGATCAAGACACTCACAGCCTGCGAAGAGCGGGCAACGATTTGGATGAGCATGGCTCGAGCTCGAAGGAAGATCAAGAAACTCACAGCCTGCGAAGAGTGGGCAACGACTTGGATCAGCCTGGCTCGAGCTCGAAGGAGGATCAAGACACTCACAACCTGCGAAGAGTGGGCAACGACTTGGATCAGCCTGGCTCGAGCTCGAAGGAGGATCAAGACACTCACAACCTGCGAAGAGTGGGCAACGATTTGGATCAGTATGGTTCGAGCTCAAAGGAGGATCAAGACACTCACGTCCTGCGAAGAGTGAGCAACGACTTGTATCAGCATGGCTCGAGCTCAAAGGAGGATCAAGACACTCACATACTGCGAAGAGTGGGCAACGACTTGGATCAGCGTGGCTCGAGCTCGAAGGAGGATCAAGAAACTCACAGCCTGCGAACAGTGGGCAATGACTTGGATCAGCCTGGCTCGAGCTCGAAGGATGATCAAGACACTCACAGGCTGCGAAGAGTGGGTAACGACCTGGATCAGCATGACTCAAGCCCAAAGGAGGATCAAGACACTCACAAACTGCGAAGAGTGGGCAGTGACTTGGATCAGCCTGGCTCGAGCTCGAAGGAGGATCAAGACACTCACAACCTGCGAAGAGTGGGCAACGACTTGGATCAGCCTGGTTCGAGCTCGAAGGAGGATCAAGACACTCACAGGCTGCGAAGAGTGGGTAACGACCTGGGTCAGCATAACTCAAGCCCAAAGGAGGATCAAGACACTCACAAACTGCGAAGAGTGCGCAGCGACTTGGATCAGCATGGTTCGAGCTCAAAGGAGGATCAAGACACTCACATACTGCGAAGAGTGGGCAAAGACTTGGATCAGCATGACTCGAGCTCAAAGGAGGATCAAGACACTCACGTCCTGCAAAGAGTGGGCAACGACTTGGATCAGCATGACTCGAGCTCAACGGAGGATCAAGACACTCACTTCCTGCGAAGAGTGGGCAGCGACTTGGATCAGCATGACTCGAACGCGAACGAGGATCAACAGACGTACTACCTGTAAAAAAACACCCAACATATAAATGAGAGCAACTTTCGAACATTCCCATAATCTTACCCGAAGATGTGGAAACCAGTAACCCAATTCAGCTATTGCATCCTCAGATGAGATTTTCGCATCTGGGGCAACAAGCTCTCCAAGCGTCCTGGACGATAGTCAATAATGCTCGCGGCAGGCAAATGATGGGTAGATACTTCTCAACTGCATATCTCATGCAGAGTTCTAAGTTGGTCTGCTGAGTCGAGACGAATAATTGCTGAAGGACTCGATCGTCCAAAGTTCCAGCGGTCCGTTCGATGAGTGGCCCGCAATTAGCATCATCATTGTTCATGTCTAATGGATCAACAGTCATCATGTATCAGACTTCGATGATCTACAGCTTACCTGGGAGGCAGACGTGGCATTTTGGAGGCCGTCGGATGGTCTTTGGGTCGTATAGAAACTTGACTTGTGTCCCGTTCGCAAATGAGTCCTCGGCGTGCTTTGGGGCCAGTCGTTTGGCATCTTTCCTCGACATTCCGTTTTCTGTCAGTCGTGTGAATTCGGTAGCGTACAGTGCGTCGAATTTGGTAAATAGTACGATAACTGGAACTGAGGATCCAAGTCGCGAATCAGTCGATGATTAACGGACAGGTCCAAAGCTTACTGCTTCCAGTGTCGCAGCGGGAGAAGAATTTGACTTCGGCTTCAGTAAAACACCTGCTTGCCTGATCCATAGGTATGCAATACCTATGCCAAAGCAGTGAGCCAGTGAATGTCGCCAACTCGACCAATTACCATATAGCGTGAATTCGATCCTTCAAGTTTCCTTCCTTCGAACGGTCTGCGATAAATTGGTTCATCTTGTCATACTCGGATTCCCCGCCTGCTTCAAAGCCGCGCGAATCGTGAAAAATGAATCCTGGGTTGTTTCGGAATATCATTTCGTTTGCGATGTCGTGCTCTCCACGCTGAGAAAATGTCAGTTTATGTTGCCGACTAATGGTACACGTTACCTCTCTAGATGTTGTCAAAACAGCGGCATCGATCTGATGTCGATGAGACAGCTATAACTGTACTAGCATCATAATGCGCACCTTTTCCCCCGTGCTATTAAATATTTCAGGGTTCTCTTTTGTATTGCACACCCTCTGGAGGATGGTAGTTTTCCCTGCATTCGCTCTTCCTATGATGAGAATTCGAAAGCGATTGATCTTCTTTTTTATCTTTGAAGAATCCATGAAGAAAGGTAAATGGTAGCAATGGGACTGCGCGCTGGAGCGGTGAGAAATGTTCAGTGCTGAGAGTAGTAGACTTTTAACCGCTATCATCGGTGTGTGAGTTGTGTGAGTGCTCTTTGTAATGACTTTTAACCGCTCGGTGTGTGAGTTCTGTGAGCGCTCTTTGTAATGTAAGCTTGTGAAATCTAGATCTAGTGGGCAATGGGTTGTGCGTACGGGCCATGAGGCATACACAACTCGTCTCGGACCGAAGCCTGACGGCTGTACTGTACAAGCCTGTACATTGCAAAATAACGACATCCAACGAACCATATGCATGAGGCATACATGAACATGAGGAACCAGCAGGAACGTCAATGTCATTCTATTCAGTCTTCCTACAACTAAGTAGGTCAGACAAGTTTACCACCGGCGATCTGTTAAAACTTACAGTGTGTTGCATAAAAAACTGCGCAGTCGCATGTTTTTTTTCCACAGAGCCTATTTGTTCAGGCCAAATCATACCGAAAATACCCACAGTGTCGGTGTGACCAGTCACATCAAAGCCTCCTCACCTGTCTCAACAGCTTCGGGAGCGCATCATCACCTGGCGCTATGAGTTTGCTCGCAGATTGCAGCACTCGCTGGATGCTCCGAACGATTCCAGAAATCTCTCTAGTGAGAGCACGAATCTGCAAAGCATTAGGTGAGGCTGTGACTGGTCACGAGGTATTTTCGGTATGATTTGGCCTGAGCAAATAGGTACAAATAGGCTACTGTAAGGCCTTGATGCATTCGCAAGGAGAACAACTTACTGCCCATGCTAATTGATCATCTTGTGTAGTACCTCCTAGAGTCCTAGTTGACTGAGCAAGGCTAAATTGCCTGCGCTTGGAAGTATGTTACCTGTAGTTAATACATTCAGTGGATCGCTCCGCATCCATTAATCAACTTTAATTTCACGCGTATCACCAACCTTCGAGATCGCAGTCTGAGACACTGACAACGGATGGTGCAGTCAGTCCATTAAATTCGTTCAAACTAGACACCTATATGTACAAACACAATCTGCTGTTCCAGCGGAATCTTCTTGCGTAACGATTTCATAGCTTTGTGCAATGCTACCGCAGCGCGCGTGCAGTCCAATCTCCCCGAACCATCAATCAGATGTTCATAAAACACAGAAACAACCTGGCGTGCAACGTCGTCGTCGACAGTCCACATGGAACCGATCACGCTGCGAAATCCAGAGAATTGCATCGCCGCAGCGAGATTAATTGCTTCATCTGGGCTCGACTTATCACCCACGGTAGTGTGGCAAGCCGATAAGAATGCAAACTCCGGGTTCTGCCAGTGAGATCGGATGATCTCCCTGATCTTTAAAGGCCCGTCGCGCATTGCGAAAGAAGATTCAAATGGGTCTTTCGGATTTGGTATTCCATGGCAGGCCAGGTGAAGCCACTGATTCTGGCCCAATGCGTCGAATGCTCCTTGCACTGTCGCATCACTGTCCTCGAGCGATGTGAAGGATACAACGGGTGCGAGACGCTGAGCGACGACGGCTAGCTCAGAAGCGACACATTTAAGTTCTGTCCCCCCGTCCGGGTTTGCTTGACCAATGGCAACAAAACGTTGTGTAGAGGCATCTCGAGAAAGCTGCTGTCTCGCGCGAATGAGTGTCGTCAAGGTTGGGGTGTAAGAGGAGATGTAAAAGCGAGACAAATTTAGGCTCTTCTTCTCGTAGAGTCCTGCTGCGTGTAGAGGAAGCAGAGTGAACTCGGCGGTGGGACACCACCAGATGCGTGAACCAGGGAGAATCAATTCCCCGAGAACTTGAACCACTGGGCCAACAACTTTATTCCAGAGCTTGCGGAGGACGCTGACAATCTTGAGTAATTCAAGTTTAGGATCGGATGAACCAAAACCCTTCGCGAGGGATTGGAACTCTAAGGACAGCTTTAGGACTTCGGTTTGTGTGATATCAAGTGGAACGTGAATAGGATCTTGGGCACTCGTGATAATCAAGGCATCGCAGCTGTACTTGCTCGCGTTGACGATAATGACCGGTCCGTCTTCTGCCGCCTTCTGCAAGTATGAAAACAGCGGAGGCAGGAGAAAACGGGAAAAATGAGGTAGCATGCGGATGCGTGAGACGACGTCGTCCCATTGCATGGTCATCTGTCGGATGTGTTGGGACTGGTCTTCAGTAGACTTATCGAACGCGTTGCGAAGGTGAAGGCTGAGCTGCTTGAACTCTGCTGCCAAGGTGGCGCCGGTGTCACCTGACATGGAAAGTTCATCCAGTGGTGTGCGGAAGCGAGCCAACTGGGTCCAGAATACTGCACGGCCTTGTTCTACCAGTTCGACAGCAGTAGTGAAAGAACCATTACGAACACTGCACGAAAACGCATCCGTTGCAAAGGATGATAAAGCCCCCTTGACCGCATCGAAATGGCGTGAGGAGGACGATAGAGTGGCAACGTGTTGATCGAGGAATCTTAATGTAGTTTGATAGGCTAGCAAGGCAGAATCGTGGCGGAACTGCTCCGCAGAGGTAGCCCATGACTTGGCAGCATTAATATTGCTAAGAGAAACTGTATGGGATACTTGGGGGAGTTGTAAATAAAGCCCAAATGCTTCGTCCAAGTCCGGCAATAGACCCAGTTGCTCGAATCTAGTACAGAGGCTGAGAGCCAGGCTGAGTAGAGACGTGGATCGATGAAAATGGTCAAGGGGATAGAGTTCCAGTGCAGCCCGATGAAGCTCAATGACCTCATCGAGGTCAGAGAGGTCAACGACCTCGTCAAGGTAAGGCAGGACACCCCGCTGTTCAAATCTGGTTTCAAGGCTACCAGCAAGATTGCCAAGAGATGCGGCCCGGTCAGAATGGCCAGGTGGACAGAGTTCCAGTGCAGCCCGATGAAGCTCAATGGCCTCATCGAGGTCGGACAGGACATCATGCTGAAGGAATCTGGATTCAAGGCTGATAGCAAGGTTGTTGAGAGACACGGATCGATCGGAATGGCCAGGCGGACGGAGCTCCAATGCAGCTCGATGGAGCTCAATGGCTTCATCGAGGTCAGACAAGACACCCCGCCGCAAGAATCTGGTTTCAAGGCTAACAGCGAGGTCGTTGAGAGATGCGGATCGATCGGAATCGCCAGGGGGACGGAGCTGAAGTGCAGCCCGATGGAGCTCGATAGCCTCATCGAGGTCCGACAGGACGCCACGCTGCTTGAATCTGGTATAATGGCTGATAGCAAGGTTGTTGAGAGACTTGGATCTACCAGAATGGCCAAGGGGACAGAGTTCAAGTGCAGCCCGATGGAGCTCAATGGCTTCATCGAGGTCAGACAGGACGCCCCGCTGCTGAAATCTGGCTTGAAGGCTGCCAGCAAGGTTGTCGAGAGACGTGGATCGATCAGGATGGCCATAAGGACGGAGTTCCAGTGCAGCTCGATGGAGCTCAATGGCTTCCTCGACATCAGACAGGACACCCTGCTGCTTAAATCTGGAATAAAGGCTGGTGGCAAGGTTGTTAAGAGACGTGGATCGACCAGAGTGGCCAGGGGGACGGAGCTCAAGTGCAACCCGATGAAGCTCAATGGCCCCATTGAGATCAGACAGGACACCTCGCTGCTTGAATCTGGCATGAAGGCCGACGGCAAGGTTGTTGAGAGAATAGGATCGATGAGAATGGCCAGGGGGATAGAGTTCAAGTGCAGCCCTATGAAGCTCGATGACCTCATCGAGGTCAGACAGGACGCCTCGCTGCTCGAATCTGACATAAAGGCTGCTGGTAAGGATGTTGAGAGACTTGGATCGATCAGAATGGCCAGGGGGAAGAAGTTCCAATGCAACCCGATGAAGGTCGATGGCTTCATCGAGGTCAGACAGAACGCCCTGCTGCACGAATCTGGCTTGAAGGCTAAGGGCGAGGTTGAGAAAGGTGAATCGATCAGAATGGCCAGAGGGATTGTGTTCCAGCGCAGCCCGATGAAATCCGATAGCTTCATCAAGGTCAGACAGGACGCCCTGCTCCTTGAATCTGTCACGAAGGCTGATGGCAAGATTGTTGAGATATGCGGAATGAATAGGATGGGAAGGGGGAAGCAGCTCCAGTGCAGCTCGACGAAGCTCAATAGCCTCATCTAGGTCAGGCAGGGTGCCCCGCTCCTTGAATCTGTCACGAAGGCTGATGGCAAGGTTGTTGAGAGACATGGATCGATCAGAATGTCCAGGGGGACGGAACTCCAGTGCATCTCGATAGAGCTCGATAGCCTCCTCGAGGTCAAACAGGACGCCCCCCTGCTTGAATCTGTCACGAAGGCAGCTGGCAAGGTTGTTGAGAGACTTGATTCGTTCGGAATGGCCAGGGGGACAAAGCCCCAATGCAGCCCGATGGAGCTCAATTACCTCATCGAGGTCAGACAGGATGCCCCGCTGTTCGAATCTAGATTGAATGTGAACGGCAAGGTTGTTGAGGGACCCGGATCGATCGGAATGGCCAGAGGGACGGAGCTCCAGTGCAGCCCGATCAAGCTCGATGGCCTCATCGAGGTCTGACAGGACGCCCCCCTGCTTGAATCTGGCATGAAGACTGATGGCAAGGTTGTTGAGAGATGAGGATCGATCAGAATGGCCAGGGGGACGGAGTTCAAGTGCGGCCCGATAGAGCTCAATAGCCTCATTGAGGTTGGACAGAATCCCCCGCTGCTTGAATCTAGTATAGAGGCTAATGGCAAGCTTATGGAGAAATGCAGATCGGTCGGAATGGCCAAGGGGACAGAGTTCCAGTGCTGCCCGATGAAGCTCGATGGCCTCATCGAGGTCGGACAGGACGCCCCGCTGCGTGAATCTGATTCGAAGGCTAACGGCAAGGTTGTCGAGAGACTGGAATCGACGAGGATGACCAGGGGGACAGCTCCGCAATGCCACTCGCAACTCCTCCACATCGTCTGCTACATTCATAACACAGCATAGTGACTGCCCCATCTTACTATTAAGTGTCTCGCTTGTGAGTATGCGATCGAGTGAGACAAGGGATGAATACGCACAAAACGAGCAGAAGTCTGAGCACCAAGACAGAGGGGAGCTGCGAAGGCAATCGGTAGCTGTCCAATGCACAGCGATGAGACCTCGACTGACGAGCGCTGGTATATATTTATAACCTGTTGACATTGACAGGAGAACTCCGCATTGAAACACAAATACCGATACCGTGGCATGCGCTCGAGGTGAGTCCCAAATCGCAATTGGGTTGTAGTACCGTTGTACGACGTTGTCAGATTGAGGAGACTACACATACCGTAGACTATCGTAGTATGTCCATGTGAGACCCTCCGTGCGATGAGGACCCAGTAAGAGGTTGACGGTATCGGATATGGTGTAATGGTTAACATTACCGCCTCTCATACTGAGGGTTCGCGGTAGCTCGGGGTTCGATTCCCCGTATCCGAACGTCCGTTTTTTGAGGTGAAAATATTTTAAATGGTGATGTAATAATCACGTGACAGCAGAGAACATTGAACGCGTCGACGCGCTGAGCTACTCGCGACTCTGAGCATGGCAACTGGTCGTCGCTCTCCTTCTCCGGAACCACCTGGCCCGCAACCAATAAGGAGACTTCACGAGTCCCTCATCAACCGAATCGCAGCAGGCGAAGTCCGTTCTGGCTTACTAGTGGCAGTACAGACGCGAATACTGATGAAAGTCACTTTTAGATCATACACAGACCTGCTTCTGCGTTAAAAGAGCTGCTCGAAAACAGCCTCGATGCCGGGTCTACCTCAATCCAAGTCATTGTCAAGGATGGTGGTATGAAGCTGCTTCAGATTCAGGACAATGGTTGTGGCATTCGTGTATGTATTTGCCAGATTCGCATTGAGGTATTCTATTGAGCCTGTTCGAAGAAAGACGACCTGCCCTTGCTCGCCGAGCGTTTCACTACCTCCAAGCTGTCCACTTTTTCCGACCTCTCCAAGTTGACTACTTATGGGTTTCGTGGGGAGGCTCTTGCATCGATATCTCATGTTGCACACCTGACAGTGATCACGAAGACCAAGTCAAATAACTGTGCTTGGAAGTACGCATATAATCAATTGTTCAAAGAATAAACACACCCTGACGGGAATCCTGTAGGGCTGCTTATGCTGACGGTGTTCTCGTCCCGTCGAAAGCGGGATATACACCAGACCCGAAACCTTGCGCTGGGAACAACGGAACCACCATCATAGTATGTTCCGAAGAAAGTCAACCAGTTCTTTCTCATCTCACAATTCACCACAGATTGAAGACATGTTCTACAATACACCTACTCGACTATCTGCTCTCCGAAGCTCCTCTGAAGAATACGCGCGAATACTTGACGTCATGACCAAATATGCTGTGCACAATTCCAAGGTGTCATTCGGGTGTAAAAAGGTGTGTTGCCTCAAATATTGTCGGTGACATGTAATAAGTGTATCGTGTAGTCTGGTTCTATGAGTCCTGAACTCTCGACCCCATCCTGTTCAGATACTTCACAAGCCATTCGTCAGCTATATGGTCATTCCATAGCCAAAGAGCTTCTGCATGTCTCAACGTCTTCTGTTTCAAATGATAGTACAGAGGTGGACGATCCGGAAGATCCGGAAGCATGGTCGGCAGAAGCATACTTCACTAACGCAAACTACCAAGGCAAGAAGACCGCGCTATTGTTATTCATAAATCGTCGGTTTTTGCCGTTACTGTGCTTCTATCTTACAAACTCTGACGTGTGTTTCCTGCAGACCGTCTCGTGGAATCACAACGTATAAAACGATCTATTGAGAGCACATACAGCGGTATACTGCCAAAAGGTTCTTCTCCTTTCGTGTATTTGAGGTAAGACCAAATCCTACCAGTGAGATATGAAAATAATGGATTCGCGCAGCATCAACCTAGACCCACGATCTGTGGATGTCAACGTGCATCCGACCAAGCGCGAAGTCCACTTTTTGAATGAAGAAGCCATCATCGAGCGAATATCGGATGCCATTCAGCAGAAGCTCGCTGGTCAAAGTCAGTCACGGGTGTTCGAGTATCAGGTACAAAGAAAAATATACTCTGCGTCCGTGCTCTAAATATTTTCATTGACAGACACTACTCACTGGAGGCATAGCACAATCAGGATCACGGAAGGGCAAGGAAAAAGCGAGTAATGTCGATGAAGCGGAAGGAGGTGATGAGGGACCAGAGGATGATCGTCGGGCATCAGGAAATCAAGGTAAGCGTTTGCGTAAATCTTCAGCCGGTTGCCATTTGAGAATTTTGTTCAGCAGTGAAGAAGGTGCTTTCTCAGCACAAAGTCCGGACCTCCCTGCAAGACCGCACACTAGATTCGATGATTCCGGTCACTGACCCGTCGAGAACTGAGTCCGATGAGCCCGTAACAGCCATCCGGTTACGAGACATCAAAGAATCGACGTGCCATTTTGCATCTATAACAGAACTCAGGCGTCTCGGTATCAAACGCATACACCGCGGTGGGCTATGGATTACTTTCGCGACGAAAACGCTCTCACATAAAAACCGTAGACCTGACTGAAATAATCAAGAAGCATACATTTGTCGGCGTGATTGACCTGTCCAGGTGTCTAACGTTGATTCAACACAACAAGAACCTTTACATGGTCAATCACGCTGCACTAGCGTACGTTGTTGTGCTCCTTCGAAGACCTGTGCTGACGTAGATATTGCAGGGAGGAGATGTTTTATCAGCTTGCGTTGTTGCAATTTGGAGACTACAACCGACTCAGACTTGATCCCTCTCCATCTCTTCGAATGCTCGTCAAGTTTGCAGTCGATGCGGAAGAAGACACAGAACGCAGCGGCTTGAGCAAGGACGAGATTGTCGATGTATAGTCAGATTTTAGCGCTTTTTGGCAGGTACACTGAACGTCCTTTCACAGCGAATCGTCAAGACCTTGATGGACCGACGAGAGATGCTGCTCGAGTATTTCTCTTTGGACATTTCAGAGACTGGTGATGTTAAGACGCTTCCACACCTCCTTCGCGAGTACACCCCTAACCTCGACAAGCTACCCATGTTCCTCATGCGTCTTGGACCTCAGGTACGCTCCAACGCCATATTGTCGTTTCACCGATACCAAGTCGCCATAGGTCCTCTGGGAGTCTGAGCAAGAGTGCTTTGGCACTTTCATGCGTGAGCTAGCGTACTTCTACTCGCCAGCCCCACTGTCCGTCGTCTCAGCGCCCACCTCTGACCAAGATGGACAAGAAAGCCAGAAGGCCGAGGCATGGCGCATACAAAATATCTTATTCCATGCGATGCGCAAGTATCTGGCAGCTCCCAAGTTCCTGTTGGACAACGACGTCGTGCAGGTGGCAAGCTTACCAGATCTTTACCGGGTCTTCGAACGCTGTTAGACTTGATAAACTTATACTGCAATTTCTATCCGTGAATGCTGGTACATAACTCTAGAGCTGCCATAATGTACGTGGACTACAATGTTTCCGTAATGCATCAATAACAACGAAAGCGTGGTAAAACTAAGTTAATACAGTCCCTTGCCATTGGGAGCGGTACGGTAAAAGGATGGAGAGTCATACTTGAATGCGTCAACCTCGGACTCAGTATCAGACTCGTCACTGGAGTCGTCTGAAAGGTCGCGTGATCCACCGATCTGGAACACGTCTCCGAATGGAGTCTGAGGAAGGTCGTCGGAGTCGTCCGTAGACCTAGCCAGGATGGAAGCGACTCTGTCCTCCAGCTGCTGACTTGGTAGGAGTCGCGTCTGAGGCTTGGTCTTCTGGAAGAACTCGCTTAGCTCGTGTAGGTCCTGAACCAGGACTCCCAAGTCTTCATCAAGCTCATCCTCGAAAAGGGGTTCTTGTACCTCTGGTTGGAAGTGAACGGTAGATATACGTGATGATGTCGTGAACATAAGTGCGACCGCAAGGACGTTGGCGCGACATTGGGCTTGTCGGTGTTGCACACGTGCGATGCACCAGCCAGAGTCTTCCGGAACACCAAAGATGTCTGTCTCATCCGCGCCAGCAAGTGCTGAGACGTGCATGCTCATGCGAAGGACCTGTTTAGCTGTGAGTCCTCCAGTGATCTTCGTCGGCTCCTCCAACACATCAAGAGCTTGCGTTGCCAAATCTCCTTCCACCAGCCGCAATAAGGGCATTAGATGCTCTGTGCCCAACGACTGCAAAGCACGTTGCTGAAATAGGACTTTCAGCACGTGCATTGAATATATCTGAAGCCATCTCTCCTTGTTGAGCACCAGGCTCAACAACAGAGTAGCAATATCGCTCCAGTCATCGGGCGGGTAGTGGTCACGTAGACTGCCAATGGACTGACGAAGGAAATCATCTTTGGTTCTGAACCGACGCTTCACGAAGGAAACCATGATCCGATTGATGCTCTCCAGACCATCTTCATCAGCCAAGTCCGCGATCGAAGAACAGAAGTCGTTTAGAGCTTCATCATGCTGGTCATTACACATGGCGTTCATGCACCATGGTAGGGACAAAGTAAAGAGGTCTCGGAGCCAGTTTTGGGGAGAGTCGAACAATTTGGCGCACTTTAGCTTGGCCAGTCTCCTAAGAACCATGAACGTGTCATCTAGAGTCGTTGCAGAACGCAACCCGCTCAAAAGGGCTTGCTGCAATCCGATGGACCCGTTCCAATCCCGAGGGCGCTGGGCAAGGATGAGGTCTGCAATGTGGGGGACGTCCAAGTCAATCCGATCGAGGAATGCAGCCAACAGTTTGATGGCTTGCGTGTACTCGGTTTCTGCGCTAGTTGTCAGCACTGCATACGTTGTCCAAAAAAGACGAGGAAGCAGTGTGCCGTCGAGCTCATCCAGTGTAACCATATAGGTGATGGTGCGAATGACTTCCGCCGAAAAAGCCTGTCTTTCTGGATCCACATCCGCTATGGAAACAGATAAACGGCTCAGCAACTGATCCAGCGCGGCATGACTCAAAGGCAGTTTCAACACGCGGAGCACCTGTAAAGAACGAAGCGCGAGACTCCGCATGTTGCACAGCTCCACATACGCTAGCGCCAGACTGCCTACAGTCTGTTCCAAGGCTGGAACAAGGGGCTGGAGCATGGGAAACACCTGTGAGAACAGAGCGCTCATTCGAGTTTCCACGATATCGCTGGCATCATCGTCCTTCCAAAATATTGAATCTCCCTGGTCCTCCAAAGCGCTAATTTGCGCTACTAATGCAGAGCAATTGGACTGTACGAGGCCTGGAACACAAACACGCAAGAGCTGGAAGAGCATCCCACGCGCCCTGATCCTCATAAGAGGGACACGGTGGTCAAGATTGGGAAAGATCGCCTGCAGAATGACCGGTATGGAAGTGACATGCGTCCACTGTCCTTCCATTGCAGCAGACCCCAGTAAGATCAACGCGTACTGCGCCGGTCCTAGTAGTATCTTTGGCTGCTCTTCCGCAAACTGAGCATTCAAGTCAGACCACAGCTCGAAGTCTTCTGCGCCGGGAGGCTCCTTCAGCTGGTGATCAAGGGAAGGGACCATGCGTTCCGGCTCGCAGTAGTAGCAGAGAAGCTCGTAAACTTGCAGTGCAGCAGCAGAACGCGAAAGACATGCTACGACGGTGGAGGCGCAATCAACGAATGCGGAGGTGGCTACCTTGAGAGCTTGATTGATGAGGAAAGTTACGGTAGCCGCTCCGTAGGTCTCGTTGGGGTAGTCTGCGAACCGCGTCCATATTGCGGCAACTTGCTCGAAATGACTCTCGTTGTATCGCTTTGTGAGGGTGAGGAGATGATACAAGATACGACTGCTGGCTGGGGATGGATGTAAACGCGCTTCGTTGTCAGGATCAAGTGTGAGTTGTATGTTTGGGACCCAAGACTCGAGGCTCTGCAATAGTAGAAGGGCAACCCTCTCATTTCCGCCACGAGGCATGCGCATCAGTAAGGTAGTCATTTCCGTAATCACATCATTAGCGTGATTGGGATGCTCGCCGGAGAGACGTTCGGTGACTAGTCGATGTGCATGCAAATACACACTACTTGAAGGATTGGCAATCATAGCCTCAAATTCACCAAAAGACAGGACACCAGAGGAATGCTCATGCATGGCCTCGAGGAGCATAAGAGACTTTCGTCTAATTCCAGAATTGGCGTGACAGAGGTTGGTCAAACCCAAGCATATGATTTGGGCGAAAGTGTATGAGCCGACATCCACGTCGCACGCGACCTCGGACAGAACCTCGAAAAAGGTAGAGCTGCTGGACGACGAATCATTCGAATCGATAAATGAGCGTCGGAGGACTTCGCCTAGCAACGTTTTATCCACTTTTCCGGAGGAAATAAGGGAACGAAGAGCTTTTCTGCAAAGGAATGAGCAAATGGTACATCTAGAAAGAGTGAATAAGCACCTTCCACATGCTACGACCTGAGGGTAAGAAGATTGAAAGACATGATGAAGGCGGTCCAAGATTTGAACAGCTTCCAGAGGTTTCGGAGGGTCCTGAGGGCGATCCGTGGGTGATGATGAACCTTTAATTTCAGAAGGATAATATGCCCTTTGCTGCTACCAGGTCAGCTGTAAGGAATAACACATGGAAAGATATGCTTACGCAAAGGGCAGCGAGGGCACCCAAAGCTGCGTTAGAAAGCAGTTTAGTCTCGTGCTGAAACCGTTCGGCAGAGTCTGACTCGGCTTGTGGGTCATTCACAGCCGCAGCCGCAGCTCTTTGCATGAGGATGTGTCGCTGCTTTGCTGATTCGGACTGAACACCATACTGGCACCATTCTTCACACAGCCTGTAAAGAGTTGTATATGTATAGGGTGAAACGAATCGCTCCGAGTCAGCGAGGTTCGCCAGACTATCGAAGAACCGTTCGACCAAACCGCAGAAATAGCGGCGCAGGCGCTGGAGTGCGTAGTTGTCACGATTCTCTGCAGTAACGAGGAAGGTTTGCATATTCCGGATGAATTTGAGGGCACATGATATTGCATCTTGCTTTGCGGAAGATCTTTGATGCTGTAGCTGAGGAGCAGTGAGGAAGTAGATACGAGCAACGGCCGAGTGTAGACGAGCTTGACGTCGTGATCGTCCAATCGACCCTGAAGATCCAGATTTCGACCGGGCGTCATCATAGAATTGACGGAAAGCAAAGTGATTCAAATCCTCCAAAAGCGACGAGAACCCACTGGAAGGGAAAGAGCTGATGCTGAGTACAGCAGCATCACGAAATGGGGCGTATTCCACATCTAAGAATGGTGTCAGATACCTGAAGAGGGAGCGTGTGGTTGTCATCCGATCGCGCTCGTCCGAAGGGGCTCGTGAATGTTCTCGACTAGCTTGGACGGGAGCACCACCACGGCTATCAGATACAGTGGCCGTAGCACACAGGATTTTGATCCACAGATACCATTGATCAATTAGGTTCATGTTGTCTTTGACTTGCTTGTACCCGTCTTTATCGACAGAGCCTGGCGCACGAGAGGAGCCGGCCGGCAATCGTCCGCTGAGAGTCGAGAGACCAGCAAGGTGCAACATCGAAGGATGGTAGCGAGATGCTGCAGCCTCAATCATTGCGCGGCAGTCCGCCGCAACTTTCAACAATTGCTGGAACGAGGCTTGCATGAAGTTAGGGAACACACATCGCCATATTTTCTTGTCCTTGTCATAGTTGCTATCGGCGATCCTCAGCAATACATCCTTTCGCCCAGCCCGCCTCCACTGTTGCAGACGATCCAACTCCGAGCTGTCTAATAACTCGTCAAAGCCCTGGAAATGGGGGTTCTCGCGAGCATCACAATCAAGGAGTTCGTTCAGAAGCATCGAGGAACCCGCATGAGCACCCTCGTCCGCGTCTACATGAGCAACGAACGGTGCGAGTATGCGGATGAGCTTGACCCCTGCACAACGGACGGTGGAAGCTTCGTGCGACAACAGAAACAGTGCACCCGCGGTAATCCCATCCCCTTGAAGGGCAATGGCCTCCTTTTCACCAGCTGTGATGTCCGCCTTGGGTTTCTGAAGAATACTTTTGACCCAACCTTCCACCAGACTGATCCAGAAGTTCAGAAGCCGACTACTCTCAAGGACAAGCCGTGCACCGGTTCCCTCCCGCCCAACATAGGCAGGATCAAATAGGAAGGTCGTGAAGTGGCACAAAACTGCAGGCGCATACCGCCCATCAGCCATAAAGCGCCTCAACGCCGCTGCTGCCGCTTCTCCGATCCGAGGCTCAACATGGATAAGACCGCGGATGAGCATATTGATAGCCTCCGTGAGTGGCAAAGAGGCGTGTAAACAGCGCGGCCACGATTGCAAACATGTCTGCAGCATAGATATCTGGGACACGAGATGGTTGGGGTAGGCAAAGGATCCTTCAGGACGACGACAGATGACAATATTGTGAGACTCTTCATGGACAGAGTTAAACCGCGACAGCGACCACTGTTCGTCAAAGATAGACATTTGACCCACAGACTGGCTGGCTGACCGCGCGATCGCGGTGATGACAGCGCCATACCTGTCAAGCAGCTCTTGAACACCATGCCTGGATACCACTACAGCCGGAAGAGCGTCGGAAGATGAAGGATAATCATCCCAAGATGGGACAGCAGTGAAGTCGACACTAGACGGCCACGTAGGAGCTGGTTCCTCACGTTCGAAGGCGTTCAAGGTCAAAAGGATAGCTTGGGATGATACAGCAACGCGCTCAGGAGCCAATATACCCATGAGATTACTCGTGGACGCGGAATTCACGACAGCTTCCTGGAGTAAATCCATGCAGAGTCCCAACCCATAGTCGAAATAACGCGACAGAATAAAATGCACGATACAGATGAAGGGTTCAAGGTGTTCCTCATGATGGAAAATTGATGACCGTCCAGCAGGGAATATATGTTTGAGGAGGGAGTCCAACTTGGCAGTACTCGTCGCTAACGGCTCTTGGCATCGGTACAGGTATGTCCAGATTAATCGGACGATCCCGTTCAAGACAGGAATCCGATGAGGCTTCTCCTGAACCAGAAGTCAGCAAGACAAGCGTCTGACTAATTGGAATCGAAATCGAACCTTCATCTTCGACAATCCATACTCAAAGCAAGACGTCCAGTTACGGAGGAAGTATTGATGAGGTGCAACGCAAAGGCTGGTGACAGCCAACGGGTAAGCAATATGCCAATACCGCGGCTTACTCATCATCTCCTTAGCTCGGGGATAGATTCTTTCGATCGCCTTTTCCCATTGTGGATGATTGACTTCGGCCTGCGCCGTCTTGATGCCATGTTAGCGTGGATCGGTACTAGTCAGGGAGTATGACATACCTTTCCGATGGGATGCAATAGACGAGTCAACGTATCAGCAAAAGCGATCTTGAACCGAAGACCATGCGCATTCGCAAAGGACTTGGCTATTAACTCTAAAAACTCGGCTCCTTCCTCAAATGCCTCTGGGGGCCATACCTAGCTGACACATGAGCACAACAAGACGAAGAGTAAGATGGTTCTCACTCTCAGCTGAACATGACGGAGCCCCTTCACTAGATGCTCGTACTTCGTATCGAGATCCTTCGCCACCTGACCATTGGCCACAGGCTCGAGCTCGCCAAGAAAACGATCCGTGACACTAACGAAGCTGGTAGAGAGTTAGTTCGGATGCTTGTGCGGGACAATGCAATACTCACCGAACGTTTGCCAAGTGTCCGAGCAGCGTGGCATACAGTTCAGCATTGAGCCGATGATTAGCTGACTGGGCAAGGAGCTTCAGATCCGGTCTCTTGAACTGCTCAAACGTTGTTTCCTCCAAGGTAAATCCTAGCGCATCACCTAGTGCGTCTTTGGACAAAACGGACAAAACCGCAATTAAAGCGCGACACATGATATATATCAACGCCAGCGAATTTCGTTCATTCAGCGAGGTAGACGGTTCTTGAACTCTCGCACCACGTGTCCATAAAGGCGATTGACTGGCGTGATACTTAAGTATGTCGGCACTGACATTTTCATTGTGACTGCGTCTCCAGCGCCTAATGGAGTCTATGACGGGTTTTGGATGTTTTTGAGCAATCTTTCCCAAAGAGCCCATCAGGTCATCAAACTTTGGATCCAGAGAGGGACCCATGAAGTCCGACAATAAGGGTTCGTGATCCTAAGGGAACGTGAATGACATGTGACCGACCAATATCAAAGGAAAAGGAAATACCAGTGTTTCGCGAAGGAACACGTCCATCTTCGCCTCTGCAAGAGTAGCAAACCGAATGAAAACGGCATGCAGAGCATAATCAGATGGCATCTTAAGACCCGATGGCACTTGGTCATCTTCCTCCATTATTGAGGGCCCATCACTACTAAATACCTGAGCACCAAATGCATCGGGCACACGGGGAACGGGAGGAGGAGAGGATGAGTAAGGGAATCCATGGCCATGATCGCTCCCTGTGTCCGAATTGTGAAATATAGACCCGGATTGAGAATGATGAGATCTTGCAGTGGAATGCCCTCTTGCCCTTGAGGGAGCACGGGGACGTGGTTCGCTAGATCCAGGTGTCGGAGGCCGAGGATGAGGCGGACTTGTAGCATTGAACGTCTTATTAGACGTCAAGGTGGGATGAGGCAAGGACGAAGTCGAGCGGTTTGAAGGGGTTTTTGAGAATAGGGTATGCTTGGTGGTCTAGTGGAGGTAATGGTGGTACATCGGTGTTCTTCTTGAATGCGTTTCTAATGGATGCAAAAGATGGCTTCTTGGAGAACGGAGAGCTTGCAGTTATGGAAGGTTGAGTCGTGTGTGAGCTCTTGCCAGTCTGACGAACAGGTTGCGAAATAAAAGAATCCTCTGACGCTGCAGAATCGCCACGACTATGAAAGTAGCTTCGGTCGCTACGCTCTGGAAGTGCAATGGGAGTCATGATAGTTGGTGAATCTGGGCCTGATCCTGCATTTCCGAATGCACCAAAGCCATGTCCTCCAGACCTGCCGAAGGGTATGGGGGTGGACTGGAAGTCACCATCATCAAAATCTGAGCAATTTAGCATTAAAATCTTCTAGCGAAGTAGATACATGTGCTCTAACCTGGTATTGTAATCTGTAATACGCCCTCGGAGCTCATGATTCACTGCGAAAGTAGTGTCCGTGCGGTCAGCAATGAGTTCTTCAGGGAGGTCGTGAGGCGGAAGCAGCCAGAGTAATTTGATGATGGCAGGTGAGGCTCCACACACTAAGGGGTTTGCACGTCCTATCCAAGGCCCTGCCCACTGCGTTTGACGACCGTCGACAAGTCCAATGAACCAGTGATCTGAGCCTAGACACAAGGGCGTGCGTGACCGTGAGAATATCACGCATAAGGAGGTATTGGCTATACACGGTCAGCATCTACAAGAACTTAAAATAAATTGTGGTTCGGTGTCTATTGCGTCCACCTTCATGTTGCGCGTTTTGTCTCTACCATTTGAGCAATTCGCGTCATGCTGTGTTGCCGCCGTGTCACGGTCAACACACACGGCCTTATCAAGAGTGAGAACGCGGAGAGACACACTATGCTTGCAAACGAACAACCGTCCTTGTAGTATGGTAAGCCTGCGGCTGGTTTCAACTTGTTAGTTTTGCTTACTTCTCTGTTGTTTGCAAAAGACCTTTTTGTCAAACCTGCGGCTTCGCGCGCTTGAGTAAGTTCAATCTTCTTGGTGGATATGAACATTGTACAACTTAACTTTATGCAACCACTGGCAGCTTGTAGATCACGCGAACGCATAGTAAGAAGGAATGATATGGTCTGTCCACTAGGTCCCTTTGACCTGACTCCTGAAAAGCCCCAGAATCATGTGGCTGTCTGACTGTCTAGTCTGGACTCTCCACTCTGCAACACCTTGCAACACCATCCTGACCTCTACATTCACAACGTGTCCTTAAGTCGGGCTCACGTGTTGCAACCTGTGATGAGAATGTCAAACATGTGCCATGCTTCAAACTTGGCAGCAGGGATTAGTGGACATTGTCCAGATTTGCTGATGTTACGTACGTGTATTGATGTCACTCATAGTCTTCACCACATCGCCCATCACGTATTCCATGACTCAATTCCTAGCCTCTTTCCTGGCGCCGTCGACACTCTTCGCATGCTAACCAAACTCAGTGATCGAAACAACATACGTGTGAAGTCATTTTTAACCCATGAACGTACACCGAAGTAGGACACCAACATACGTGGCATTCCGTGACACCTGAGAGGAACCATCACCATTACTCGACTAATGACCAGGCGCCACAGCTAGAAATGTCTGGGTGTGAAGCATCGTCTTATAAAGGATAAAGCTGACTTGTCGCTTGGCCAGCAGGGCCATATTATTGCTCCCCCTGGATCACTCATCAGTGAGTCGGGACTCAGGAGAGGACCGATCAAAGGACCTAACCAGTGACAGGTCCTCAATTGGTGCACCATTGGGACTGTCTTGAAAGGGGTTCCAGCACTTCCCGTGAATTATGTGGGGTCATTGCGGATGTGTGGTTTAGTCACCCACCCTCTTTGGGACCTTGCTCGTGTGGCATCCCCTTCGTGAGTCTTATGAAATTAGAAACCGAAGATCGTAGTCTCGTCATTACAGACAACCGCAACTATATATTGAGATGCAGCATGGTACACGTTGGCCATCAGCTAAATATCCTCCATTCACTCACCCTCTCGTACGGCGGACAGATTACGTCCCCGAAATATCCAATCACGAATAATACTTTAGACTTATCTCTCTCCATAGGTTGTGGCCCTGCCCACTGCGTTTGACGACCGTCGACGAGTCTGTTGAATCAGCAGTGATCTGAGCTAGACACAAGGGCGTGCGTGACCGTGAGAACTTCACGCATAAAGAGGTATTCCGATTCGCGGTCATGCTGCTATAAGTTCAACCTGACGCGGTACTTGCCAGACGGTGTTAGGCCTGCAAGTTGTGGCGTCAAGTTGGTTGCACGATATATCTACATGGCCAAGTACTATGATGAGATACCTGAATTTCTCATCGAATGGATCAAGAAGCAGCACATGTTCTGGGTGGCTTCGGCTCCCCTGAGTCCTGACGGACATGTCAATCTCTCCCCAAAGGGCACAGCGGATTGCTTTCATGTCGTCAACTCTCATCGAGTTTGGTATCAGGATTTGACTGGGAGCGGTGAGTGTCACGTAGATCAGTTTTCTTCCTAGTCAACTGTGCGAGCAAGGAGTGGAAACGATTTCCCATATCAGGGAGAATGGTCGCATGACGATCATGTTTAATGCCTTCGAGGGTCCTCCCAAGATTTTGAGATTGTTTGGAAAAGGTACTTGCAAGCCGATGATTCTTTGTCTTGCTTCTTCTAACACCCAGTGTAGGAACTGTATACGAATATGGCACACAAGAGTACGAATCTCTTATTCCTCCCGAGACTCGGAAGCCGGGCTCTCGAGCAGCTATCGTCATGGATGTATATCAGTGTCAAACGGTAACCTATCTCTTATCTATTCCGGTCTCTTTCAGTCTAACAGTTCTGCTAAGACATGTGGATTTGCTGTTCCAATTTATGAGTTCGTTGCACATCGCACCCAACTCCTCCGAATGGCCGATATGGTAGAATCATGCGACCGCGCCTCGGACGCCTCGTCCTCCCCAGAGATCGATCAGAAGGGTATAAAAGCTTACTGGGCAAAAAATAACTTCAGAAGTTTGGATGGCTTGCCTGGTCTGCTCACGGCATCTGATTCCAAAGTAACGCCTATCGGTAATTTTGACAAGGAAAGTCAAAGGCCGAAGTTGCACCGTTCGTCTTCGAGAGAGGGGAGCGCTCAGAGCAGTGGTGTAGATCTAGCCATTGGTTTTGCCCTTGGTGCGTTGGTCGCTACTGCCCTTCTTTACATCCTCTCTGCCACCGCAAAATTTGGTATGTCCACCACCCGAGCTTAGCTTGATGCATAGCGCTCTTTACGTTTGGTATAATGTATGTCATTGTACTCGTCATTGCACTTTATATCGCTGCGTTGAAACAACTGGCTTCGCGTACCCTTGATATCATTGAAACATTATCCAGTCTAGTGGTATGCACGTTCTTGTGTAACACGAGATGGTAGACATATGTTGACAAGTGGTTTATCAAGTTACCTTTCGTCAGTCATGTGCGTGCTACTCATTTGTTTTGATGGAGCGATGCCTAGTAAGAGGACTAACCAGTTAACCCTCACCTAGTCCCCCCTAGTCTGACCTACAGAAGAAAGTCAGACATTTCTTCCATCTGATGTAATACTCAACGGCACGGCTGAAATGACTCACCCCATGACCAGATAGTGACCTCAAGAGGTTATAATTAAGTTCTTTCAAACACCGATAGGACCCTAACCAGCGTAATACTTATACTTGGGTCGGCAGGCACCAAGCTGGAGATAAGTAATCCCCATGGCTAAGTATTACGATGAAATACCTGAATCTCTCATCGAATGGGTCAGGAAACAACACATGTTCTGGGTGGCTTCAGCTCCGCTGGGTCCCAACGGACATGTAAATGTCTCCCCAAGGGCACAGCGGATTGCTTCCATGTTGTGAACTCTCGCCGAGTTTGGTATCAGGATTTGACTGGAAGTGGTGAGCGTCTCAGTGAATGATTTTCATCTTATTCAAACTGTGGGGGAAAAGGTGTTGAAACTATATCTCATATCAGAGAGAACGGTCGCATAACGATTCTATTTCACTCCTTCGAGGGGCCTCCTAGGATCTTCAGGTTATATGGGATAGGTACAAGACAAGATTATTTCCCATGTGTCACTTACATGCTAACAACCATTGTAGGCACTGTATACGAATATGGCACGCAAGAGTATGAATCTCTTATTCCTCCTGAGACTCGGAAACCGGGGTCTCGTGCTGCTATCGTCATTGATGTATACCAGTGTCAAACGGTAGTACCTCTGATCTACCCAGTTTCTGTAATTGAGTCTGACAATTCCGCTAGTCATGTGGATACGCCGTTCCAATCTATGACTTCGTTACGCATCGCACTCAACTCCTCCGATCACTCGACATGAGAGAGTCACGCGACCGCGCTGTTGCCTTCACAGAGATCAATCCGAAGGGCCTTAGAGCCTACTGGATACAACAGAACCTCTCGAGCGTGGATGGCCTTCCTGGCCTGCTCACGGCACCTGATTCCAAAGTTACGCGTCTCAGCGTTTTTGATAAAGAAGGTCCAAGACCGAAGTTGCACCGTTTGTCTTCGAGGGATAGGAACACCCTGAGTGCGGCTTTAATGGTTGGTTTTGCACTCGGTGCATTGGTCGCTACTGCCCTTCCTCGCATCCTATCCGCCACTGGAAACTTTGGAATGTTTACCACCCGAGCTTAATATGTGGCATTAGTACGAATACCTCAAACCAACCGTTTTGTCCTTACACGTGGTAGATGTACTGAAACAACTAGAATTTACATACCCTTGAGACTGTCGGATTATCTCGCACGCTCTAGCTGTGCACTGCGATGATGCCCCAGTAATCCCCATCCCATTCGTCAAAGCTATGATGCCCCGACGGCTCAAGACATAGTCTCGGGAGTCACATACCCCTTATCTAATTTCTCCACATCTTCGTCCGTAGACTCACAGGAGGCCGAAGGCGGTATCACATCGTCGGGCAGGACAGCCTTCTCTACAAATGTGCCCCGAGCCGGGAACAACGTCGAGAGGACATAATAAACGACGAATGCCGACCAGAACTATCAAGAAAGGAGGAAGTAACAGTTAGTTGCGTGGATGAAATGTAGCCAGTGCACGCACTCCAAATATCCACCCAATGGCAAATAGATTATGGATACCTCCGACGTTGACGGACGGCTTGATAGAGTGAACGAGCCCAGGCATAGCTGGTGCGATGCAAATCACGAGTGTTGCCAAAGCTCGCCAGTTCTATCAACGAGTCTGAGCCACATTCGCAAACGCTAGCCAGCGGAATGAACTTACCACTCCAAAAGTATAGCGGTATCGACCATCGACTTGGTACATCGCTGGGACGTCAATTCGACCCCGATGGACCAACCAGTACTACAGAGCTTCACTCAGTTTAGTATGCACCGATGAAGATTAGATTACTTACATCGGCAATCATAATTCCAACGAATGGTCCGATGAAAATGGTGTAGCCACTAAGAAATGACAGGAACCCAGATGCTCTACAAATGAATCAACCAAATAAGAGAAAAAAATATCAAGTCAACAAACTTTGCTAGAACTTCCCAAGGACAGAATGCCCATCCACCGACGAATGCACATATCACTTGACCGCGTCGTATGTTGATGTATTTCGGAAAGCAGACTGTGAGGTCATTGGCAGCCACAAGGGCATTAGCGCTGATATTGGTCCCAACGGTTGTCAGAAGAAATGCGAACGAGGCAAAGAATGCTGCTGCTCGATTGTCCCATTGGTCGATCAGCCGTAGAGGATCCCACAGCGCCGAACCATAGAGGACAATCCCCGCGCTCGTCACGGCCAGTCCAGCAAACGAACAGAGCGTGAATGCAACTGGAATAATGATAGCTTGTGAATATTGTCTATGGTTTAATTCGAGTCAGGAGCAATGATTCGTACACCCCAACCGAAATGAACTAACGCTCTCTCATGCGTGGCATACCGCTGTTTGGATATCAACGTGGTGTATTGAAGGATGGGGTGTAGTCACAAACCGTGAAATCTGCTATGTTGACCGCATAGCCACAATAAAGACTCAGCGCACTATTGAGTGCTGTTAGCCAAGCCCAGGAGAGGTCAGATCCTTGCACTGTCGCATGCTGAGCAAATAGTCCGACTGAAGGGGGAACCTTTATAAACGCCCAAATGACCATAGCAAGCCAAGCAAAAGGGACGATCACACCCTTGACCATGAAGAGATAACGGATTTTCTGGGGAGACAGTAGCATGAATGGAAATTGGAGGAGCCAGTAAAGAAGATAGCACATCATGCCTGGCCACATCATTCAATCAGCAAAGTACGTGTGCTCGAACAATGAGCACTTGCCGACGCTGGTGGTGTTTGAAGAGGCCGGTATGTGATTCGGGACTTGGGCAATAGACGGCCATATGGCCTTCAGCATCTGAAAGATCATGCTGTTGAAATACATTATTCCTCCGCGGCAAGTAACGTACCTGATAGATACACTCAGAACCATTGTATGTCTGTTTTTTTAGCTTAAATGGAGCACCATGCATGAATTTAAAACACTACCTGAATTCCAAACCAAGACATGGCAATTATGCCCCGTGTAACAACAGGGAAGTAGCTGAACCAGAATCCGAAAGACGACCTGCTAAGGACCGAGAATGGAACCCTCAGACGGGTACCGATAGTCCCGGTGAGAAGGATCGGAACAGCCGTTATACAGTACGCAACAACAATGGCAGGCAAGGCCTGTCTCCTGTATACAGAGGGTCAATCCTGCTCAAAATACAATAGGTTTTAAACGTACCAAGAAAGACCAATAGCTAGCATTGAGCTCGCAACCTGTCTGACGTCAGCTCCTACCAGGTTGGCGCATCATTATTCGGACTCACCTCCCAGACAGCGATATTGCTGGCATCGGAAAACCAGTATGATACCTAGAAGACATTGGGGTTAATCTGAACTGTTCGGAAACTGGCCGCTGTCACGAACGTAACTCCAAGCACTTAGTACGAACAGACTGATCAGACTTGTTGGGAGATCACAGCAAGAAAAGTGACGCTTACCTCCACGTTCGAAAATGCAGAGGCGTAGGGTCCATATCATGATTGCTCCATCTATTATCAGTCGCAAACGCTGTACTCTCGAGCTCAAGCTCCCATGCTGAGAGCTTCAACCACTGAATGGGAGAAATGGTCATAAGAGCTGAGGGCGACATGGTATCTGACAACCGAGACAGCCCATTTCTGAGCAGGTATATACTGTGGACACTGGCATGCGTGTTCAGAGATATTTGTGTCTCGATAAGAACAAAAGAACGGTTTGCATCACAAGGGAGGAGGTATTTTCGTTCGGCTGATGAAAGGCCGCCCGATGACAATCCATGATAGAGTGACACCCACTGGTGGGGAACAGATAAGGTGGATGCGCTCAGAGTTTTTCGATTTCCATTGACCAAAGTTTTTGGGCGAGGTCAAAAAAGTCACTAATCACAAGCAACAGCCCGTTTGGTGGTAGGACTAGACTCGTAACCAGCCAGGTCCAGTCTGACTAGCATTGCGTCAATTTGAGATGATGAGATTTTTTGTAACTACACCACTCGAGCATCCGTGGTAGCATATGTCAGGCTGGTCACGAGCCAAGCTTGGCGGGGTCGCGGCCCAATTGACTCGGCTTTGCAGTAACGTGATGGGGAAAAGTCGTCACGTAAAAATTATATCCTTTCGGACGAGGTCACGTTAACCATCCCAAGAATAATAAGGGCAGATATCTGATAATGGTAGCTCTACCGGCATGAGTCTACGATACAAAGCAGTGCAGTGATGGGGACGTCAAGTAAGCAGTACAGGGGGCAAAAAGAGACTTGGAAAGTTGCAAAGAAAGACAGCGATGCAGGATGCAGGAGATTCCATAGCGAGTGTGGAGTAACTAGACATGATAAGAGCGGCGGGCAAGATCGAGGATACGCAAAAACCCGGGAAAAATGAGATCGGCTGGCGATCATCAAGAGACAGGGGGAGACGAGGAGAACAAGAAAAAGAATCATTCATCATCAAGTCACGTCACGGATTATGAGCAAGGTCCCGGAACAAGTAGTCGCGGTGCGCAGGCATCCGGGTATCACCGCAGCACATTCAGCCTCTGAGCCAGTTTTTGAATCAAATCTTCGTCAACGCCAAACTCCCGGGCGATGTCGTTGTAGGGGCTGAGAGCGGGAACAGGGCTAGGAGCGTGAAAAGGAGCGTATGGACCAGGAACGGGGATATCATTGTCACGAATGAAGACGCCGCTGTCAGAGCGGAAGTGCCCGCCAGGTAGAGAAGGGACAAACGGCGCAACAGGAGGTCTCACTAGGCTGGAAAGCATCTGGGCTTGTTGTGGCGCAAAGGCTGCGGATGATGGCGTTTAGTTACAGTTCCAAAAATATCAGCGAAACAATACCTTGGCAAGTTGCCCCAGCATGAAGAAGTTCATCCAACAAACGAGATCCTTCTGTTATCGCATTGCCCATCCCTGCCATAAGAACACTCAACGCCGCTGCAGGGACATCAGATCACAGCTGGTCAAGCCACACGAAGGACTCACAGTAAGTTAGATCTATATGAAAAGAACATTAAATGATTGATTAAAGCATCGTTGAAATGGAGAACACGCACTAAAGAGGTTGTCTCTGAGGCTGTTGGGCCAGAACACCCTACTATCAACATCCACGGGGAACTTGGATAGGATGCTAATGAGGAAATGGAAGGGAAGAGAGGGAACCTTCAAAAAGTGCGACTATCACGAAGCCTCAGTGAGCAAACATAACAAGGTAGGATCACAACGACGTACATCAGGCGACTGGACAAGATGCAACAAAGCCTTGAGTTCCGCATCGGTCATTATACCAGTCTCGAGCGCCCCCCTGACCTGATCATTCCTCAAGCCAGCGAGCGATGGCCTAGAGCCCTCGAAACCGCCTTTCCATGTCGGGAAGAGCTGCCAAATATCGTCAGATTTAAAAACGTTTCACATCATGAACATCATACAGCACGCATCAGCTCTTCCTGCGAGCTACGAGTGACAGTAACCCCCCTTGCCCGCTTGCCTTTACCAAGAACAGAGTTCTGCACGCCACGCAAAGCAGCCCTCGCATACTCCTCCGTTCCCAGTTCAACAAACGCATGGCTGAGGGTTTTACCCCGCGAATCCAACAGAACATGCACTCGGACGACAGGCTGCTTGAGCCACGTCATGATAGCTGGCGGAGTGATATCCTGCGACAAATCAGATACGCCACATATGGCGCCGGAAGTTATGGACCCACCCAAGGCACATTGTCAACGCGAAGAACCACGTTCTCGACTCTTTGTTGCTTAGGGGCAGGAGCAAAGTTGGGAGGGGACAAATCCTGTTGATAATGGGCAGCGAGTTGGTCCATGTGTGGCGCAAAAACTGTGGGCTCAAAACTGGGTAAAAGAGGTCTATTGGGTCGGGCGGAGCGTCTTTGCAAAGGAGAAGAACTGGCATCTAGTGGAGTGAAAGCGGAGGGAAAATTAAAGTGCTGGGTTGTGGGTGGGTTATCATCAAAGGGCCGGCTTTGGAGCTGGAAATCAACGACGGATTCCTTGCAAACGGCACATTGCATGGCCTTTTCGCCGACGATGTTGAGGGCGCTTGTAAGGCACCCAGAACAAAGAGGATGTTCACAGGGCTTGAGAATCGCAAACCGACCCCCGTCGCGACCACAAACAGAGCATGCTGTGGACGAACTGATGGTGGCGTTCGACTGCATCTTCGCCTGGAAAAACGGCTCGCCGAAATGCTGCTGAACACACTCTGAAATAGTCGGAAGACCGGAACCGTAGAATGGGTCTTGCAGAGCAAAAGGTTCAGCTGAAGGGAATGACTGGGGGTAGGGTTCAAAAGCGTTCTCGTCGATGTCGAAGAGTTCGGTGGACATCTAGATATAGAAAGCAGTGTACCATTATCAGCTAATCAATGAATACGGATCAGAAGGGATGGGGCCACTAACTTGCCCAAATGAGGGACGCCGTCGTGTGTGCGCGGGATCAGTCAAGCTTCCTTTGAATTTCAACTGGCTAACGTTGGTTGGTTTTGGTGGCGGTGTATTCAGCACTCCTAGAGCGCGGCGAGCGGGAGTTCTGAGGGCATATGGTGAGAGCGGTGTGCGAGGTGGTGCTGCACTGGAGATTGTCCGAGTCCTCCGATGAATCGCAAGCAACGGCGGGGGGAAAAGTGCTTTATAGGGGAGTATCAGTGACAGCTCCAAGGAAAGAATGTTATGGCAGTGACAAACCTTCCTCGGTTACGAAACCTGTACAATTCATATCAGAATGGGTCAAATCGCTGGCTAAAAGCGCATATATGCGTAGCGAGTTCCAAATTTATTGCCACGGAGCAGCGGAATAGGACAGCAATACCAACCAAAATGTCATAACGATAATATGGCTACATGAGTCACATACAAGCAATTAACGGATGTATGCGCACCTTCATCATCACCATAATTGGAGTCGTCAGCACTGGAGACCTTGATGCCGTTTTCATTGGCACGTGAACGCCAATTCTCAGCGATATCCGCGAGACTCTTGTCCGCCAAAATTGCATCATTTTCGGCGGAATGAGATACATCATAACGTTTTAAGCTAGAAGCTGATCCTGGGGTGGTGATAGTGGAGCTTGATGCAGTCGAGAATGAGCGGAGACTCAATGGCGTGTATGGTGTAGAGTGGCTGCTTGCGGGGGTAACTGGCGATCGATACGAAACCTTTGGAGGACGGACTAGGCGTTGAGGAGTCACTGGTGCCGCAAATAACCGCTCTTGTCTGTTCAGACGAGTACAAGCGGGTGAGGTGGGAGCGGAGGCGGGGACAGTGGGAACTGAAAGCGAGTGTTTGTGCATGGTGGCTATTGATATCCATGTAACCAAATGAATAGTAAGAAACCGAGGAAACAAGAAAAGTAATTGGGAACATTACCTTTGTTAGTCCAGGCTCGAAACAAAGGAGGCTATGCACGAATGGAAGGAATACCGGAAGTTTTGGTGGCTCAGAACAAGATGTTGCCCCTTGCAACGACGGAGTCCGATATTTTCCTTAATGATACGAAACCCTTTCTTGACGTAAATCACAGGCAGCTAGTGGATGATCGTGGTTGAGGAGAGAGATGGAAACGAATGGTGTCCTGAATGACGACCAAAGTGAAAATAACAAGCAGAACCTGAAAGAAACCAATGCAAGCGTGTGGGAACATGCCTTATGATGGGCGCGTCGCGTAACTGGTCACGTGCATTCTGACCTCTTCACCCTGAGGCCGCCATGCGGCAGTGATGCCTTTCCAGATGCGCTTAAATGTGAGCAAGTCAGGTCACTGCGTGAGCTTTTTTTGCGCTGCTTGTCCCTGATCTAAACTTTGCAGTGTCACATGATATATGCCAGAATTTCGTTCACTTTACCGTTGTCGCAGATGCAAAAGAACAATTGTTCTAACTTGACAACCGCCAGTGAACCACAGCGTACATGTTTCGCACATATTTTCGGTGCTGAAATGTGCACTATATACCCCTCTGACCGGAAGACAGCTCTAATAATTGCCAGCTATTCAGGTCATTTCTGACGTGAGTGCATCCGTTCTAAATTCAACCGAGTGCAGCTGATCTGCTGGGAATATCGATTAGCCATCTTGCAGGTCATTGAATAAAGGATTTTTCTCGCAGAACGCTAAAACTTGCCTCCATCTAAGTTAATGACCAGCGCTGGCATGCCCAGCCCTTCATCACTGTCGCCGCTTCAAATCATCCACTTCTGAGTACTAGAACGTTAGTCCGATGACAATGGGATCACTTTCAAAATGCGTAGGCGCTTCTCTATGTATATATCCAGAGGGGTTCTTTCTCTCAAGTCTTTTTAGTGAATATACTTGCAAGATTGAATCTTCCAATGTCCACATTAAATGAATCTCCATGTACGTCCAGCGGAAATTCGATGAGTCCGAGAGAAACGCCCTCCTGACTCAGTGAGCCCCCTCAGAGTCAAGCACCCGTGGGGTCAGTCAGAAAAAAAACGGAGGTCTCTGACCGAATCTATACTGCGCAAAACGTAGTTTGCAATGACTCAATCCGTTGACCGCGCAAGATCCATGCACACGGATCCCACATTTCTGCCTGGTTAGTCAGTGCCAATCACGGTGATCAGGGCGCACCCCAATTGATTTATTACCTTACTGTTCACGGCTCTCTCGTACCCAGCCATCCACAAGTTGGAATTGAACGGATAAATCGACCCGATCGTGACTCGTGAGTACGGGTCCAATTTGTTTTGCCCCTGACTCGCCCGATTCGCAGAGTGGCGCTTTGATACGAATGTGGCTGAACCCAAGCGCAGTAGAGAGCTGTGGACAATCGGCCCGCCTATGTGACATGTATCCATATATGTGCATTTCTAGCCAGCGAACGGGTCGCCTCCATGTCAGGACATACTCGTCGGTGTTCGGCTGGCTCTTGTTGGGTCTAGCCTTCAATGAGTTATTATTTGCTCAATGAAGACTAGGTCAGACCCTGTGGACCCATCGCGGTCTCCGAGCCCGTCCTGTATGGGCCGATCCGCTACGTGCGGAAAGAATGGAGTTTTTGCAATAGCGTATGGTCCATTCCAAGATTTGATCATGATGTCATTTCAACGATCGTGAACATTCTAGGCAAAGGAAGGGCATAGTCTAAGTTTGGTCGTCTTCGGACATAGTGCTCCATGAAGAGGTGGGTAATCCAGTAAGTATTTTTGCTCCATTGGGCGGAGCTGGTATCGTTGGTATAAAGAGGCAGTGCCATCTAACAAGTGAGCGATAGGTGTACAATGAAATGCCTGAATCGGTACGAAGGGAGATGTTGGTTCTACAAGTTTACAGAGTCCGAGGGGAAAAAAACGACAAAGATGATCCAGAACATGCCCAACAAAAAAAAACACCGCCTACAAATTCCAGACCCTTCGAGTGCCTTGACCAAAATTTAACTCCACACTCTTCAGGGAATCCCACTCGGTTGAAGCGAGTAAACGCTCAATGCTATCCTGCCAATCCTCGAATTCGTCAGAGGCACAATCTCTTGTGAATGCGTCCTGAGCTGCACACATCGCTGCGTTGACTATCGTGATCCGCTTGATTTCACAAGCAGCCAAGGCATTGAGCATTGAGATAAGGTCATCCAAAGCGACTCGTTCGGCATCCACGTGGAAGTCTGCAAGGATGGGTAGAGGGGAAGTGATAGAATCGTCCTCCACATCCATCCAGTCCTTTCCGAGGCAACTAGATGGTTGGAATTCACCAAGGGGAATTCCTGTTTTGAACGACCGCAAAACAGGACCGCAATTCCGAAGCCACGCCAAACAGGCCTTGCTCTCCAGCTCGCTATCTCTGTACATGCTGCCTGAGAGCGATACATGCTCCAGCTGCGCAAGCTTTCCTTGCACACACATGTTTTCATCGCAATCAATCCACACGTCCCTCAGATCAAGTGACTTGAGGTTGGGAAGTTTCAACAGGCTGGGAATGGAAAGGTCTTCCCCGAGGATAGGGTGCGAAGGGACGTCGTGGTCGTTAAGAACCAACGGGACACCTGGGGGGGAGCAATTGTCGACATGCAACGCTGAGCGGGTGATGCGAGACAGTGTAAGATGAGTGAGGGAAGATAAGGACGCTGCCAGCGAGACTGCGATACGCTCAGAGCTGTGTACAAGGGCAATCAGACAAAAGCTGTGCAAGCAGCGTCGCAATCACTTACACAGGTGCAGTCTCTTCTTGACCCCAGCAGCCGATCTCGAAGTTTTGGACGGTTGTGAGAGTAGCAAACACAGGTGTGATTGTGGATGCATTGAGTGATCCGGCAAGGGAGATGGAAAGGGAGCGCAGGGACGAGCAAGTGGCAAGAAGGGTTGCGAGGTCTTCTGTACAGTCAACTTGGTATACGACGGATCTCTCTCCAGGTTTTGTGCAGACAGTGAGACGATTTATGAGTGCGCCGTATCTTGCTGGTACGTGAGTGACGAATGATCGCAGAGCGCTACGAGATGTGATAGTGATATCGGCAAAGATTTGAGGTATGTGGAGGTTATAGGATGCTAGAGAGGTGCGTGAAAGGGCACGAACGTCCTGAGGAGGGAGGAAGCGTGCGACGGCTAAGTGAAGTTCTGTTGGGAGACGATTCCAAGTCATGATTGATGGTGGGGATGAAGCGAAGGAGGTGGGGGTATTTGTAGTTTGTTGTCAGTGATATGAGTTTGTCGATTGCATCTTCTGCGGATTAAGTTAGCAAAGTGCTAATCTCCATCCTCGTCGGGGGAGTCGCTTGGAAATGACACTACTCGCGCCTTGCGCGTTTTCCATGGTCTTCGGCGTAAGCATAACTACTAAACTTCTCTCCGAGATCAAAGGAGACCTGGCTTGCCTAATCCAGATATCAATCCCACGATCAACTTTCTAGAGTTTCCGCAAATTCCCGTCTCAACTACTTCTGCCGCGGCGCACTCAGCTGTGCAAGGTATGCCAACCATTGCATCCTTGATTATCGGCCTATCTGTCAAACTAAGGTAGGAGATACTAAACAAGCCCGTAATAACCAAGTAAGTTGTCAACATTATGTATATCCGTTAATTTATATCGTGAGACCGAAGATCCCTCTCTACAGCTTGTAGCTATAATTGCCATCATCTTTCCGTGGCCATTGGAATTTGGCGCTGACCTTACCCGTGATTAAATCAACGCCAACAACCAATTTCATCTTCCGCGTGACGGTGTTTGAGGTTTCGGAGGCGTCTCTTTGGCACTGGGCAACAGCGGCAACGTCTCAGGTGCAGCGGGAGCGGGGACTGGGGAGACGGAGAGGATGATATCTTCCTGTGTGAGCCATTAATGAGCAAATGCTCATTGGTTGATGATTATGTCCGGTGCTAAACTCACGCGGTCAGTGGTCCTGGACTAGTACTCCATCTTGTTTATGTCCGCCTACTGCGCTGCACTGGCACAAAAAAATCACATGCATCCCGGGTCCAAAGCTCGCCCCTGACTTCGATCCCTGCCCAGGTTGGCGCCGCCGGTGGCCCTCATCTGGAGCTGCCAGCATTACACTTCACCCTGTCGTGGCTGCGTTCGCTGACAGATTAACGTCCCGCTCTGTCAATGCTGTTTCTTCCGACCTCGACTGAAACGGACCATTCAATTCATAACCAAAAGGCGCATCTACCAGGATGTCCCGATCGCTCTCGTAACAGATCCTCCGGGTATTGGCATTGGCAGTGCCTTTTTGTTGACCCACTTCGTTCTGGATCCCATTTCTTGGGAGAGCTGCGATGCTGTCGCTCCCTTGGGCCGGCGTTTGAGCTCTAGCTTCGCCTCAAGCTTTTGGCAGAAATAATCATATTATTCACTTGGAGTCTCGTAAGCAAGGATCGGCCTTGCTGTATTATTTGCGATCACCCGCTCTATGGTGAAAAGAGTGCGCAAGTGGAACATCGCCAGACAATTGCCGATTATTCCTCCGGGCTGGCTACCCGGCCCATATATTACCGCTCTTCCCTGGATCTGCAAGGCCCCGGTTAATAGGACCAGCAGAAATAAAATATTTGCCAGAGTAGGAACCACCGGCGCCTATTGAAATCATGCTCAATTTTTGATGCCTAAGTGGGGCGGGTACTTTTTCCCCAGATGCGAGTCGGCCGCATCGGCCTAATCAGGATCGACCGAGCCCTCGCCATCGATGGGAGTTTTAATATCAAGCCAAAGTCAAACCTGTCTACCGTATTCCCATTATCGACTGACACGTTACATGACTTGCAGTATAGCAAAATGTTTACATTCTCCGATGCGCACAACGCGCAAAATTATATGTTCTTCCAGAATGAACTGCACGTTCCTCACGGTTTCAAAGCCCCGCTTGCTGTATTAGTTCGCCGACATCAACGCATCGTCGTCGACCATTCGCAAGTTACATGCAGTATCGACGACGACTCGCTTATAGTCAGATTAATACCGGTATTGGTTGCCGTCGGGATACCAATTGCACAGGTTTACGAACTGTTTACGAACTTGGCCGAGTAACCTAGAACCCATTGATTCTCCATCACTGACTACACACGATGCGTGTGGTGCGGAATTGAGCGTCGCGCCTTAGTTCAGGTGATGTCGGTCAGCGCTGACGCTGGGAGAATGGTTTGTTTTTAGTTGCCGCCACAATCATATCATGGAGCATTTGCCACTCGGCGCCTGGCCATGGTAAGGTCGTCCTTGATAACGTTGCACCTGGTCCACTCCCAAAAAAAAAACAGTGCTGTGGAGTGAGCTTCCTATGGTGCAAATTCGGATCCGGAGTACCCAATATTATGGCTCTTTGCACCGCCTTGCTTATACGCACAACTTCCATAGAAAAAAAAATATTATATTACCTCGATCGAACACTAAACTTGCCTTGATTGGGACACACTTCACACTCAGCGCGCCCGCGTCAAGCCGTTCATATATCTCGAGGTTTCAAATCTCATCCCATCAATGATGTACACATGTGAGCTGATATCAGTCTATCACAATTATAGTCAACTGGCAGATATGCGTGCGCATGATGGCTGCCGTGTTTTTTTTTTTTTAGTGTAGGTGCTAATATAACTTTAACGCGCGCGTGCTGATCAGGTGGAGAACACATGTAGTTGCAGCTAACGATCTAGCTTCCCGCGTGCTCTCAGCTGGCTCAGTGAGCTAATGGACCACACACTTTGATTGCGGGTCTTACTCGCAGAGTACACGGATCGCATCGATTGATTGATCCTTGACTGGCAAGCAGGATCCGACTCGCGTCTGAACGGACTCGGAGTGGACCCGTCACATCACCTTCGAATTCCGGCGCAGGATTACGATTACGACTTTTCACATGCACATCCAACGCGCGTCTCTACGTCTTCCGTACGTCAAGTCAAGTCTAAACGGACACGAACACCCGTCCGAGCGTAATTACACGTCGGTCCACTGGCAATTCCTCGAGTTTTACCGCGAGACCTTCATACCCGTATCGACTCTCCGATGATTATCAGTGTATCATACATTGATGATTGATCAGGTACTAACTAGCCCACTAGTGTCGTCCCCATGCTGTAAACGCCCTGATTCCATTCGTAAAAAAAAACGCCCATCAGCTTAATTGACTCTTTCTCGTAAGCGAGACGAGGTCGAATTAAGGGCAGCAAACGCTAGACGCTCCGGACGTATAGGATCACAAACCCACATGTTAAGACGGAGAATCTTTTGGGACCTCAGTAACGGAGAGACCGGGCTCATGTTTGCCCCTTTTGGTCAGTGGAGCTGGTACGAGAGTCGACATCGCATCTCCTCGCCGACCTCGCATCTCATCAAACTCCTCGCCGACCTTGACATACGTCCCCGGATCCTGTTACGCACACTACACCTATTAGCCTATCAGATGTTTGAAGGCAGCAGGGGATGTTTGATGCAGGGCGGTGCAGATGGCATGTGGATCTATAATAAAACAGCTCGCTCCCGAGCCCGAGGAAAGGGAACATAATTCTCCTATCTCATGAAGGCGAGGCTTCTTCAAAGACTGGCCTTGGCTCGTCCACCCAAAAAAATTTGTTGAACCTTGATTTCATACAAGCAAGCCTGCGCAACACGTAATTATATTTCCAACTCTGGAACATTGTTTTGTTCTGAACAAGATGTTGTAGCAGGGTGAAATGATGACGGACAACAAACGGACGACAACAATCAATGCCCCGTCGGATGTTTCAAAGAACAAACGCATCTTGCTGGGATCCGGGCCTATATCCTTTATGTTGTGGTGGGGGACGTAGGTAACGAGCACATGATACCAAGCTTGTGGGCGGGCTGTTGACATTCTAATGCCAGACGTCCACATACATACGCCTACTATTACTGACATCACAGATTCGACGACTGAACGATGGAGCATATTGATACTTAGCGAGCACAGGTATATACCCCATTAGCCAGCATATCGCTTGGTGTGGTCCCTACCAAGCTACCTCAAGATCTGATACCCACAGAATATGTTTGAGGTGATGAAACCATAGCTTTCCTCCATCTCAAGACCCACCTCCGTTGGCCCTCAGATGATAGTTAGTTTACTAGTCTCGGTAATAACTATCATCCGAATGACAGCGACGTCTCGAAAAAAAAAAAAGCCGCAAGGATCACCGCCGATGACGTTTAAACCATGACGGGCACGCAGCTGACTTCATTGCGATGGCGGATGAATTGGATAGGAAAACACAGGAAAGGTACACTGCGAAAAACATAAAGTGATAACTTCGCACAGCTTCATGCCTTGCCTGCGGCAGCTGCCTTGGCATCCTCTGCAGCAGCAACTGCAGGGTTCACCTTCTTGCCATCTTTCCACCGGACTCGTGGGGGAGGGGCGCGGTTGCGGCGGCCCTCGCGTGACCGTACACGTACAACTAGAGGAGGGTTCATAGGTGTGACGAGAGAAAGGTTAGGGATTACGCACCATGCGAGTGAATAGCGCAGGATACACAGTATGCGATTTTGATGTATAGTTTTGGAATCACGTATTCTAACGGTGTCACAAAGATATGAGGGCCCGTATGGACAGTTTATTCGGAGGATCGCACCTGGGTAGACACTGGCTTCGCTGATATCCCGAACAGCCGCGCTCTCAACCATGTTCCTCACTGTGAAGCGCTTGATGGCCTTATCTTTTGCGACGCAACGCGAGCAGTTCGAGCAACGAACGAAACCGACGTGGCCACGGCCCTTCTTGTTACGGCCGCCATTTCTTCTTTTCTTGGTCTGTCAGGGAGTGATTGAGTGAAAGCCCTGGTATCATGTTGTGTATCTGAAGGCAATGATGCCAATCCATCGCATCGCCGAGAAGAAACAGACGGCGGGTCGAGTACACGAAACGTACGAGGTTCCGCAAGTGGCCTGAAGTGGACTTACCATGTTGCAAAGTTCCGAGGTGTCTTGAGGTCGTCGGACGTTGCTTGTCGTCGATATCGCCTATAGCCCCAAAATCAAGCTACGGCAAGTGCCGGGAGAAGTCTCACGCTTCCTGAAGGCGGAAAACCTGCCCTAAGTTAATACTTCACATCCCATCGTTGCTTTAATCAATCCTGCGATCAACTCCACGAACCGTCACTGTTACTGAGGCGTCGACACGTCGAATTTTGATCACATCCGATGCTTTCCAAGATTCGTGACTATCTGGGACACCCATACTACTTCGACGCTAGATTGAAAAAATTTACAAACAAGGAAATATGGCTTATGTAATATACTGACAGGGGAATATTGTCATGTTTGACCCCTATTTTCTTGTGCTATCCTCGCATTCCCCTTTCCCTTGCCACATCAATATCAATGGCTACCGATTCCAAGGTCCTCGACGACAGCAGTTCCACTGCTACCGCACCCCCCTCGTATGACACGATCTCAGCAAGTCCTATTCAATACAATCAATCATCCATATTTTCTTCTCGTCGCATGAAGCAAAAACGTGCCGCTGTTCTATCCCGCATCCGTGATATAGTCCTAGCCCCCGATTACACCCCTTCTTCAGTGGTCCCAAATCTCAATGCCTGCGCTGATGTTCTCCCAGCTGCAGAGCTCTTTGATATCCTGCAAAAACTCAATATCGAGGGCCACACAGCGCTGTATTGGGCAATTGTGAATAATCGGCTAGAAGCTTTTTGGGCATTTCTCAAGTTCATTCCCACTTATGCGCCTGTTGGCCAGTCTGAAGTGCGCATCGCGTGCATGATGACCAACGACCACGCACTGTTTACGAAGCTGGACCTTGGAAAATGTAAATACACGGTAATGTCCAACCGAAAGGTCGTTGATTTATCAATGCTAGACATCGAAATCTCGCGTTTGAGATGCTCTTTAGGTTGCCCGCCAGATAAGATTCAGGTACATGCATGCGATGAACCCTTGAACCAGTTCAACGTTGTTTTACGAATCGGGATGTTCCAAAAACGCCTGCGCACACAATGTTTGTGCTTTCAATTTGTTGCAGGGGGTGTGTGGTCCACGCTTCTCTCTTTGTTCCTTCTGTTGATGTGACAGCGCAAATCCTTGCAGGACGTATATGCTGGCTGCGCTTCCGGATGCAACAACCTACTAGCGAAATGTGGCACGCCGAGATTGGCCTTTCACGGTACAGCCCTTCAGCGCGTCTAAACGCTGTACTTGTGATCGAGGCGCACAGCCGGAAACCTGGCTGTGCAACTCCACCTGAAGCGCTGAAAATACCATTGTCATTGACAGACACAAAGTTTGTGGCCCTTGCATCTTGGCTGTAGGTTTAGATTTGTTCTGACTCGATGGATCGCGGTGTACTAATTGTCTTACGATTTATAATGCAACTCTTTCCTGTTCTCCTGTTGACCACGCTGGCGTCAAAGATCGCCCGAGGGCATTAGCCGTGAGGCTCCTCCCAAAATGACTTGCTGCATCTCGAATGAGTTGGGTGATTGGGTGATGCACGCGTAAGTCTCCTCCAGTTCGATCTGCGTCACCTATGGATGTGTTTGCGGTGATTTTTAAAATCGAGGCATTTCTTCCTCAGTTCCTAGATGTCTTGAACTGACTGACACTGCGTTGTTGCAGCAACACGGAATATGTAGACCACGAAGGCACCCTACACGCCAAGCTGGAGGTGACATTTTTAGTATTTGCGACTCAAAAGTAGGGTTAATGGCAGAGTTTCGCCACTTGTAAGTGACATCGTCAAACTGTATTATATTTCCAGAAATCAAGGATTCCGATTGAGGGCGTTGTTTTGATGTTCGGTTGGAACCCTTGGTTCTAACCAGAGGTATAAATGCTCGTGAAGATACTCGGATAGAGTGTAATACACGTATAACAAGGGAGTGAGAGTGACTCATCGATCATCGGCGGGGGAAGTTTGAGCGCTGTGATTACCACAGACGGAGGCTTCACTGGTTTTCCGTTGTTTCGCGTTGGGAGAGAGGAGACCAGAGCCGAGGTTCGAAGACGGCCTAAGGAGGGACGCAGGCATCATAGCATTCCTCCCATAAACGAGATTGTATGTTGTGAGATGCAGGAGAAGCACTTAAGCAACCTGGTTCTGAACGTTCGGAGTCCAGACATGAACTCAATGCTGGTGATTGAACATGCGAAGCTTAAATTACTCAACAGCATACAAGAGAATTCAAACAAGTTACATAGCAATGTTATGAATGCGTGAATCGTGGACACTTGGCGGACACTCAAGGGAATGGAGAAAAGGGGACGTCATAATGATAGAGGATGATCTACTCGTTGTCTTCTTCCTCTTCAAGGACTTCCTTCGACTTCTTTGCCTTGGAAGCTACTTTTGCTTTCTTGGCAGTGGATGCTGGCTTCGAAGAAGCGGGTCGCTACAAAGAAGTTTAGCCAATCCCTTTGGAACGACAGAAGCTTATTGACCTTGCGCTTCTTGACAGACTCTTCTGCATCTTCTTCCTCCTCGTCCTGAACCTCAGCAATCGCCTCTGCAAAGTCCTCACCGGATTCTTCCTCTTCGTCCTGAAATGATGCTAGGATGACTTCACGCAGAGGAGAAATTAGTTTCATACGAACCTTTTTCTTAGTTGCTCTCTTCCTCGCAGGGGCCTTCTTCTCGGCAACTTTCTTCTCGGCGGCAGGCTTTCTCGCAGGCGCGCGCTTCTTGGGTTTCTCCTCAGACTCTCCCTTATCTTCGACGTCTGACGAAGCTGCGGCTTTCTGTGAAAGACACGATGAGAATTTAAACATCAAGAGTTTGGCAAATATTGTGCCTTTGCGCGAGGCTTCCTTGCAGGAGCCTTCTTCGGCTTCTCTTCAGCATCTTCATCTTCCTCCTCCTCCACTTTCTTGGCCTTTGCAGGTGCACGTTTTCTCTTTGGCTTCTCACCATCCTCTCCACCCGCGTCTTTCTTGGCTTTTGCTGGTGCCCTCTTCTTGGGCTTCTCCTCTTCTTCTTCAGCCTCTTCTCCAGGAGCTTTCCTTGCTGTTTCTGGGATATCCTCGTCGGCAACCTTGCCTTCCTGCCATGCCTTGCGGAGGCGCTCTTTGTCTTCGTCTTTGAGGTCGTCGAAACCATCGAGGTCATCGGGGGAATCGAATTGAGATTTCATGTTGGATAGGATCTTGGTAGTCGTGCAACCCCAGTGGCGCCATGAACTGCCGTCCGGGGGTCAAAAAGCAATCTTTGGGCATGATATGTCACTCACTAGCTAGTGTTCCCCCTGAAATCGACGACAGAGCCAACACGAAGCTCCCCCTTGGCGATTGGATTACCTGTAGTAAATGTAAGATGATAGACAATATTATCGCAATCAACTGTGCGCACCACCGCAAGGTTTGGGACCTGTCGATGAAATCGTATGAGCAACCCACAAAGTCAACAAGTAATATACCCTGACACACCTTTGCATTTGGATCTGGCAGAAGACGCGTATTCCAGGCGATAACCGCTCTTTTTAGTGGTTCCCTCGTTGTCAGACATCGCTGAGAGTGTTGAATCTGGGATATTTCAAGTGGGGAAGCGAAAGGAAGCTATGTTGGGTGGTTCGTCTCGACGCGACAGTTTTGTTGAATGGCCCTACACCTTCAAAGTCCGACCAGTGTGCCTGCCACACAGCGCACGGACCTGTATGTTGACCGCGCGTTTATTGTTGGTTGTATTGTTGAGATAATTCGACAAAAGCATAGTGGACTTGAGAGAGATTTTCGGTCAGGGCTTGTTTGGACAAACAGAACTCAGCATTCACATGTGGCGACTGGTACTTAGGTCTCATATCAATAACAAGGTGGATTCAGAGACGGACAACGCCCTTCAAACAATTTTACATTAACCCATCAACAGTCACCGGTGGAATGACCACCGTACACTTTCAGTTGGAACACCGGGATTTTATTTATTTCATTGTTCAATACCGTTTAGCATCAGCCGAGTCTTAATTACAGATGTCGGACTTGTACAATGCAAGTGTTTGTAGGCTGTGTGGTAAGTAAGGTTAGGGTTTGTACTATTCTTTGGGCCGCTTCGCAAACTTGGCGCTGGAGTCTGGACTTCACCACGACACGTGTCACGGCTTGCTTGTAAGATACTGAGGTGGTACAGGGACTCGCCTAGCTCATTGTCGCCGCATCGAGAAGGCAATACACCACGAGCATTCCATGGATTGATCCAAAAGAGGAAAACGTCCAGAATGAACTGCATACCGTCTCGTAAAAATCCTCTGGGACTCCTTGAGGTGCCAGCAGATAACTGTTGATCTGGCGGTACACAAGAGCAGGGACTTTTGTATCAGGATCTCAGAAACAAGGGCGCTGGAACATTATCTTTGACAATGTCAGACCTTAGGACCACTGTGAGCGCGCGGGAACTCCGGACAGTGCGGTGACATTGCTCCAAGTCCCCCCAACGGAAGCGGTTGATTCGAGGACACAGAATGTGCCGCCCACAGTGCTCGTCTCGTCACCGGCCACCTTACCTTGCGTGATGAGTAGTCGCGGAATGAAGCCTTGCAGTGCATTACCTACCCGCAACTACTCGTCACGTCGTGTAAGGTGGCTGGTCGCGGGTCTACCAGTGCATGCAGCGCGCGCTGCGGGTTTGTGAAATATAAAGGCAAGCGCAAAGGTTGTGCTGTGAAGATGTTGAGACTTGCGTAAGACATCCCATGACGGATATGACGCTCCAAACACCACTTTAATAAATTGCGCGATACAACACCATGTGCGCGATACACATTGAGTGCGCGATACATGCGACACACAACAACAGACCAGTGCGATACACTACACTACTGGGTGCACGATACAATTTGTCAAGACACTTTTTGTAGCTACGCGTCCGATATGAATCAAGAAGGAACGACTGTCTTCCTTCTATATGGTCTGGCTAGGGGAGACTACCGATATGTGGAACCGAACTGTTGGTCCGACAGCCCACGGCTCAAGGACTTGCACCTGTTCCGAACCTCTTCGAACGGATTGTTATGCGCATGCTGCCGGTGAAACGAGTACCCAAGAGACACTGATATGTTATCAGAAGAGACACCAGCCTGAGCTCATCCTCTGAGACTAGTGTCATTGTGTTAAAGTCGAGTAAGCCAGGATTCAGGAAGTTTACTCTGCGGGACTTGCCGAGCCTTGCGCCAATTTCCCGAAGCGACTCGGAGCCAGTTACAGTGTACACAAACAGTTTCTCGTATTTTCTAATCTCTCCCGCCTTGCTGCAGCGCCAAATCTTCATAGGAACGGCTTTCTATGGACCGTAACTCAATGGCGACTGCATAAATTCACGGATTTTGGGACACCAGCATTTCCGAGCATGACATACTCGGCCCATCCTCGTCAAGATCAATGTCATGGGCTTCCTTCGTTGGAAGCTTCGGTGCGTTTCTGCCCTATTGAGCAATGAGCCTCGTCTGCCATTGTCTACAGTGAGATAGGTTGTATTCTTTCACTTTCTGACGAGCAGCACAGAGTTTTATCACCTTTTGAATTTTGAAAGGACCGCTTACCTTCTCCGAGTCCGTCTCTGCCTCTTGCCACTCAGTGGCACTCACCACAGCCCGAAATGACTCAATGATTTCACTTTCAAACCCGTGACTGGGCCGTTGTCGAGTCTGCCTCCATATACTCAATATGTTCTCAAGGTCACCAGCATCTAGCTCTTTGGTGCGTTAATCAAAATTTTGTGTAATTTTTTGTCCAGTTCTTGGTTCAGGCCCTTGTTGAACCGGAACCAGACAATTATCAGACCGAACTTATGGTTTGGTCTGCATGGAGAACTCAGCCAGACCCATCCATCACTACCGCTGATGTACTTCTATTTTCCAACTTGGGGCTCCACAAAGTCAGGCAGCATGGTGAGTCACCATGCTGCCTGACTTTGCAGAGCCCCAACCATCCAATATAATCTTTGCGTGGTATCCCACGACCCTGATAGCCCATCTGCCCCTCCCCGTATTCATCTCCGGTCTCAGGGTTATTTTATCGGCGACGCGAATACCGTGTCCGATCCCTCGTGCCCTACTGCCATCTACTTGTATCTTTTTAGTACAATAATTATGAAGCTTCCATTGCCTATACCTTGCTACCCTGACCAAACTCTTCCTGCTGTGATACAGGTTAGTACTAAGATTTGGAACATGACACTTGTGGGCTGTGTTGAACACTTTGATATGTTGTATCGCGCACTCAATGTTGTATCGCGCACTCAATCATTGCGTATCGCGCACTCGATGTTGTGTCGCGCAATTTATTAAAGTTGTGTTTGGAGCGTCATAGACGGAGACCAACGGGACCCGTTCTAGTGACTAGGTGACGGGTTGGATGGCCGCAGGTCATTAGGTCATATACAACACCTATTGGCATTCTCGTCGGGACTTGTTATCCATAGCAACCCACGAGTCTGGGGTGCAGTGAAGGAGCCAAACGGTATTGTGTAAGCACGCTATGGACAAATTTGCGAGCTGCAAATGAACATGTCTGATTCATTCCAGGAAGGCGACCCTCTGACTCGGTCGCCAAGTTGGGCTGTATTTCAGACTTGGAGTGCAGGCGATCGAACAGAAGCTCGTTGCACAGTGCAGACCGGAGTTGGGGGACTGTGCGACGGTTTCCTGACACAACGATCCCGGGTCAGCCCAACCCCCATTACTACTGTCGTCCATATTGTTTGATCCCACCAGTTTTTGCGGGCATATCTTCATTATGTGACGCATCTTGAGGGGGGGGTATCCCTCTAAATTCTGACTGGGAGATGCGAACATAAACTGGCCATGCTCCACCAAGTGGAAAGGGATTCAATACCAGTGCTAGAGAACGACGAGGACATCACACTTACAATGTGATCGACCGTATAAAGGCAGCTTCATCGGCGACAGCCTGAGAGTGTACGTATTAGTCCAGTGTTTTAACTAACGTGATCCCCTGAATGCAATTTTCCCTGTCCTAACAAAACCCAACAACTGCGTGTTCTTGGCTGTGGGGCGAACCCACAGCAAGGAATATGCAGTAACCAGATCAGCTTCAGCTCCTGTTCGATCGCATTCCATCGGACGTGCCTGCAATGCCGTGCGGGCGGTAGTATACTACAAAAGAATATTGGAATATGAAAGCGGTGGCAGGGTGGAAATGCCTACATTAACTAACTCGCATACTCATTAATGTTCATCAGCTCCAAGTGGGAGATTGAGTATCATAAGTTGAGTCATTAATCCACCAACATCCGTCCCTTCATGAAGCTCAGGAATTGACATCTGAACGCTCGTTCCAGGTTGGAACCCTTGGGTATGTCGAGGTGCTTCAAGTAACGGCACTGCGAGGCAGGAGGCGTCGGCTCGGGTTGTTGGCCACTGGCTGAGCTCAATGTAAACTGGGCTGTTCTCGAAAATATATATTACGACGAAATATGTGCCAAGACCCGTCTCTCCTTGAAATCGGCTTCGCAACGCCAAATAAATAAGTACCACGACAAAAGTTGAAAATCAAGAAGAAAAAGCCAAATTCTCCTGCTCCCTGCATACCACCAGATTACCGTTAACTCCACTGAGCATCTCCCGCGCTATACGCCACTGCCTGTCGATATTTGCACGCGCTCCTGGAAAGCGATTGAGGTCATGGCGGTTGCTGCATCAGAGTCAGCCACGAGCCGAGCGTTATATTCTCGAACGCTTAGGATGAGGCGTGGTCCTAGCACAAAGGACTGTATGGCTTGCAAAATCTGAAGAAAACCAAGCAAAATCTGTGTTTCGAGGGAAAGTAGGTCCTATATGAATGATGAACCGCAGTCGCATGCAGAGGTCAGTGAAAGATTGACATACCGCTAAGATCGTCGGAGACAAATCAACTACGAGGCTGAAGCAAGACACGGCAACGTAACTAGTAGCACGTTCAATCATTCAGCGGAAAAGGGAACAATATGAGCTCACCTCGCAAAGTAAAGCACATAGGATTTTATCAACACCGTGAAACAGTCGCCGATAATCCCTCCAACCGAATGTTGTCGCAGTTCACGGAAGTGTTTTACAGCAACCCAGACTGCGAGACACAGCACGAGGACCTCCCAGACAGTGCCGAGTATCCAACCAACGGAAGCCAGAAGTGAGGTATTGTCCGCATAGCTAATCGTGCATGCATAGGTGCCAGAGAGAATGAGTTCCTCTTGTATTCATCAATGAGCGTTATGCACGGTTTTCATTTACAATTAAGTATACCTCCTGAAACATGCCTCATTGTTATTGCATTGGCCACTACGTCGAAAATGTTGACAGCCAAGGACATGAGGACGAGAAATATCAGGATCCTTGTGGATCGTTGATACATGGCATGTAACCGAGTGATCATGATGACTACGACATGTTTCGGTCAAGTCAATATCATAGGTCTCGTAACTGCACAACTCACCACACAGCATTGGAAGTTCCACAACATCCGTCCAATACCCCACGAGGTACAGAATCCGGCCTGAGGAATCCGGTTAGTGATGGGCCTTGGGTGGATCACACACTACAAACAGACTCACATCTGTAGCAGTCATGATAGCAAACGAAGAAGCTGGTCAAGAATGACACTCACCCCTACAGGGTGCCGTGGTTAATTGAATGGGAATAGCAGGCATTTGTGCAGAAGACTCACTGCATCTGTCAACAAAATCGTCGGAACACTGACTATATGCCACTGGTCAGAAGAAACAAACACGGCGAATGCGAGAAGACATACGCAGTATGTCCAGGCTGGTTGCGAAAGATAGCAGATTAGCACGACAACAATTATCAAGCCTTCTGAACATACATGACAAAGAATATTCCAAGATAGCGCACCTAGGATATTGTCAAGTCAGCAGAAATTCACAACAGGCAACCTACGTACACTCAGATAGAGGACGGTCATCAGGGACCAACGTTGCCTCTGTTGCAAATCAATATCGTTCTTCTGATGTGGAACCGCGCTCACCCAGACCAGTTCGACCTACAAAAAAATCTTAGCGAAATGGCTGCTCCGGTCATAGCACCAACATACCTCTTGCCCGAATGTAAGGGCTGGAAATACTTGTGGGAAATCAGCAATTCTCTAATGTTATTATGCTCACCCCAATCATACGCCACTCCAACACCAGCGGCAACTGGAAAACCACAATCAAGGTCAGATCGAGACATCAGCGTCAACATCTGACTGCTGTTCACGAACCTATAAAATAGCTGCCAATACGCCAAGTGTTGATGAATGGCCAATAAATAGGGTCGTCTGAGACTAGTGTCATACTGTTAGAGAATGGATGTGAGGGAGCGGGGAACTTGGTGGACATACAATGATGATATTCGTGCTAGATATACCACCACCACCCAGTGCTTAGATGACCAAAATGAGATCGAGGTATGATATTCGTTCCTGTCAATAGATATGATGTCACGTTCGAAGTGATGTACCGGGCCTTGAATAACATACCGGTGATACGAAAGTGATCAGGTTCTGAGCTTCTGAAGGTTCGATGCCAGCGATCACCGCAACCCGCGCCAACGGCAGAATCGTTTAGTGTTGGTGCGGCAGTGTCTTCCCTTCTATCGAGGTCGTTCACTACAGGTACCAGTAGATCTCTTATATCGTTGATCTTCATTCTAATAGCCAGTGTTGCCAGCCTATACTTATCAGCAAATAAATAATGATTGAAAGACGTGGGGCTCAACGTACGTAGAACAAGTCAGTCATGACACATTTGCACAGGCAGGACTTGAACACCGCAAAAGATGAAATAACATCTAGCACTGTTCGTGATTTTGTCACCTTTGTTCTGATGCCATTCTCACATGCTGGTCATGATGAATGATGGGCGCAGTATTTTCGAATTTGCATCGTGGAGTTGGTGCGGTGGTGAGAGGCATCAGTTTTCACAGCCAGAGACATGTGCATCACGGTTGAAATTCCGCGATTGATATCTGGTGAAGATACAACACCATGTGTCACCATCTATAGCTCAAGATAGCAACATGGGGGAAAAGAAGAGTGGGAAGCACCGTGAATGACCGCATCAAGTCTGACTTGTTGTTCTTGGACCTAGCTGCCAGTGCACACCTTCAACGTTGAATACAATGAAGCCCGATGCGAAACGTACCACACTAAATCCATCATTTAGTCGATGCCGATTGGAGTGATAAAGTCGACTTCTTCATCCGCTGTTCGTAGGGTAGCCTGGTATGGAATACCGTCAATATCTCACGTGAGCCAGTTACTACCAGGACTACATAGTACACCAACACCCCCAGAACACCCACTAAAGATCAAGATTCGAGAACGCAGAGCCTCCAGATCATGCAGCAAAGCTTTGCCCGAATTTGAGCATCCAGAGGCTGTAAATAGAGAGGTGATTTGTAGCAGTGGGTTGACGTGATTGGTGGATATCGCCACTACCTGGCGGGTGTAGCAGGATCAAACCAGGACGATAAGTTGGTCGGAGTTGTGGGATTGGTTGATGGTAAAGCATTAAAGAACCTACTTGTCTTTAGCCTCCGATTTGGTCTTTGACGATTTCATCGTCGCGATCGATGTGGATTGTCATAGGAATGTTTCTGTGCTAAAACGTGAATAGCTTGATCAGAAAGATTTCACCACTCCAGGCCTGTGCGCAGTTGGACATTCAAATGTTGATCTATTTGGAGTGTTTAAAATATGTTTCGAAGGATACAGCACAGTATTTGAACAAGCCATACGCCGTTAAAAACACAGGAAAGCGGGATTCACATTCAACTGTGGCAATCTCCTCGAACGAAGTCGGAGATAACTTCATCGAGTAGGCACTGAGATCGAGAGTTCCGCCTCCAGCATCAACAACAATGACTCCCTGGCTGTCAGATTGATCTTCCTCTTCGTCTGAGTAATCTGACACACCTATAAGGTTTTTAGAGAATATATCCGACGCAATCATGCTGATAAAACAGAAATGGAGACTTACTTCGCCATCAGTCAAGAGATGCATGTGAGATTGCTCCTCCTTGGATGAGATGAGACCAGCGATCTTGACAGCGCGTCTAACCTGTTACCTGTTGTTGTTGTTGGCCTTCCCAACCGTTCGGATGTGTGAGCACGAACTCGATAGAGTTCTAGACCAATCTCCAGAAATTCGAATGTGATTCCTGGATGTAAGTCCAAGCGCATTGGAAGAGGTAGCGGCACTTCACGTCGCCCGCATTGCCAATTAGCCTGGGTCCGCGGCCTGTTCGAGAGGAGAGAAGATAGACCGTTGAAGGTCCACGAGTCCTTGACTGCTGGAGACAGAGATCTAGAGGGCTCAATTAGAATCTGGGACCGAGAGAGGTAAGATGGTTACTCTTGGAGCACACAGACAAAGTGCTGGTGCCTTCAGAATTCAAATGTCGAACATCTAGCTAAGACTTGCGTACCAACAGTTGGAATGGAGTGCAATGAGGTACCGACAAAAACAATACATGCAGCCCGACCAAGCAAGAGAGTAAGCGTAAATCGCGTATCCAAAGATCACTCACTAGCAAAGGAAAGATCTTGCACACAGATGGAGATACGGAACAGGAAGAGTTACATCACGGGGCAGCAGGCTGAGACAGTGGGACGAGTTCAGCGTGGGATACACCAAAGTGCGAGGCAAAAATTGCCTCAAAAACCATAGTCTTCTTCTTGAGTAGGTTGTTGTGTCCCCGTCTGTGCCTCAGGCTGACGCTGAGGGGTCGAATGTGGCTGCGGTGCAGGCTGAGCTACTGTTGAGGGCGACTGACCAGTCTGAGCTTTCGAGGTGGTCTTCACAGGGGGAGGCGCTACGTAGACTCTCTGAAGATTAGGTGATGTATAAATACATCACAACGAGGGACACCCAATACACTGCTTACCTTTTTTTCTTCCGGAAGAGACGGTATTTGGGATGTTGTTGCATCGCAATGGACCCCCTTGCTGCAGGGAGGAAGCCTGCGGATGCTGGGCACGAGGAGAGGGACCAGACAGTGTCGAAGCATGATAAGGCTTTAAATGTTTATCATCAGTGGTACCTTTCGCATGACGAAACGAGGCTTACCTGAAAAAGTCGCTGTATGGATCTTCTCCCCCCTCTAAATCTTCTGTGATGTATCTTCCATCCCGAGAGAACGATACACGAAAGGGTGTTGCAATCCTCCTGGCTTAATGGCTGTCTGGGTCAGTTACGGGGCTCTGTGTCCCACCACTTCTCAATACCAGAATAACCCACACACACCAGTACACTGTGTTTAGGTGAAAGTGCGACGGAATTCACCGAATTGTTGTGTTTGAACTTTGAAGCGATGATGGAGTTCTGTGCCTCATAGAGTATAGTCTACGTATGAGTAAGCGATGTGGCGCAGCAATCTTTCTTCTCGCCCTCATCAGCCGTCGAACGCCGTAGACGAGCACCAGCCTACAACTCTCATATTTTCTGCTCATTCTATACTAGCAATGACAATTATGCTAGACAATCCTAATGAAGCGGTTTTACCTGACTTTACAACAGGAGAACACAGAGAAGAGAGAGCCAGGCTCCTCGCTGACGGCGTCGCAAATGAGGACCTTGCCGCACATCTTTTGGCCGCACTATGGACCATGAGTAGTAATGCAGCAAAAGCAGCTTACCCGTGAGGTACCCGTACCCGTGACCCGTGCGGGTTACCCATACCCGTGCCAATGCCTAGTTGAACGAGCAGCCAGAGTCGCTGAAGACGCTCAGCATTTAGCTGACAAGCAAGAACGAGAACGCCAAGTTACCCTACAAGAAGAACAAGATGCAGCGCGTAAGGAAGAACATAAAAAGAACAAGGCAAAATTTGTTCCTGTCGTCATTGCGAAAGTACCGACAGTACCAGTTGTTATTCCCTCGCACTACGCAAAATTGAAATTGACTGTATCGGATTAGTCGCAGGAGGACAGAGAGGAGACTCCTGCACGACCTAAATGCGGCTGTCTTGACAATGAGCCTCAACCAAGAGATGAACATGCGAATATATCCTCCATGCATGACGTTGGAGGTAAACGGAGCCGAATGCAAGAGCTACATTAGAGAACTTTGTCTGCGGGTGGGCGAGAAAAGGTAGAGCGGGGGTCTGGAAGGGGTAGGAGGCACTAATTACATAGACAACCCGTGTACACTTGCATGTCAACAATAATGATCATGATTATGATATAGCGCACCAGTGCCAATTAATAATTATTGTCAGCTACATCGTACGCCGCGGGAGACGATGGGCCTGGCAGGAGGTCATGAATGTCAGCATTCCTTTCGAAGCATCGATAGACTGATCATGAGTTTGAATGGGATCAGATCCATGTGCATGCACTGGGGTACCATATCCGCATGACAATCATGGTCAAGGACTGGATCGATCTCATCCACTGTTGCAAGCAGTCACATTAGTGCTCGAGAATGACTATGTGTGAGGTAACTACGACATCGCGCCAGGGCATCGTAATACAAAGAGAGAACGGACTAGTATAAGTAAAATTAGTAAATATTACATTAAGTGAGCTTTGTATGAATGTCAAGAAAAAGCTCTCATCCATAGACCGAATGAAAGAAACTCAATCATTGCCTTCGTATAATGGCCATGCGTTGTATGATGTCTTTGCAGGACTTAGCGGCCCGCACAGCAACAACAGGGACGTGGAGGCTATTAGTTGCTAGGACTGGCCACATCGTGAGAAGGACAATAACCGCCCATATGGGAGTGACAACAGTCAATGCAATGATATCGGTAGTATAGAAGATGAGGATTGAGAGTCCTATTGAAAAGAAAATCATTCTGCGATATTCCTGGTCAACATCGCGCATATCGCAAATGTCGGCGTAACTTACCCCCAGATAAGGAGAGCATACGGCAGACTGAGCATGAAGGCAAGGCTCTCGATGCCAAGAAATGATTGGAACATCAAGCCCATGAAAATGGCCTATGCCGGTGTTTTATATGAGATGCATCGAAACTACAGCTAGCAACGCACCATACTGGAAGCCGAGCTCTGTCCATTGCCGCTGAGCTGACCCGCTATGACAAGGGAACTCACGAGCGAGCCCATTGCGCAAAGCGTGGACAGGTAGATGAAAATCGTTGCGGTTGGTTTTGACTGAATGGAGGAATCGTCTGCTCCAGGAACCGCGAGGAAGCTGATATCAACAGTGAGCATCACGGTTGACTGCAATCGTGAGCAGGTCTGTAGATTGAAAGATCAACGATATACTCACCAACACTGAAACACCGTTGAACTCGGTGCTCAATTGGCAGATGAAATCATTCCACATGTGTTTGACCACGCTATTGTCCACCCAGACGTTGCGAATGGATTCGCCGTGGATGGTGGGGGAGTTAAACAGTGCAACATTCAAAATGTTATACAAGATGGACTTGGGCTGTTCGCTATTACCATAGTATAGCGATTGATCAGTATCAAGACGGGCACCAGGCTGTCCACAGAAGTTGACAAATTTATCCCGGACTATTTCGACACGGCATTATTTAGAGGAAGGATGTAGATAGAAGCCACTCACCGAACATATCCATGTATCGAGCTGTGGGTTGAGACAAATATATGAACATTTGATGGAAACTAGAGTTGAATCTCATACCCACGATACAGACAGAGTGCTCGTTGATCGTTTCCACGCGATCTGGTGCTTATCAAGACGGATCCCAAAGACAATACTACTGAGAAGCTCACCTTTCACGCGATCAACAACACTGAGCATTTTTTCGAGCTCATCCAAATGGAAGGGAGAAGGCAATGTTTGAAACGTGATTGATCCTGCCAAAGGATCCATAAGGTAGCCAAAAGATTGGGTGGGGTACCAAACCGGCATAAGCATGCGCAATGATATCTCGCAAACGATCCACCGCCTGTGCGGGGAGAGCACGCATGTTCGGGAACAGGGTGCAATGTTTCCTGTGCCATATAAGTTAAGCATAGCACGATGCCCAGATAAGTTTGGTAACTATTTTTCGATCAAGGGTTAAACGCACCAGTATTGTGCCTCCAGCGCATACCCTAGGTTATTAAACTATCAAATCGCTAGATCATTTTGATAAGTTAACTACGCGCTTACTGATGTGACTCTTCTCAACGACACCTCGTACATGGTTCATAAGGTGTCTAGATCGGACAGTCTCGGGCCAGAAGATAATCCGTGCATCATGGTCTACAAAATAATACCCAAAGGCACCGCTGGGAAGCTTTTCGACAGCAAGCTCCATTGTCGCGCAAACCTTGCCAATCTCTGCTACCATTTGATTCGCTTCCGTGGCTGCAGCAAGTATCTCAAGTGCAAGGCCATCCTTCAAAATATTCTGATCGGTGAAGACTCTCTGTGTGGTGTCGCACGATGAGTGGTTTGGGCCTTTTGGTGATTCTTGCGTACCTGAAGGGGGTTAAAGAAGAAGCGCGCGCCCTGAGGATGAGTGAGCTGCAACCAGTTGGCAACATTTGTCGAGGGTCTGCAGAAATATGAACATTGTCATTATCCAAACGCAATTGTCCTCACTCCGTAAAATTGTCCAGCCCTGGGCTAACTTCGAACACATGGAAATCCTTCTTTCTACCGTCAGTGTTGGAGAGACATTCGAGAAACACAAATACAACGCAGACATACTGAGTAATATTCCTGTTGTACCTAGCAATTTGTGATGCAATGATTGGCACAAGCCTAATCTCTCCTGGTCGACGGACGTTAGATACTGCTGAAGCTGTCTGAACAGAATAATGGCCATGATCCATTGACACCTGAACTGATGGAAATGCCAAAGGACTCCCAACATGTTGGAAGGGAGGCGAATTTCTGCTCTCGGGAGCGCGCACAGCAAGCGTCGTCAACGGGATCTGATTCTGGATATCCAAAACGGCAGGCTGTGCAGCTCCCGTAATGTCATCGAGGCTGAGTTTAGGTCCCAGTAAGACGCTACTAAGTTTGTGCGAAAAGCCATATACTAGTCGGAGAAGTGTAAGGACGGGTCGGTGGATGCGCAGAATCGATAGCTTCAAAAACCCAAGATATTTGTGCATGAAGGTGAAGAGTTTGCATAAAGACTTTTTGATAGAAACGGAAGACATGATGGATTCGACACACATTGACTAGGAACTGCAAGGTCACTTTATCAGTTCATAATTGTGGCTGTACGTAGCTGTACGTTCCTGAAAGTGGGGATGTGAATTCACGCCTGCTAATTCACCGGTGTGAATTGGCGTGAATTGACATGTGAGTTGGGGTGAAATTTGGGGACATAGCATAGCTATAGGATGACAGTGGTCTATGGGGGACCGTATTGGACAAAAACATACGACTTTGAAAATGTATTATGGTTTTGGCTAAGGATTCAACTTTACATCAATCACTATGAATCCCCGTGAACGAGGTCTATTATCCTGAAGTGGCAATGTGGTAGACTAAGTCAAGACCAAAGCGCAACAAACAAATTCATCTTTACTTTTGACTACGAAGTCCCGTTTTAGCTTATTCACAAGCTCACCTTCTTGACTTTGCTTGGCAGCGACTGGCATTACACCATTGATCAACGTGAGTGAGTTCTCTTATGTGTTTTTATCTATGCAGCTGACATTCAGGCTAGCTAGTATACTATGAGATGAACCGGAGCAATGTTGACCACTCAGCAGAATCCATGTTTTCTGTGAAGACAGCCTCGAATTCCACTTCCTGAACCCACTCATGTACCCGTGTCTGCACCTGGCTATAGGTCGTTGACAATTCTCGCAAGGACATGTTGATTGTTTTACGAGCCCGCACTGAATGTCATCTATTCAGATCTTCCAGGGCTCCAGCCATGAATTGAGCGCTTGCCAAGTCCTTGTGGGTCCTCTTTGCAGTTACCATTGTGTCATCTCCTCTCCGCAAGTCTTGACCTTGTCTCGCTTTTCAGGGGCGCTCAACCGCCACAGCTCTATTCAAAACGTCGTTCGAGACAATATGAAGGCCTTACGTACGCGTGAAGAATCCCTTCATGACCTTCAACGGTGCCGGTGGCGTACTGCAGCGTCCGTAGAGAGCATCAAGAAAAAGCTCACCCGGATGAATCAGACTAAGGCGTTCATGGACCATTTCATGCAAGGATATGCGAGATTTGGATGCAAAATTGCGCACGAACAGTCGACGATCGCGGCTTTTAAACGTAAATGCACAAAAAACTGGCTGACACTTAAGTTTAGAGGTCTTGTAGAGTGCTGTGAAAAGGGCATGGTATACTCTGTACACCGTGTTAATTATGAAGAAATGCTACGTGGGCGGTACTCGCCCAGTCCAAGTCCATGGGTTCGAGGTACGTCGTGCGATCTTATTGTTCAGGTGAAGCGTTAAATACTCATGCCGCTAGTCAAATGCTCATATTTGTAATACGTATCATGCTAGTATACAATTTCATGGCATTGAAACTGCAGGCAGGTCATTTATGTCAGCTGGATAGTTTCAAAGAGTGAGCGTCGTCCCAGTGATGAAATTTTTTCGTGCTGGTCCAGCCACTGCAGAAAATGCAAAGTGAGAATAGAACAGTATGGCGCTGATCCAAGTTGACTATCAACCTTGCGTCCTCCAGATATAACAAGGTCCAGCCAGAGAACATGCTTCGAAGGTACTTGCATCAAATTATCTACGTGTCGTCTCTCAATTATGGTGGTCGCTCAGGTCCTCGTCACCCATCCTGGCGTGGAGGAACCCTCTGTGTCGAATCTGTCGATGCTGAACTTCAGGATGACCATGAGTTGCAGAATACATGAATCTACTTAGGGGACCTGCGATATCTGCGACATCCGCTGCCAACAATGCCCCAGATGACTTCCAGGACAGATACCTTCAACCCCTCATAATTTTCGACACTGTTATTGAGAAAATTGCGAATGTTTGGGCCATTCTTCTTAGTATGTGGTAGCAAACTAATCAAGGCATAGATATGTCCATACGCAAAGATGGCGCTGAACATACTTTCTACTGCATCCAAGGTGCGTTCTGTTTTTTCCGGAGTTCTACCTCCCGCTCAGACGTTATGGTTCCATGTAGATAATTCTTGCTCAAGCGGAGCGCAACAAAATCGGTTCGCCCGCCCAAGAAATTAGATGAAATACACGACTTCATAATCCGACAGTCTTTCTGATGTTGAATCGATGCAAGATGTTATCGGAAAGATTGCTCAGTAGACTGTCGAGGTGACAAGGTACTAGTACGCTAGCTTGATTTTTCTCACCGTTTGTGATGTCTCATATTAGTGGATCTGTAGCGCAACATTGCAGCTGGTTCTCACAGCCACAACGATGACTGGATATGTTATGAAGGTTACGACCCTCCTTCTCCTGACCTCCACTCACACGAACCATGCGCACCAATCCAGATCAAAACCGGAGAGCATGTAAGCGGATTTCTGGAATGATTCTTGTTGATCTTATAAGTACCACTCTGATACCTGTCGTATGTGATAACCATTGCGTGTCTCGTCCCCTTGCCTTACATTGCCAAGTGCTTTTCAGGTCCCGAGAGCCGATGCACTTTCCCTGGTCGAGCCAATCGTCAGTTCATCAGCGCAGGGTGCTCAGATGGGGTATTCACATTACCAGGATACAAGCAAGGACGAAGAGTGATCGCCTGATGGTGTGTGTAGTTCTTATATCTCCCCGTCTTCATGGCTGTGTTATACAGTGTGTCCTTCTTTTAATTGCTCCTTATCGGCCCGGACTAAAACCTACCTTCACAGCAAGTCTAATAATACAGCTAGAAGATGATACTATTGAGCGCGGCGGAAATCTGATCATTCTCTTTTGTCGTAAACCTCACAACTGCTGTGGCAAACACCCCATCCTGTATTCTTCGTTTACACTACCTCATCTTAGGTGCCATTCGCAAAGTTAAATATACTGCGGTACATGCAATACACCATGCTCGAGTTAATACGAAGGAACCTATAATTCACGATGACCTACACCGACAGAAAAAGAATCAAAACAAGAACTTTGCGTCACAGCAAGCGCTTGTGCTAAAGTCTGATGGTGAGTAGAACTGCATCCGGGCGAGAAGAGACAGGAAGCAGTTTGCATAGAAAGTGGGGGAAACGTATATTCCTTGTAGGTGGAGGGCTTGGCGGGCAGGGGATGGGAAATATAACAGGCCTAGGCAATATCACTGGTTTACGGTGAAGTGTTGCATCGGACTGTAATAAGGGACGGTGTGGTGTAGAGGAGCAAAAGAGCAGGACCACGTACATTGAGTACCTCATCAGCGAGGCGTTGACATTCAGGTTTGCTGGTCTGTAAGAGATTTTAGCACATAACTAAATGAATCTATGCGGGTGAATACGAACACTAGGCTGCGCTTCTTTGGCAAGCCCGACGCTAGCAAGGATGTTGGGTGGAATGTTACATATACATATATTGGGCTCATGAAGGCTGGCATAAGCCAGTTGGCGTGAATCAGGTGAGAGGATGAGGGTGAAGGGATTGTGGACGTCGAACGAAGCGAGTAGCTGGCGAGACTCGAAGGACCAGAGCTTGAAGGTGTCGTAGGAAGCACAGCTGGCGAGAAGGGCACAATCAAATGAGAGTGCTAGGTTGGTGATTTCCTGGTCTGCCCTTCGAAAGAATCTCCGACAGTCTCCAACGTCGACATGTCAAATTCATGGATTGTCATGTATATGTACATATATGTCAGAAGATGCATAAGTATTACATATAATGACTCGCCTGTCCAGTGTCCGACGAGTGTCAGTAACCTCAAACACTCATTTCGCTGCGCCCCCAGGCAAGCGGCATCACCGACTTGTGAGCGAAGAGCAATATTGACCCGTTGGCCAATTTCGGTGTAAGCGGCGCGAATAGTTTGGATTGGTATCGCATGTATTTGCGGCGGGTGCCAGTGATCAGCGCCAGCGTTAGTGTCCATTAACGTGCAAAGTCGAGTGCGTAATCAAAGCGGAAGACAAAAGCAAAAGAAGTCTGATCAAACCAAAAACAGAGTGGTACCTTCCAAAACTAAGATCACGATACGTAAAAACGTGTTTAACTTGTCCTTGGACATGACCGTGGTCTTGCGTTAAGGTTCCTGCATTTGGTTTTCTTTGTAAGTTGTTGACTGCGCCTAGGTTAGAGTCATACACCGTTATTCACTGTGATTCATCATTCTTACACACAATCAGGTCACAATTTAATTTTGTCCAGTAGTGGCCCCCAAAGTGGTCGTTATAATTTCCATAACGAGATCCGAGGCGAGGCAGGTGAATTGTGACTCTGGATCTTAGATCCTGTGTACGCTCAAACACAAGTGCAGTTTCAGAGGCTTCATCCAGCGGTTAGCGGAACAGTGTCTTGGATGACAGTGACGGACCGCGATCTTGACTTGAGCAAGTTGTAGCCAAACGTCGGTTCCCTTACTGATGTCAAGACGTGACTCTTAGAGTCGGATTGAGCACTTTTTCTTTCAAGCTCCGCCAGTGATAAACGACATTTTTAACTTTTCTTACATAAGCATAGGATTGGCAGCACGCGTCGCAGAGTCCAAAATCGTGGCCTCGTACCATTCAATGGCCATGGTCCCGTTCAACACTTCCTATGCGTCTGCCAAATTTACTAGTTTAATTAAGAGAAACCTCGTCGCGATATCGGAGGACAAAATAAAAGGTGCAGGAGTTGAATCAAGCAACATGTTATGCAGTCAATTGAACTTATCACACACCAAATTTGGTCGTGTCTTCGAACGATTTGTCGCATCAGAACGACGGGTTCATGGTACCTCTCAATATAATTTCCGAACAGGCTCAGATCTTGGGTCTAAGTCTGAGATAGAGCAACATGTACGTAGGTGTGATATCTGTAATCATACAACAGTCTCGAGCGCCTCGCCGTCAGCCGGAGACTCCCCTGACTCTGAGAACAATCTCTGTAGAGCAGCGATTTCCTCGTCGCTCCTGAAAAGTGTGCTCAGCTCAAATCTGTCATTGCACGCTATCCGGAACTCCTCGGCGCGTGGCGATTTCATTTCCTTCAAGTACGACAGCACCGCGAATGCAGCCTGTCCATCATAGGTAAATGGGTGGTTCAGATAGAAGGGATGGACACGTACCTCGTGATCAAGTTGGACGGGCTCTCTTAGCACAGTGAATAGTATAGAGTCAACTTCGTCTTGCGGTGCTTTTAATATTCGCGCGACCTTAGCATGTGCTACAATAGCCATCGACGATGAAGAATGTTTCTGGAGGTACTGGGAGTTGAACAATTCGAGGGAAACCTCTTCTGGAAGCAGTGAGGCAATGGACTCAGCAAGCACTGGCCCAACCGGCGCGGGGATTGGTTCGGGCAAAGAGGAAACTGGTGACTCCTGTCAGATGACAGCGTGAAGTCGGAATAAATCTTACCAGTGTTCCTCAGATGTACTATCCGGAAGTGCAAATCAGGATGTTCAGCATCCAACGAATGGGCGCGCACAAGCATCCTAACAGCTTGTAGGTATTTCTCTGTCGCCGAATCAGTTATTTACCCCTGGCTCCAGACTTCGAGACTCGACTTACTCCGTCGAATAGCGACATCATATATTGCAAAGCAAATGTCCACATTTTGAGGCACAAGCTCCGATAGGCCCGTCAGATACTTGTCCGCGCGTTCGAGAGGGTCCTCGGCTAAGACCAGTTTCAGGCCGTCTGGATCATCGTCCTTCGAACGAGAAGGCTCGAGGCCTTTGTCCTCAATTTGAGTGGCTGTGGCTGCGGAAAGAATGCGGTTGCGTAAAGAAGACAATGCGAAGGTTACAGAACGACGTTTTGATTCACCCTTTTTGCTGTTTGCACCGTCTACTTCGGGCTGTCCCTTGCGCGCAGCTTTTTTCGCCTTGTTGAGGGCTTTCTTGGAGGAAACATCTGAGGCGCTTTCTAGATCTCACAATCAGCTGAGGAAGATGAACTGTAAAAGAACGCTCGCCTGCAGGTTGAAGACTGGGGCCGAGAGTCGCGTCGTCGTATAGTGCAACCCATATCTTCAGAAACATCAGTTGATTGATTGTATATACATTCCAAAAACTCACTTGAACGGTAGCAACTGCTGCATGAATAAAGCCTGGATGTGACCGCACATTATCCTCCCATTTCAACATCCTGGAAAATAATAACATCAGCCAATTAAATCAAACCCATGGCCTACAATTCTGACTCGGTGTAAACATTGAGAATCGTTTTTCGTACAGAATACTGGTGGAATTCATACTGGTCTTCACGGAACGATTCGAAGACCTGTCGATGGTTAAGCCTCCATGTCCAGACAAGGGCAGGGGCCAGGGCTCACTTTCTGTATTACATAGTACTTCTTCAAAGCAAGGTTGAGCTTGCCAGCCCGTCGATAGCAGTCACCCTGCTCGACAAGGTAATGCATCGCCTGCATCTCCTCCAGATCTGCTGCTGCAGACGTCCCTCCCTAGGTCCAGAAATGGTGAATAACAAGACATCTTCATGCCATGTAACACACTCACTCTCGTGAACTTGGAGAATATGGCGTCTGCCTCATCAACCATGCCAGCTCTTAGCAAGTACTTGCCTGTCTTCGTGTTAATGAACCTGTCCTGCCCATCCAGCAGACGGGCATCATTCATGGCCCTCGCGGCACCATATGGGTCACCTGCCCGTTTGAGTGCGCGAGCTCGTGTCATATAGAGCTCTGGCAGTGTCGGAGTATGTATTATTGCAATGTCCAATATTTCCAAGGCCTGCTTGTGGCGTCCTAGGTAGGAATGGTGCTGAGCGAGGAGATACAGCGCCCACAAGTAGGTTGTTGGCTCAACGGAATCGCCGGTCGGAGGGGACGAGGTCTCAAAGGTCGCACGGAACTCTTCCACGATATCTTCAATTACTTGACGCTTGACTGGATCCCTGTACAGTGGCTTAATGTCAGCAAAGAGGGAGGGAATCCCTTTCGTGAGCGCGTTGGTCAGGTAGGGTTTGATAAGATCCTTAAATTCCTGGCCGGTAGCCACATGAAGAGCCAGGCGACGCGGAGCGGTAGCTGACTGGACTTGGAAGTAGCCACGGAGCATTTCAAGCGCTCTTTCCCGATTTTCGTCGGTGACATTAGCTAGGAAACAGTCATTACGCCAAATGAAGGTGTCAAAAAACAGCACCAACCAAGGTCGATGCCTTGATTAGCAAGGAATCCCTTATAGTATTCGTAGCCATCAGCATTTTGTGACAGAAGCCAGCGCCAAGCTGCATCTGCCTTTTCCGTCCAAGTGGTATTTCGCTCATCGTCCGCATTGCTTTCCTTCAATTTTGCGAACAAGCGCGCTGTAAAGGATGAGTTGCTCTCTCAAGACATCAGGGTCATGTAATCACACCTTTCATCTCCGTGCCCGCCATGCGATCCAGGACGGAGCCACCCTTGGCCCTGTCATGTGACTGGAGCATGTCAACTGCCGATTGGAAGTCGCCCATATCCTCTAGTATGCGGACGTGGTACATCAACAGCTCGGAAAATTCCACATCGTAAGGTCCTACGTTCTGCAGACGCGCTATATGAGTGGGGCGCATACAATAGTGAAAACGGACGTACCCGAAGAAATCCTTCAATATACTCAAGAACTTGTTTTGCCTCAGCGAGGTTTCCATTAAGCTGATATGCGACTGCAAGACCAACCCAGTGATGTCGGTTGTAAGGCCGCAGGCGGAGGAGGTTATGACGAGTTTCTACCAGGCCCTCAAATTGACGCGTCTGCGTCTGAAGGACAGCAGTATCTCGCAGGATATTGAAGTTATCCTTTATTCAAGCACTGAGACACGCCTGAACAAGTAAGTTACGACTCCAACGCACCTTATCAAACTTCAACGCCTGGATGTATGACTTGAGAGCATCCTCGTACTTGTGTTCACTCTTCTGGATGAGCGCCCAGACGTGCCAGCAGATATGAGAAGACAGGTCCCTTCGCATGCCCTCTTTGACAAGATTGATGCCCTCATCGCGTTGGCCAAGGTGCACCAGAATCAAACCCTTCATGCACATTGTTTCTGCAGCACTGCAAATCAGCCACGAAAGGTGCGAGCGTCAGTTTAGGCAGACATACCGCCATGTTCGGGATACTTTTTGAGGATTTGATCGGCTGTCTTCCTGCCCTTGGCGAGCTGTCTGTTTTCATATTGGCTCAAAAGATCAGCAAATAGTTTCTTGTC